AGTCTGCATAGCAACCGAAGGAGGAAAGGAGAGGAAAACGAAAGGAGACGAGCCGGGCCGGAGTGGCACTGTGGCGACAGCAGGCAATAAGAGAACATGAGATGCCATCTAAAGCATATTTGACTTAAGGTGTACTCGGTTTTCCTCCCACTTTTACGACACTGGCGCGTGGCCCACCGCCACCTCAATGTAAATTGGAAAGGTTGCTGTTTGCCAACTTCTCAGAAAAAAAGAAAAAATAACTGGCATTCTGTGTACATACATATATGTATGTGTATATAAATACACATTTACATATACATACATATAGTGTGTGCGTGTGCGTTTGCTGAAAAGCTTAAATGTCAGATGTGCTGTCCCTTAAAATCTATCAACAGGTTGGGGTTGACAAACAGGAAAAAGGAAAATGCATATACAATATACATAAATTTACTATATAAATAAAGCTTATGCTAGCTGGGAAACTGTCTGTTCGTTTGTGCGTGTGCAAATAAGATGAATAGGCAGACCATTTAGATATTTGAACATATTTGCTGTTGATATGCATATTTGAGATTTATGCCCCTAAAGTCAACGCTCTAAGATAATCTACAATCGCATTCAGGTTCAATAAAATATTTGAAAATGTAAGTTTGAGGGCCTGAATGCTTTCAACCCGTGTCATTGAGATATTAAATAGGAATGTCTTTGAAATCGGTTTTGACGGTATAAAGTTTCTGGATTTGTATAGCCTTCACTGAAAAGTGGACGTTTAAATCGTAGATAACAGGGTATAGGTACACACGATATACGATCAGCAATGCATGGCGAGTCCAAATTCCGTCCGTCTATGTGAATCACTTCTTCTCTCACAGTTCTTCTTTTACACAGATTTTATGTCGGGACTAACCAGTCAGATATAGCTGCCATATACGAGAAATTAGATGATCTAAACAGAGTTGTATCAAAACGTTATTTATTACTAAAAATATTGAAACAAAATTAAAATTTTAAGTCATATCTGGTGGCATTGCATCTGTTCTGTCGGTCGTTAGTTTAGACTATGGTCATCCAATAGGAAAAAACTACTTTTTAATGAAGGATACGATAGTACGGAAACAGTAGGGTATACACGTAGACACAAAAATTATCATTTTGCCCAATGCGTATGCGTTATACGTATAAGTAATATTTTAGCAATGGGACAATTGTCTTATTAGGCATTGTTATTCATTTTATTTCATGTACAGGCAGCCAACACCATCTACTGTCAGAAGCATTTAATCTGTCATTTAAAATAATTCTCAGAAGGTTCCTATGTCTATTTGTAATAGATCTCGGTCTGTTGTTAAGTTCTTAATTATCTCTAAATTCTATATATTTTCAATGCCACCCAGTGCAACAAACTTTACAAAATATTTAATTTGCATTCTATTAATTATCTTTTGTCCACTTCCCTGATGTCCACTGGTGAAGATTGGTTCTTAATTTGTGGGGAGACAACTTTTCATTACCCTTTCACAGCTACACATGGTGATATACTTGAATCCTGTGTTTTCGGGATCAGTAAGGTGAAGCCGATAAATAAATATTCCTTGCTAATTTTCAAATTATAAATTAGTACATGTTAAATAAATTGTTAAGAATAAGAATTATATCAATACATAAGTTCATACCTTAAACAAAAATAGTCTCTAATACAAATATATTTAAAAAAGAATAGAATGCCTTTGCGGGGTCTGCCAGGCCTCCTTCTGTGCGTACATTCATTGGTGCTTACCCTTTGGCTATAGGGTATTAACATGTTTATATTATGTGTGTTGAAACTATAGGGTCTATAGATCTTATTGATAAAATTCTGGTACATGTCCTGTAAGTCCTATGACTCCATTACCCCCCTTACTTTCATAAATTAATTGCACTCCCTAATCAGATGTTCCTATAAGTATCTCCCAAAATCTTCCTTCCTTTAATACGATTCAACCTTAATACAAAGCGTAAATTAATTATGTTTATTTTTTGTTTGTTTAATATACTATACCAGCTGATAAACGTGTGTCATTACTCTTTAAGTCTTTTCTATTCTTGTGCTTCCAATTTTGCTGATAATGGAAAATAAAACATTTACCTATATACAAGTATCTCAACACCATGACTGAATTGATAATATCAGTCTAATGAGGCGTATGCGTAATTTTATGTGCAATTATATTTTATTTGATTCAATTTCCATTTCATTAAATAATGTCATAGACATGCGCCTCATTGTACATAGTATCTCTTCATATGTATGTTTAAAGTATCTATCTATAAATAACAAAGTGTTGTCAGCAGGCGCAAAAAGCCACATGCACCAGCACAAAATCAGCTTATACCAGAAGGACAAATCAGAACAATTGCAAAATTGAAACAAATGTAGCAACATCGAAAACAACATAAACAATTGCTAGTTATACTCGTACAATAATGAAGCCAACACAATAGCAACCAGTTGAATATATTGAACATATAATCGAAGAATTGTTCTTTAGTCTATTCGTGCGTGGGTCAAAACATAAACCTGCATTACGTAGGAGTATAATGCACTACAAACACGAGTATACTATACATGTATACTTTTGCAAACACAAGCCAGGGGAGTGGTCTTTACTTACGTAGTCGGTTATCGTTGAACAAATGAACACAACCAGCAAATTTTCAGAGCCAGACGGAAAATATTAGTCATGCCATTGCGCATTACTAATTGGCCTGGTCCTCATCCTGGTCTTGGCACTATCTGTATCTTTGTACGGCGTGGGCATGTATATGTATGAGCTTAATGAAGAATGGTGTATATATGTAGCATTCACTTCTAGTTCATAGAGACAGCTTTTTGATTGCATATTTTTTTACTGAGTTTAGTTTGCTTCTGGTACTGGATAGAGATGGACTTTGGAACGCGTTGTGTTTCCGATTCCACTCAATTAAAAACAATGTGGGTTATACTTTAAATATCGAAAACTATTCAAGCTGTGGTTGTCGAACAGGTCTTTTAATGCGTAAACAACACCGTTACGTGTGTTACTATAAATGGCTTCAGAACTTAACTTTAACATTTTGCAATACACATTGTTTCTTATATCATGTTACTGTTTATTAAAATGCGATCTTAGTGCACGAACAGAATGATCTCCGGAGTTACAACTAGAGTTACAAACTTATTGCCCGTAAATCGGCAAGTTTATATTTTTATCAATGGCATTCTACAACATGCTTAAAGCAGAATCTATTTTACGAGCGAAATTAACGAAAATAATCGTCAGATATCAAGATATAGGGCCTGGCTCAACGAGCTAGCAGGAATCCCTCGGCTCGAACCACGCCGTAATCATCATGACAGAGGCATGATTAAAAATGGAAAAGTTATGATAACATTTAATAATTGTCCAACCTAGAAAAGATCTGAAATAAAGATTAAAGATTTACAACAACAACAAAAAACAAGAGATAACGCTACAGTTTAGCAAAAAAATAAAATAAACTCGTCCTTTCTCGGACCTAGGAGAATCTGGATACCAACTTTGGTTATTCCAGCTTTTATAGTTTCTGAGATCCTTGCGTTCATCCAGACAGACGGACGGACAGGCGGACAGGCGGACATGTATAGATCGATTTCTCTCGTCATGCTGATTCAGAATATATATACTTTATGGGGTCGGAGATGCTTCTTTCTGCTTGTTACATACTTTGCACAAACCCTTTTCACCCTACGGGTACAGGATATAAAAATAGATAAATATCAAAACATCAGATTAGACGTCTCCTTAACTACTTTAAGACATCACTTCTTGGCAAAAAACCGCCTACTAAATTTAGACCAGTTTTAACAATTAAAACGAATATTAATAATATAATAATTAATATCATTTGATCAATTTGAAAAGTGTACGATGTGCCCTTGTGTTGTTGGTTTTCAAATGAATTATGTATTTTATGTATCGCTTATGGGACTTTTTGAAACTTGCACCCGGAAGTCTCAAAGAGAAGTCTAAGTCTAAGCGTCAAATGTCGGAAGGAGGTGTGGCAGACCTCATGTTATAGGTACACGAGTGATCACCATGTTGATACGAATCGTTATACATATTCCCGTCCGTCCGTACGAGCATCAAGAGCTTTTGCACCATAGCTAATGTGGATACCAATCTTGGTATGCAGACTAGTCTTTTCCATATGCAGACCAAGTTAATTTCAAAACGTAAATAACTGTCATACGAGAATAACTTTTGGCTTATGAGGAAATCACAATCCAATATGATATTTTAAAGTTTCGCTCTAAAGCCCTAACATTAGATAAATCATTGCATATACATAGCTGCCATAGAACCGATTGGCGCATCACAGTTTATTTGAGTTGAAGGACTGTGGCGGAACTCTAAGGTCCTACTCAAATAATTTTCGCAGCTCCGTCATGTGTGCGCCTGAAATGTTTGAATCTAGGGAGTCTATATGGCAAACGAGTATGTGTGGATGCCCCCGGACAAATGTGCTCTTCCGGACGCCTAAAGCAAAAACGTGCGCATGAAAACATTTTGGACTGGGCCTTTAAGCGAATTTGCTTAAAGTGCGCAATTTGCTGGACAGGACCAGCAGGACCAGCAGGACCAGCAGGAACAACATCAGCGACAGCAGCAACAGCCACTTCAATATTGTTGCTGCCGTTGCTTTGCCGCTGGCGTTGCTGCTATATTGTTATGGCCGTTGTCACCATTTGCCGGTGGTCGTCTGCCGTTTGCCTTGGTCCTGCGCTGTCAGCTAATTGAATTTTCAACATGAAATTTAATTTATCTTTGTGTTTGTTTACGCAACAAATGACTAAAAAACTGGACAACGAAAAGCGCCAGAAATAACAAGAACAAAAATTTGGGCGTGACCAGGATTTAGGTAATTTGAAGTACAGGCAACAAATCGGGTGGCTTAGTTAGCTGTTTTTGGTTTTATACAGACAAAATAAAGTCAACACACAACAAATTTTATCTTTATAGCCGACAAAATGAAGTGGCAGCAAGGCAGCTCTCACCACATCTGGACGTTGGTCCTATGGCTGTCGCTTGGATTGTGCGGTCTTGTCCGTGGTAAGTATCAGAGAGAACTTACACTAAATATGGATTGTAATAATCGTTCTGTCTACTCGAATAGCTGAAACAAATTTGCCGCCCGTGTTCACAGAAACGCTCAACAATATTGTGCTTTATGAGAATGTTCCTGTCGGCACGGTGGTCTTTCGGCTAGAGGGTTATGATCCAGAGGGCAGCAATGTCACTTTTGGTGCCATAGGCTCTGATCATTTCAGCGTAGATCCAGTGTCGGGCAACATTACGTTAATCAAGCCATTGGACCGGGAGGAAACTGACAGCTTAACATTTCTGGTTTCCATACGCGATCGTGTGGACGAACATGGCGAGTCGGAGCAGGATAATGTGGTGCAGGTGCCCATTACATTTATCATACTCGATGAGAATGACAATCCCCCGGAATTTTACAATGTATGATGAGCAATAGTCGATGCGATAAAAAAGCGGATTCTGCAATAAAGGGTTTCTTTTCAGACGCCCTATGAAGCCGATGTAAATGAAGATGCAGCAGTTGGCACCACAATATTCGATAAGATCTTGGTCAAGGATCGTGATACCATAGGCGAGAGCTTGGACTTGAAATGTTTGCCTCAGCAGCAAAGTCCGGAGGCTTGCAACAAGTAAGTGTGGTTTGAAAAATAGTTCGACATTTCCATTACAAATGTTAGATGTATACATTGCTGTTATCCTTTTCACAGTAAACCTTCTAAGTAGTCATTTATACAGTATACGAATTAAATTTAAAAAAACAGTAATTGACCTTAAATATGCCTATATTTGTACCCTTAAACCCCCAGGTTTTCGCTGGTGTTGCTGCAGCGCGAAGCCACTTTACTGACAGCGGCAGTTGTGCTCAACGACACGCTCAACTATAATCAGCGCATGATCTACCACTTCCAAATCGAGGCCAACGATGGCGTACATAAATCCCAAACTACTTTCGAAGCGCGGGTTAAAGATGTGCAGGACAAGCCGCCGGTCTTTCAGGGAACATTGTCCACAATCATTGACGAGGATAGTCCTATAAACACGCTCGTTCTAACGGTGCATGCTCGCGATGGGGACACGGGCGAGCCACGCAAAATTGTCTACGATTTGCTGAGCAGTAAGTGCACTAGGGAACACCCCTGAAATAACCTTAGCTGATAATTAAAATGACAATACCCAAAAGAAAGGAGAATAGACCATATGTATATATACGTGTAGTAATCCGTACGATATAACGTTGTCCTCCATTTGTTCTTTAGCCTCTGCTAGTTAAACATTTTTAGCTTTGAACTGACAAACCTGATGGTGTTATAAACGATCTGATTTAAAGCGAGTTGTTAATGAGGACGTTGTTGTAATAATGATTTGTAGCAAACGATTTTATAGTACAGGCATGAAAGATTTCAGGCATATTATCATGGATAAAGAAGAGAGAATGGTATTTATGTTTTAAAAGAAAATTGTGCACACTCTTTTGGTGTTTCTCGTATTTAATATGCCTGTATTTTTTTTAATTTAGATCCGGGCGATTATTTTCTATTGAACGCACATACCGGCGAGTTGCGAACAGCCAAGCCCTTGGATCGCGAGGCCTTGCCCGACTCCACTGGCTTGATAACACTCCTCATACGCGCTCGGGAGCTGGTCGATGGTGTGCCCAGCAATGATGAGCTTACTAGCGCTACGGCTAATGCCACAGTTACCATACGCGATGTTAACGACTCACCACCCACCTTTAATAAGAAGGAGTATGAGGTGGCCTTGCTGGAGAATACACCTGCCGGCACGCCGTTGGCTCTAGACATGAGTGTCAGTGATCAGGATGTTGGTGTTAATTCGAAATTCGCCCTGCGGCTGAAAGACGTGTCCGGAGTATTCGATGTGGAACCCAAACTGGTCACTGGCTATTCGCAGGTCAACATTCGTGTGGCCAATGGGACTCTTGACTATGAAAATCCAAATCAGCGCAAGTTCATTGTGTTAGTGGTGGCTGAGGAGACGGAAACGAATCCCAAACTGTCATCTACGGCTACCATTACGGTTACCGTATTGGATGCTAATGACAATAAGCCCAGCTTCGAACAGGAAAGCTATACGGCATCGATATCCGAGGCTGCCTTGCCGGGCCAGTACATAACTACCATTACGGCAAAGGATGTGGATTCGGGCAACTACGGAGATGCAGGCATACGCTATAGTCTCTCCGGCACTGGCGCTGAACTGTTTCACGTCAATGAACAAACGGGCGTCATTACCCTGGCGGATTGTCACGCGTTGACGAGCAACAGGCAAAAACTGCAAAGACGTAGACGTGACCTCAATGAATATTATAGCGATGCGCTCGAAATGCTGGCAGAGACCGACAGACCCGTGCCCCCGCCAAGCAATAAAGCAAATCTGGACAGCCGCGGTCTGATTAGCGTTGGCCCGCTTGAGATTAACACAGAGCCAACAGTGCAGTATACGTTAATCACGCAGGCGCATTCAGAGGCACCGTCATCGGCCTTTGCTAACGACAATTCCAACGGCAACGGCAACGCCAACAGCAAGCACCCGGCGGACGATGCATCGCCGTTGGCGCCGAAGACGTGTCTGGACTACGAAACGGAGACCACGTACTTTTTGTCATACAAAGTAAGTGATGGGGCGTGGGCAGATGTCGACAATGTGAACATTTCCCTTTTCTTTTCTCTATCCATTTATATATGCTGTTCCGTCTTCATTGCCATCGTCGCCTCAGGCCACCGACGACAACGGTCAAGGACAAACATCTGTGGTTTCGTTGCGCATATCGGTAAGAGATGCTAACGACTCGCCGCCCATTTGCGAAAGTCCGCTCTATCGAGCCTCCGTGGATGAGGGCGCTCATGTATTCGATTCGCCTTTGGTTGTTAAGGCACGTGATGCCGACACAATGTCCAGCATAAATTATCGCATAGTTGGCACTCCACAAATCGACGGCATATTCCAAATAGACAAGCAGACCGGACAGATTACCATACGTCCGAATGCCAGCCTGGATGTCACGAATTTAAAGAGTGATCAACTCATTTTTGTGGTCGAGGCTAACGATGGCCTCTTCACTGCCAATTGTGGAGTCAACATTACTGTTAGAGATGTCAACAATCATGCGCCCCATTTCCAGCAACAAAAGTATAGTGCGGTGGTAGAGGAGAACTCCGAGATAGGCACCAGTGTAGAGAAGCTGCACGCCACTGACTTGGATACGGGGAAAAATGCCGAACTCAAGTATCGCATACAACAGGGCAGTTTCGATGATTTCCGCATAGACGAACGCACCGGCGAGGTCTTCGTGTCCCGAAAATTAGACTACGATCGTCGCAATACTTATCAGCTGGAGGTTCAGGCCTCTGATCTGGGCACTCCCAGTCTAACAGGCACCGCCACACTTACTATTAACGTGCAAAATAGCAATGACAAGGATCCCTACTTTGTGCCCGCCACTCAACATGCCGAGGTACGCGCTGACGCCCCCGTCGGTCAAGTAGTCTACACCCTCATTGCCCTGGACCCCGATGTGGCCACACATAATGCCCTCGAATTCGCAGCCACAGAGATTACAGCCATCGATAAGGAGGGCAAGGAGGTGCCACATAGTGAGCACTTTAAAGAGTTTTTCACCATCGCCCGCAATGGCAAAGTGTTGGTCAACAAATCTCTGGATCGCAATCTATTCGCCGTCATGCGAATCAATGTATTGGTCACCGATAGCACCGCCCCGAATGTGCAACAAGGACGAGGCTTGCTCATAATACAAATAATCGATGTCAATGACAAGCCACCGGTAAGTACCCCTGTTTCAATTCTTAAAAACCAGTAGGGATTTGTTAACTTAAATTTTGATAGGTTAACTCGATTTCATCACTGCCGAGCATTTCTAGGCTGCGCGTGTCCTCGTCATTGCAGGTGGATAGATGATGATGCTGGTCTGCGTAGGTGTTGCTGAAATAAAAAGAAATTGAATTTGATAACTAAATGAAGAGTTTAAGAATTAAGAACATATTTTTCAAGCTATGAGGATTTCCACAAGGCTAAAGCTTAAAGCCTAGGCTTATGATTTCGACCACTTACAGCACTGAAATGCAGCAGATTATTTTGACCATCATCTTGGCTAGAAACACAGCAAAGACTGCCATGCTGTTTGGCTGTAGATAAACCATACTACAGTATCCGAGCACAGTTTCGTAAATGTTGAGCACCACATTGTCAATACACTGCACAATAATGGTGGGCATAAGCAGCTCAGCCTGCGTATTCGTTAGCAAGGGGTAGCTGGGGAGTAGGAAAGGGCAGATCTTTCATGATATGCCAATTATATGTTGAACAGATTTAGCTCACATGGCTATGATGTTCGTAGCCAGACCCAGAAAGCACAGAAGGAAGCGCGTCAGTAATAGCCCGGATATGAGTAAAATAAAGACCTCTCGTATCCAGACATCCTGCTTTGTCGATGCATTGACAACTACCTTGGCCTCGCGCAAGTCCGCGTGCAGGCGATAGATGTTGAGCGCAGCTGCCTTATAAAGAATGGCAAAGATGTTGAAGAACAAGATTTTGAGCTTGCCATAAGAAACTTCACGGTTCATTGTTGAGAGTCCACGCGCAGACAGGAAACAACCAGGGCTATTGTAATGTGTTTTTAATTATTTATTTACGCCTAATTTCGGTTTCTACACTATTCTCCTGGCTATCATGTATTTTTCTCCACCTCAGAAATTCAATGCACCTTGGAGCCCCGAACAGCCGATTATAAAACTGCAGATGGTTGAGGAGCAGCCTGTAGGCAGCATATTGGGAACTTTACAAGCCAGCGACGAAGACTCCAGCATCGGTGAATTCAATATTTCGGCCAACGATTACTTTGCCATTAATCACACATCGGGCGTCATAACAACAACATCGCGTATCGACTACGAAAAGGTCAAGGAAGTTAAATTTGTGGCCACAGTAAGTGATACAGGAGTTCCGGCGCTGACAGCCACAGCGGATATTGTCGTGGATATTATCAATTTGAACGACAATGAGCCGCACTTCACTCAACCGGAGTACCATTTCAACATCACCGAGAACTCACCTCGCGGCACAGTGGCCGGCAAAGTGGAGGCCTTTGATGGCGATGTGGGCGCCTTCGGAGAGCTCACCTATTCCCTGATTGGCGAGAACAACAAATACTTCACCATCGATGCCTACACGGGCAACATAATGGTGGCAAACGAATCAATACTAGATCGTGAGCAGGTCACTCAGCTAACGCTGACAGCAGTGGCACAGGATAAGGCGCCGGCAACAGTTCAGAAATCGGCCACGGCAACGGTAAGCAACATTTTCCATATCTTGAAAATAACTTCTAATCCTGACTTGTGTTCACACGGGGTCACAAAGGAACGGAGAGAAAAGATATAAATGTATAGTGAAAATACAAAAGTAAAAACAGAAATGAAGGGCTTTTTAGTGCCATGCATCTCTGCAACAATAAATATTCGAGATTGGGATAGACCTGACCTTTCCCAGCTTACACTCCGAGCACAACTGGAGGTCGTTACAATTATAACTACCTTTCCCATATAATTTTACTTATTTATTTATTTAATTTTATTTCGAAAAAAACACAAGCTGTCGACATAGATAAAAAAGCGTAAATAGGAAAAATCTGATCAAATTTCAATTATGTCTAACTCGATGGGGGAATTTTATCGGCTAGCTATGCCCCGATTCACAGCCAATTGTAGTCAGAGGCGTTCATAGACCTATGAGCAAACATTTAAAAAATAGGCAATGTAAATTATACATTACTTATACTGATAATACTTATAAGAGAAAGAAAACTCAAATAAATGAATACCTTAATAATTAAATAAAACTACATATAAATAAACGGAAAAAAGGTGGAAAAAGGACTTGGTTGGGGACGATTTATTACGTTTCATAACTTCATAACAGTGGGGTCACATAGGTGAAAAAGGCTTTTAGAAATGGATTTTCACAATTTTAGCAAAATATTTGTAGGTAGAATAAAATGGAGTCGCTCAAGTCGCTTTTGATATAACCCTTATATATAATTGAGCTGATCGACTTAACATTAGTTTTGAGGTAATTTTCCAATTATGCTCGCAGCTGATCCACCGATATTTTCCAAATAGCTAGTTATAGAAACAGGTGGTTCTAGACTGAGCCTTGATATAAAGAACATTTTGTTTACAGTTACATATTAGAAGTACTTTATTCCATTGTAATTGTTAACGTACAAATTGATTAGCAAACAGGACAGTAAAGCACTATTTTAGGAGATAGGAAAATAAATAATCCGTTGTTGCTGCCAAGATTTCATAATTTTGATATTTTTATGGATTTAAGTATTGTAATTAATTTGCATTAAATACATAATTAGTTATGTTACTAAATATTGTATTATTTCTGTTTCAATTGGGGAAAAAGTAAATTTCCATGAATACTTTTATTTTCAGATTTACATCAATATCCTGGATGTAAATGATAATGCCCCGGTTTTCACGCGCGCCGTTTACAACTCGACAGTGGCGGAAAATGCCGCCTACCAGCCACCTGCTGCGCTGTTGCAAGTCCAGGCCACAGACTTGGATGAGGGTCTGTATGGAGATGTGCGATACATCATAACAGCTGGGAACGAGGGGGCGCTTTTCAAACTGGATGCACAAACTGGCATAGTCTATCCAGCACAGAGTTTGGATGGCAAGAAGGGGGTGTATGAGTTAACCATATCTGCGCGTGACACGCAAGGGTCGGGCACCATGGAGAGCATTGCGAAGGCGGTAATTACTGTGCGAGGCGTTAATCAGCATAGACCGGAGTTTGTCATACCCGCACTATCAAATGCCACCATTGAGATTCCTGGCGACATTGTGCAAGCGGATTACTTGCTACTCACTGTGAAGGCTCAGGATAATGACACGGACGAGAACGGGAAAATTAGTTACCACTTGCAGCTACATAATCAGAATGTGCAGGAAACAGGAGAGTTCAAAATTGACGCGCTGACTGGGGAACTACGAGCCAGACAGCAATTGAATCGCAAAAATCGCGCAAAGTAAGTATTTGGGAGGATACTGAAAAGTAAAGTAAAGTAAATAGAGTTGAAGTCTTACATTCTGCGTAAATTATTTAGAATAAATTGCAGCAAATTTCTTTAAATATCAACGATTAAATAATTCGAATAATAATGAATATTGGAATGAGCTGTTGAAGCCAAAGAGAACTAGATATTCAAATACAGTTCCGACTTAAATTCGTCCGTACTATATCTGTAGTTGACTTAACAAATGAAGTATTTTTCCAGCTACGATATTATTCTGGTGGCACGAGATGCTGGAAATCCGTCATTCGAGTCCTTGCGGCTGCTCAGTGTCAGCATTGTAGATGCGAACGAGAATCGTCCGGAATTCCCGGATGCTTCCAATCCCTATTCGGTTTCGATCAACGAGAATAGCGGACGTGATGTCAAAATCGGTCACATTCAGGCAGCCTCGCGCAGCAAGCACAATCGCGATATTTATTACTACATGCTCCTGGGCAATGAGGATGGCGCCTTCTATGTGGACAAAACGTCGGGCGACATCTTCACCAACAAGAGCCTGGATCGCGAAGAGACGGATGCCTACACATTGTACATTCTGGCGAGCATCAAATCCGATTTGCACATATCCGAAGAAGAACGTGCTTCCTTCTCCATAAAGACTCTTAATCGGGATAACACCGTGGCCAAGGTACAAATTACTGTGCTAGATGTAAATGACAATCCGCCCGTGTTTGAAAAGTCCGTTTACTATGCGGGTGTTAATGCTAATGCCAAAATGAATGCGGCCATAGCGCTGGTCAATGCCAGCGACGCGGATCAGGGAAAGAACGCCAAGATAGAATATATGATTGTCGCCTCGAATCTGTATAAATTTGGAGCCACCAAGTCGACAGGCTCCATTGTGCCGAGTCCATTTGCCATTTCGCATGATGGACGCATTACAGCGAATACCATAATGGCGGAATATAATCAGGATCGTTTCGAGCTGGAGATTGTGGCCCGAGAAATCGAGCAACCGCAACGTTCCGCCAGTACAAAAGTTCATGTAAGTTTAAAAGTTTATTTATGGATCATCTAATCCTAAAATAAAAACAATTATAACAAAAAAAGTATTATTCAATGTTAACTAGCATTAAAGCTATTAGTATTTTTAATGGTCTATACTATGTTTTTTATAATACACCATAAAGTGGTTTCTTTTTAATTAAATGTAAAAATAGGGACAAAAATCAATTCGATTATTTCAAAGATCAAACATTTTTAAGGAACTCGATTTCATTTATGTGGCTGCCGCGACTAGCATCGCAGTAGAAAGTTGCCCAGACCTAGATGACAATTTCTGGCTCTATCTCATGAATGGGTTGGTCATTATTCGCCTTAGGCAGTTGAATCGTTAATGGATTTGGACCGGCGCACAATCCTGCTGGAACCAAAGATTGCCCAAGCCCGTTTAACATTGGGGAACAAAAAAAGTTTTGCCTATTTGGACCACCTGTTATGAGGTCTAGGGGTCACCAATCTTGGATCAAGTTTTTTTCTTTTTACAATAATTCATACATTGACGTTCAATCCTTTTATTATAGCCTTTTCTCTCGTATGGTGTACATTTAAAATTAATTACTATATTTCATAAGTATTTCTCCGATTGGAAGAAGATGTTATAACATGCTGGGCTTATTATAGCCTGTACCCAAAGGGTGAAAGGCTATACTAGTTTTGTGCGCATGTATGTAACACACTGAAGGAGGCGAGGCAGACCCCACAGGATGAGAAGCCGAATGGATATAGCCCTGTCCGTCCGTCCGTCTGTCTGTCCGTATGAACGCAAGGATCTCAGAAAGTATAAGAGCTAGAATAACCAAACTTGCTTTCCATATTCTCCTAAGACCGAGAAAGTACGAGTTTGAGTTTTTTTCGATGCACCCCCCCACTCCCCCGCAATTCGTGTTTTTTTTTTAATTTTTTTTGTTTTTTTTTAATTTTGTTTTTTTTTTTAATTTTTCTTTATTGTAGAGAGTACAGGCTATTTTACTGTCGGGCTTGCTCGACTGTAACGTTCTATCTTGTTTCTATTGATTTAGCATTTAGTTTGTTGGAATATGTCCGTTTAATTTGGACTATTTCGGGCTTTACTGTTAGAATATTAATAGCTACTAATCCGCTTTTGTTCTTTATGACTAGATTTGGGTCTTCGATGGCACGCAATTGGTGCGCGTTATACTCTCGCGTCCTCCTGAGGAGGTTTATCAGGAGCAGGAGGAAATCATAGCAGAACTGCGAAATGCCACCCAACACCGCATTATTGTCGACGAGATCCGGTTCCACTTGGATTCGATCGGACGCATACGGATGGATTGGTGTGATTTGTATTTCCACGCGGTCGATCCTCAAACCCAACAGATTGCGCCGGTCGATGAAATACTCAAGGATATCGATAGAAACTACGACTATCTGAAGGTATTTTAATTGTTTCCCAAATCAATACAAATATCGTCTCACACTCTGATTTCCTTTAGGATTACTATGCGGGCTTTGCCATAGAGAACGTTGTGCCTGCCTATATTGCCATTGCGCAGGACGAATTCGATCTCGCTGTAGCCGGTCTGGTGGCCCTCGTCATCGTGCTCTTTGTAGGCGTCATTAGCTTCATTGTCCTTTGCTGTTGCCTTAAGCATTGGAATTTGTCTGTGCCAGTTGAGACGCGACGCAAGGAGGCGTTGATTAAAAAACAGATCATCGAGGATCTAAATACTACGGAGAATCCATTGTGGATAGAACAGTGCGTAGAATCTAACTACTTTATTTTCTTTCTACGAAAATGCATTTGTTTGCTTTTCAGAAAACTGAAACTGTATGAGGAGCAAGAGCTTACCATGCAGGTCTTTTCGGAGCCTGATCATATATCCAATTCCGATGCGCCCGGCCACTTGGAGCATCGCAGCTCACTGGAGCAAGTGCATCATGGACAGTCGGTAGATAACACCTACGCCACCATTCAGCCGCGCAATAATCAGAATCGCCTCAATGGCGGTGGCTCTCTGCGCAGCAGTGGCGCTGTAAGCGCAAGTGCTGGGGGCGGCAGCAGCGTTGGGGCCGGTCTTCTGCTGACCCGCGTCGATCCGCATGTAAACGACTTTGCTGACTACGCAACGCTGCGAAATAATCGTGCACCCTCGGTAAGCAACTCTGGAGAGCGCATTAAAAATTGTGAAAATATTTAAAAAATTGTATTCCTGCTCCAGCAACTCTACGAGTTCACGGGATCCACATTTCAAGCGCCCATACGAGATGGCGATGATGCTGTCGCAGAGCTCATTTAAGCAGCGAGCCTCAGCAGTTAAAGACAAACTTGTAAATTATATAGCTACATATATATAGATATTCAGTTTGGCCCTACTGGATGACATTTGTTTTGGGTTTTAGTTCAACTGATCTGATCTGTTGCATTTGTTTAGTTATGCATACATAAAATATAGTACATACATACATATTTATTATATGTAGCATACACATAATTACTTACATATATATATACATACATACAAGTATATAAAGCCCATATAGCGTAGTATACATTGTATGCCAACAAATATTTAGAACTCAGCTAATGGACAACAAATTTGTATTGTAATGGGGCCATGCCCAACCGCGTTGTAATGTTAAACTCAAATGAATAAAACCCATAGTGGACAATTTCCCGCATAAATAATGACAATAATATATATGAATATGACAATGTCTAGCGTAATGTATAATGGTTATGTAAGCGTTACGACTTAACATTTAAAACCGAATTCGCTCGAATGTCTTCTCGATATTAGTTTTAGTTACGCTCTCTGTATTACTAAGTTGTACTAGAAAAAAGACTAATTATTTGCTCTTCCACTTTGATTTATGTTTACGATTCTAACTACAGCTTAAGTTTCTAGTTTAATTAGCCGAACTTGCTCATACATTTAATGAAACGGAAATAGGTTTAGAGTTATGTTTAGTTATTTCGAATATGTTCGATAAATGCAACGAATTGTATTGCAGTCCAACTCAAAATTCATAAAAGCAAGTTTAATCAGTTACAAAAAGAGTTTAAGCTTGCGTTTACGTATACATACTACTGTAAAAGTAAATAAATATATGTATATCAGAATAAATATATAGTAAAACGTATTTAAAACCAGAACCAATGTCTTTTAACCTGTTGATGCATTTTATTTTCGGTCTAGTTCGATTGCTGATTGGTAACATATTTGGTAAATAAACTTCATAGGCCACCCATAACCCGTCACCATTGCCTACGAACTGGTTGCTAGCCGGCACACTAATAATAACAAGCCTCATACCACATATGTATGCTTTTCCCAAATAGAGGTATTTTCGATTTTTTAATCAACAAACATTGCTGAACTCAAAGCGAGACGGCCAATACACAACAACATATTAGTAAATTTTTAAAACATAAAAAAAGCATAGCAAAATTTTAACAAACGCAAAATGGAGCAACCAGAGATTCAAAGCGTGGGCCAGTTCCAAACGCTGGTGCGATATAATAATCCAGTCCTAGTGGTCAAACATCCCGATAAAAAGGGCGCACCACTCACAGAGCTGGAAATGAAAAGGCCCCAAACCGCTGGCGCCCTGTTGGATACTAAAAAAGAGACTGAGGAGATTTTGAATTCAATTCTACCACCACGTTGCTGGGAGGAAGACGGACAACTGTGGCAACAATCGGTGGGTAACAACGGATATCAAATAGTTAATCAAATTCAATATTACGACGTTTGTTATTAGGTGTCCAGCACTCCGGCCACACGTCAGGATGTTATTAACTTGCAGGAAATGCTGGACACCCGTCTTCAGCAGACACAGGCCCGCGAAACAGGCATTTGTCCCATACGTCGTGAACTATATTCTCAATGTTTTGGTAAGAATATCTTCTTTAGTAGTAATTCTGTACTATTTCAATGGGGTCGCCTTTTATTGTAGACGAGATCATACGCCAGGTGACTATTAATTGTTCGGAGCGCGGCTTGTTGCTTCTACGCATTCGTGATGAGATTGCCATGTCTATGGAGGCCTACGAGACGCTCTATTGTAGCTCCGTGGCCTTTGGCATGCGCAAGGCTTTGCAGGCACACGAGGAAAAGGAAATGTTACGTGATCGTGTTAAGTCCTTGGAACTGGACAAAGAGGCCCTTGAGGAGATTATTGCGGATATGAAGCTCAAACAGGAGCAATCAGAGCGTCGCAATGCCGAGTTGCGAGCCTCGGAGGAGAAGAAGTTCACGGAGGAAATTCAATTCCTTAAGAAAACAAACGCACAACTGAAGGCACAACTTGAGGGCATTACGGCGCCAAAGAAGTAAACCGTTCATTAGATTATCAAATAAAATGTATGCGCGTGTGTTTATTTGTGTGTGTATTTGTCAGATTGAATGTATTGTTAACAACTATTTAAATTAAATAATTGGCCAGCAGCTAATTCTTCTCCGTGGTTGTGTCACTTAGTTCGATGGCAGCGACTTCTGTTGCTGGCTCCTGCGCAGTCTCCTCCGTTGCCACTTGCTGTGTAGATTCCTCTGCTCCGGTGTTTTGTTCTTCCTGCTGTACATCTTCCTCTTCACCACTTATCTCATTAAGAATGGGCGTCACCTTGAACGGATTGCCCGCTTTATTTTTCGACTTATCTTTTGCCACTTTTTTCTCTGGCGGCTCTTCGGTTTCGGTTGGAATTTCCGTAGCTCCCGTGTTATTATCATCTTCCTGTGGCAGTTGATTATACATATCCCGCAGCTCTTCCTCTGAAGGCAGCTGATCCTTAAGTGTTTCCATTTTTTTCACGTATAAATCATAAACGAATTGCGCCATTTCGGACATATTCTCAACAACTTTACAGGCTTTGCAGTCCACTTTGTCGACTGTCAACCGCTGGGTTGGATAACTGTCCTCAGGCACAAGGTTTAGGTCCAGAGGACGTTGCATGAGCTGACATAGAATTTAAATAATTATAGATGAAATTATAGCATAGATCTTCTCTCTACTTACCAGCTTGAATGTTTGCTGCAACTCAAGGCAGTTTTTAAAAAGCGAAACACGACCAAAAATGTAAAGACCCAAACGGGCACGACTCATAGCCACCACAAGACGACGCACATCACGCAGATGGCCGACAGCTTTTGTGCGCACCAAGGAGATTAGAATATAGTCATTCTGCTGACCCTGATATTTGTCCACAGTGGTTACTTTGTGCGGCCAGCCGATCAGAGGGTTGTTTCCACAGCGCGCATTGATGACATCGCGTATTAAATGCTTCTGTCCATTGTAGGTGGTGAGGATGGATACCTTGGCGGCTGGATACCCCAATAGACGCATGTACATATACATGGCGACAATATACTCTGCCTCTGCAAGATTCTAACAAATGGGCAATAAAGGGTCATGAGTGATCAACATTTCTATGTCCATTCCCCTGACTTACCTGATAGAAATACGGACTGGGCTCGCTTTCGCCTACACCTTTGAAGTCATCCACATTTATCAGCTGGTAGTCGTGCACAAAGCCCGCATTGGCCATTTTGTATTCGTCCCGTTCGAAAATGTGCTGCAGATCCTCCAGTTTCTTATAGCGCCATTTGTACAATGAGCAGATGCTGGCTCTTGCACGACCCTGTCCATCCAGGTCGACGGTTGGCACACCGAGACGCACAAGGCGCGTGAAAAGACTCTGCTCCATGTTCGAATACTTTTGGAATGCCATATTCTTGATGACCGGCGGCAACTGATGGTGGTCGCCAATCATTATCCAACGCTTCAGCCGATTCAGACCATCCAGTGGATTTTGCAATAATAGTGGAATAAACGTTTCAATTTCCAATATCTGCGCCGACTCCTCCATGAGAATGTTGTCGTATCGAAAGCCGAGATTCACCAGCTCCTTGCGTTTTAGAGCCGCATGCGTACAAGTCATGGCAATAATTTTTGCCTCTTTAACTAGCAAGTATTTCGATCTATCCAGACCTGTGCGCAACAATTCGAAAGCGCGAAATTCTTCCAGCTCTGTAAATATGTCCGAAATGTATCGGAAATTGGACTGCGCTGTTTCCAACAACTCCGCATAGGTGCTGCTCTTAAACAGTGGCTGTGGCGCATCCGCAAAGAATTTTTTAAATGGGAATTCGTTTTCAAAGACTGCCAGCAATTTCTCGACATCACTCTCCTCACTGTGTGCAGCGACCACACTTAGAAACTTCTCCCACCTAGCCATCACATTGTAAAGATAAAAGTAACCCGCCGTCTCACAGGTATATGCGTTGTCGCCGCTCACATCCAACGCCTCCTGCAAGCGCTGCACTTTCGCGAGCAAATCCATGCGCTTGGCCAGCACATAATTGACACGTCCGTAACGACTGTAGTCCTTCTCCGTCTCCAGTGCCTCCTCACCATGACCTAAACGCAGCAAATGCCGCTCATCAATGTCCAGAGCCATAATCTTCTCAAACAACTGATTCAGCGCCTGGTTAGAGTGCGTGACAATCAAGGTGCGTTGATTAGGGTGATTGTGATAGATATTCGAGATGATTTGCACAGCCACATCTGTTTTGCCCGTGCCAGGAGGACCAACTACCAAAGTGAGCCCCGGCTGCATACCAGCACGTATAGCTTCTATTTGTGTAGGTGTGAAGCGTATACAATTCCTGGAAAAACATGTCTAATTAGTAATATAATTATCAATTTTAATTCAACGGCTTACTGCTTGGGCCTGTCGCTGGGATAAGGTCCACGTGCATCATACTTGTACGGTTCGACTATAATGGATTTGCTGGTGGCCTCTGGCAATTCCTCGTTGTCTTCCTCCTCATCGCTGTTTCGTTTCTCTGGCACATCCTCGAAAATAAGGCGATAGGGTGGCACGCGAGCTTCATCTGGTGCCTCACACTTTATCTCATAGGTTGGGAAACTGGACGCCAAGTGGTCATAGTCGAGGAATGTGTCGTTGAACTGCAAGCTACGCTCCTGATTGGGCATGTTGCTGTAGTGGGCAGCCGCAGGATCACCATAGCCAAGCAGTATGTCATGCAGCCAAGGGGGAACCACACATTCGGTATTCATCAGATGTCTAATTGTCTCCAGGACGGCCTTAAAATTGTTCTCCTTGGGCTTTCGACGCATCAGAATGTTAAACGATTCGTATACATCATCAGCTCCCTAAAAGTATTGCGATGGGAAGAGATGACATATTGATTTTGAAAGGCAGCCTATTAAGCTGTAGAGTTTGTCTGCTTAGGAAGCTACATTCCATATTAAGATTTTATTTTAATGATGGTTAGTTTAAATACTGAAAAATATATTATAATGCGCATATACGAGTATCGTTGAAATTAATTTAAAAATCTGAATCCAATGCCTGATCGATAATAATCCAGTTGTAAATAAATGTATTTCGCATAATTGTATATTATTTAATAACTGTCATCTTAACTTATTAAACAGGAAATTGCACTCTTCTGATATCAACTCACCTCTTGTAGGGCGTCCATGTCTTGGCGATATTGATTGGAGTCCAGCCACACACGATAGGTGCGCTGCTCCCCAGGTAGTTGTGGACGGGGATCGGGTCCATCCTCTATCACGCGCCCATTGGCATCAAGCATGCCCTCCACCTCGCAGCCACGCACGTTAACCAGGCCCACCTGCGGTATGAAGGGCTCCCTCGAGTTGTATTTGGTGCCATATGTCTGCGTGGGCTTGACCGTTATCAAAAAGCAAACGTCATGCTTCCGCAAGTTCTCCCATTCCTCCTTGATTTCCCGGCGAACCGACAATGTCACACCCACGTCTGCTCGCACACGCGATGGCTTCTTCTCACCTATGTGCGGTTTGGCCACCTCGACCACTGCAAAGCTGGCTATGGGCAAGGCCATGCGAGCCCAGCCTCCGAATACGACATCACCGTCCTCTGACTGCCAGGGCAACATGCGACTGACGGCATCCTCAATATCCTGGCGAATCTCGTAGGTAGACTCCAGACGAAACAAATTGAAATTGCGCAGCAGATAATCGTGCAGGGTGAGAAATTGCAAATTGAGTTTGGGCAGGGCTAGACAATTCTCGCCTGTGTAATATTCCGACGGAACCACATTCTCATCCCAAATGATGTCTTCTGTGGGATAAAGAGGCATCTCGTTTAGTGCCTCCAATTGAGAGCAGCGCTTCTCGTGTCGAGTTATAAGTAGTTCACGTAGAAATTGCTCATCGAGCCGATGCCATTTGTACGGCTCTTGCAGGTCATCGGGTACTAGATTGAGGAAAGAGGCAATTTGCTTCAAGCCCTCCCCATCTAGTGCTCCGAAATGCTTCTCCAAGGCATCCCGGTTGTCCACAGTTGCCACATTAGACAATGCAAATATCCGCAAGGTGGGAAACTTGGCGAACACTGCACGTTGCAACAACGTTATCTTCTTATAGTGCAATTGAGTCATATCATGATCAGTCAATGAGTTGCCGGTGACGTCATTTATCTCGAAACGTGTATAGAACTTGAGCATGTCCAGCAGCTGAAAAATCAAAGAGCTAATAAGTCTCAGTCGCACGTTTATGGCCCTACCCTTATTTTGCCCTCAACCGCTCCTGTTGTAGTCCGCATGGACTGAGTGCATTGAATGGAACGTGTTTCTACTACCTGCCCAAAATTCTACAAACTTACACACACCAACATAGGTAAAAAAAATATTCGGAAATAAATGAGGGGCGCTCTCTTCAAATCAGGTCGCACGCAAAGAGAGGCCTACAATGTAAGACTGATACGTCATCATTTTTGGAAAAGACCAGTCAAGGTGTGCTCATGTGTGTGTGTGGAAAGTCTACAATTTCAGTTTTACGCTACTTTTGAACTGCTCTCCAACTCCAGCTCATCGGTGTTAGTCAGAGACTGTCTCTGAAAACTAACTCATTACGTTTGTATATGTATGTATGTATGTAAGTATATGCATGTGTATTGTTCTCTTTTGTGACAGACAGGATTTCCTTATTGGGTACGTATAGGGAGGCAGGGCGGGAGGAGTTTGATTACATTTGTAATTGAATAACTTAACGTAATTATAAGCGCTGAAGGTCGTTACTCATTTATATTATGATACTACCACTACTCAAAACTATGATATGCAATCATTTAAAATTAACACTTCATTCATTCGTTACTATGCACAACAATTGAATTTTTTTCAGAAAATACGCCATTCAATAAAAACATTCTGTTTGTTATTATTTGTTAAATTACCATTAATTTATGGCAAATGTTGAAGGAAATGTCATTGCTGATATAGAAGTTCTAGTACATATAAAACAGGTTCAATAAGCGGCCCAGGATTCCAGATTCCTTTGCACAACTTGCATGCACAACTTCTACTCAGACTCATGGCTTTATTTGAACACTGTCAATGTTGCAAGTGACTTCTTGCTGTCAAGCGAGCGTGCCCCAACTCTATCTGCATATGTACATCTGTATAAAGGTGCCAAATGACAAGGGCACCCTGCCACACGGGTTACTTGAAAGTGGCGACAAGTGTGCGTCTGTGTGTGTGCGCGCTGGAGTGAAAGACAAGGCACGCTCTTTGCTGTTCCCTCGGGGGCGTTGCAGCACTGCATACACAAGTAGATGAAATAGCAGCGCGTCTTATCACATCATCAGCCACAACCTCATCTTCGTCGTCATCATCCTCCTCAGCCAGACAAACAAACAAACAAACAAACAAAGGCACACAGACTCTAGAAGCCACTCACACACTCTCACGAGTTTGCCGGTTCTTCTGCTTCTTGCCTCAATTGATAATTTCCGTCATCCAAATTAAACAAAAAGTGCCCTAAGTGTATGTGTGTGAGTGAGCGTTGTGTTGTACAAAGCCCTGCTTCAACTTTTTCTGCGTTTCGGTCGCCGGTGGTTGCATCCAACAACAACGAACAGCACAACAACAACGGCAGCACAGCAGCTAGAGAGCGGGAGAAATAACTCTACACGACGAGCTCTGTCACCTCCGTCGCTCCGCTGACTCCGCTTAGTGACTAGAATTTAAGAGCGCATACATACTCAGAGAGTATAAGAGCTAGAATAACCAAACTTGGTATTCAGATTCTCCTAAGCCCGAGAAAGGACGAGTTTGTTATTTTTTTCTGATGCACCCCCCCATTCCCCCCTTTTCGCGATTTTCTATAACTCCCGTAATTCTTGAAATTTTCACATCCAGTTAGTGATTATATATCCGTATACCAAGTTTCATTATGATAGGTTGATTAGAAAGAAAGTTATAGCCATATAACCAGGCCCAAGCTGTATTTGTTGCTGCTTTGACATAATTATGTAATGCACACATACATATGTACAAATACCCAAACACGCCTAGACACGATTCTGATGTAAATGTATGTATGGAATATTTTATATTTAATTTAATTAATTAATTAAATTTTTTAAAATTTTTTTTTGTGTTAGCATTCCTTTCTTGTTCCAAATTCCGATTGAGAACAAAATGTTAAAATTACGATTTTTGTTTACAAAGCAAAAGCAAAATTTAACGCAGTTGCAGTTTTTGTCTTTACTCGTCGTTTACACTTCACTTATAAATACCGGGAAAATCAGCACACTGTATCATGTAATAGCTATATACATATATATAAACATGGCTAAATTCTTGAAACAGACTTTTCTCTTGGAGTGACAGAAACTAATAAAACAGTTGTAGCTTGTTTCAATTACTGATCTAGCCTTTTTGACGCTTAAGATGTGGCATCACTGATGCCGTGGAGTAGCCAGCCTGCTCGCTCATTCGGTACCCAGTCAGTCGTTAGTCAGTCAGTCGGTTGTTGTTACTCCAAGTCGCGTGTTGGATTTACGCTGCATTTTTTCGACCCACTTGTAATGGTTAAAGAAATGTAATAATGCCAAAAATTGTGCAAATAAAGAAATTAGTGGAATAAAGACATAATACATAAGAAACGAAAGTGAATCAAGTGTGGCGGCTTTTTTTGTGAAATCTCTCTGTGTAGCCAACCATTTACATACTCGTATAAGCGTGTATTGTTGTTTGTGTTCGTGCATCTGTGTCTTGCCATTGGCTTTGAATTTGTATCTGTTCCAAAGTCTACAAAGCTGTTGTCGTCGTTGTATTTGTATTGTGTAGTTTTCATATTTTGGCATGATCTTGACTTGACTTGAAGCCGGCCAATTGTATGAGATACCTCCGGCTTTATGACGCATTTGTTGGCCAACAGAGAGATCGTCATAAACTGTATCTGCGAGATACTCGTGTAAAAATGGCTACAAACACGCTTGGCGCGCAAATATCGCCATATGCGATCAAATGTGTGCGAGGCAGCTGCCTCCTATTTGCGGTCTTATGCGCTCTATTAACGATATTCACAAATGTGGATGCTGCAGATCAGCCACACAGTCTACGGCGGAGACATGTCGGCGATAGCAACACCATTAGCTCCAGCACCTCCGATCCCAATCTGGTCCAAGTGAATAAATGTTGTGAGAAGTTCGAAATACATGTGGATACCGTTTGTCAGCAGGTCAATGAGACGGGTAAGTGTGACCATCCATGCGCGCGTGTGTGTGTGTTGTGTGTGTGTTTGTGTGTCAGCCAGATGTCAACCCAATCGCGTGCCGGCACTAACCCACAAATCCTATGGCAACCCCCTCACCAAAATCCCACTATAAACCAACAACTGGTGCTGCAATTACAGTCTGGCCATTCAACTTTATGGATTTTCCTCCATTTGTGCTCCCTTTTTGGCGTGCCAGCAACAACAAAAACAAAAGCAACATATGCTCAACATTTAATGGCCCATTTAATGGCTATCTGTGAAATGAGGGGGAGCTACAGAGCTACTCATTCGTACAAATATATGAAAATTCCATTGCATTGTTTTCAAAACAATTATGAAGGATATATACAAGTACAAATACTTTATACCAGGTGCTCATTATAAACGGATTTATGATTTATGCGCGGATGAGTATGTGTGTGTGTGCATTTTCAAATACTCAGATCTCTTCTATATAGTAGTAGTATAACAGATGACTAAAGGCACGACCGGAATATTATTCATGGCATTAAATTGTATGCGTAAATTGATGATTCGCACCAAAGAGAGAACACACAGCCTTTTCGATAGAATATAGTATATGAGTTCCTAAAGTCAGATATAGCTCTGACAACAAATTTATTGATATTGATATTATAGTATTAAAATAGATCAGGTTTAATATATTTTTAAATCAGTATTGCTTTGAAGAAACTATAAGTTGTTATGGCTACAGCCACGGCCTACATACTTGTACATATAATTATTTCCTATTTTAGTAAATCTCAAAAAAGTTTATTGCTGCAGCAAATTAATATAAAAACTATCAAATATCAGCAGTATATAGGATGTGTATATTGTAATTGAACTAGTTTAATTACGCCAAAGATAAAATTGTAAAACTTAATGTTGGCTGCGTGGACACTTAAAACAGCAGCCAACTGAAGTGGATTTAACGTCTGTTTTCAAAGTAAAGAGTAAACAACAGTTTTTTAATCAACCCATGTAATGGGAATGAGTTGTCTAATTTAGTGTCGCAACTGCATTATTATGACTTACTATATGAATGATGCATCAGGCTCCCGATCAAAATGATCAGGTAATTAACACAATTCGCATCCATACGCATTTCTATATTTGAGTAAGTTGTTCGCAGCATGGACTTGTTAAGCACGTACGAGTAATGCGTTTTAAATATTTATAGACACAAACAATGCACAACGATGGGGGACAGGGGAATAAAGATTTTTCGTAAATAAATGCCCATACAGCTGCTAAATGAGAGCCTCAAAAATAACTTGCGGCATGTAAAGTGTTTCGTTGGGCTGCCCCTCAACAGAAAAGGGGAGCGAATGACACACACAAACGCTTATTGATAAATTCAATTTAAACAAAACTGAACTATATATTATTCACTTCCCGCACTTTCAGATTACTTTCAGCCCATGTTCACCAGCTATAGTGGGGATCAGAACATGCCGGTGCACTTCAAATTCGTCATAGGTGTGCCCAACTGTGGCTCCATGCAAATGTGGCCCATTTTTCACTATACTGGCGTGAGTGGGACTCGATAAGAAAGCATGTTGTTTCCCACATATTAAAGATCTCTTTACAGAGTTCGGATAAACTGGTGCTTTTGGATGATGGCAGGCTACGCCACTACACCAATGCGGAGGATGAGGCAGATGAACAACGGGGAGTACAAACGGACTATGAAGACGATATAGCTGAAGCGCACAAGCCGCTCTACCATGACTACGAACAGGGGCAGTATTGCTTGGATAAGGTGAGTAGAGAATTTCTTTAATACCCTCCACTTACATGATGTATGTGTACATGAGATCAAGCCAAAACGTGCTGCGGATTCCACTTCCGCTTTCAAACTTTAATTCAGTTTAATGAGTCTTGTTCGATAGATTTCTTGATTCAATAGATACATACGAAATGATACATTACATACATACATTGTTAATACATAATGCTATTTTCAGGCTGTTTCAACTACTGGCGCACAAAAGCAAATACTATTTGCCAATATTTGTCTAGCGAAAAAGGAAATCAAGTGGAGCGATTCGAACTTTTTGTTGCGCAAAATACTGAACCCTATATTCCATGCCATATCACTGATCATATTACTGGTGATAGCCATAGTCTACTTTATTCTGCCAACTTTGAGGTACGTTGTGATTTCTCAACTATCCAAATGTCGACATTTAATGAGATATTTATTCCAGAGATCTCGTGGGCAACATAGTGACTACCATAGCGATCTGTCTAATGGTCAGTCAGGCTGCGGATCTTGTGCGAATCTTTACCGAGTTGACGAATCACGTGAGCTTCATTGTTGCCGACATAATTCTGTGCTTCAGTCTGCTGGCTGCCTTCTTTTGGCTGAATAGTTTTGGGTACTACATATGGAAAACCTTTCGTTCGAGAAACGTCTTTCTGCGCGTAACCGATGGACGCAAATATTGCTACTATTCGATCTATGCCTGGGGCTGCACAGCCACCATGGCTGCCTTGGCAGTCTTTGCGCACTTCTTCCTTGATGCGGACTCGTACAAGAAGGAAAATATGGTGGGCGAACAGGAGACTATAGGATGGCTGGGTATTTGCGTATTCTTTTCGCCAATTGCTTGCACAATTATCGTCAATATATTCTTCTTTGTGACAACCCGTAAGCTGATTAATCGACGCACAGTTTACGGACGTATTGCGCATAAGCTGAAGGCTAAGTACGTAGAAAGCGCTTGAAAGCGAAACTATCACAATAATACATTGCTTTTTTTAACAGCTTCATAATGTTTTCGCTAATGTTGTTGGTAATGTCCATTTCCTGGCTGTTTCTAATCATGTCCTGGATTCAGCTGGACGGGCTACTCTATGCGCACATCATAGTCAATGCTGTGCAGACGCCTCTGCTGCTCTATATTTGCGTGTTGCGTCAGCGACACGTCACATTTCTGCTAAAGAAATCCTGCTGCTACAATGAACCACCGTCCACCAATGACTGGGGCGATGAGATGCACTACATGAACTGTAATGACTACTGAAACTTCTCGTCCACGCTTAATTTAAGTTAGTCGTTAAGCTATGCTAAGTGTTTTATGTAATTTAACGATGTTTAACATTGAGATTTCCACTACTAACCGTTAAGTGTACTTAAAAAACATACCCATACACCCACGTCTAATTTATGAAAATAAATCAACAAAAGGCTGATACATACCTGTCCAAATAGTTTGCCTTCTTCCCGCTGTACCAACGGCGAAAGCAGGGCACGCACAATCAAATGACAATCATCCAGTACGGTGTTGAAGAAGCGTCGTGTTGGTAACAAAGCCTCCAAATCTATAATGAACTCCAAAAAGCGTTCACAATAATGTACAACATTCCTGTTAAGTTCCCCCTGCGCAGGAATGCGTTCCAGAATATGCAGAAAGTCGACTATTAGATTCTGCATAAAATGGCGCTCCCAGACCAATTCAGGCTTTGGATCCGTCCCTTCTTTCTTTTGCAAGCGCTTCCAATACTTGCGCCATTCCGGCACTTCCCGCAGCTCCTGATCCCGCCGACCTATTAAAAACAAAAATAGGCGATTAGATTGTGTTTGGTTAATTATAGGGTCGACTTACGAGGCTGTAGACAGTGCCACATGGAAAGGGACACCAGGCGCTTAGCTTGCTCTCGGCATAGCTCGATTTCCATGCTATTAAAGCAGTGATTTAAAAACATAAGTAATGCCGTGCGTTCGCGTAACGTGCTGCTCGCTTCCTTAGTGCCCTGCCTTGGCAAACATGACTCCAGCACGTGTCGAAAGAAAGCCGGATACTCATCTGGCAGCTGCTCGAACACACTCCACACCTCGACGCGTTCACGGAACTTCTCATTTGCCATCACTACAATAGACATGAGGTGTGCGTGCGTAGCCTTCTCACGTTTGTAATTGGGCCATAAATATTGCTCGAGATATTGGCTAAATTCCAGCATGTTGATACGGCGGGAGCTGTTTTTGCTGGCCGTGATTTCCTCGACGTAGATGCGCTCTATAATATCGGCATTGTATGGCAGATGCTCTGCTTTCGTGTCCGGCGACCAGTATTGCGATGAAAGCTATAAAACAAGTCAAACAAGAATGTTTAAAACAAAAGGTGCAAACGTTTAAAATGAGTGCAGCGCACCTGCCAAATGACATCAGAACTAAACTGTGAGAGGGTTAGAGCACCGGTTTGTTCTTTCGTCTTTTTAATAGCATTCTTTTCTGCCTGTGTTTGGCTTCTTCGTTTCATTTTTGCAAACCTAAAAACCTCGATATTGTTAAAATAAACACAGAAAGTTCGCCAAAACAAAAGCCGGCTGAAATTTTAGTGATGCGTATATCCAGTAGAAATCGATAATTTACAACCATTTGCAGCGATCTGGCAGCATCATCGACTGCAACCGATACCGATTGTGTCGCTAGTTGCGTTCGACTGTCTGTTTGTTTTTATTGCATGCCGCTGCCGCTCTTTTTGGACTTATTATTTTTAAGGACGTTGTCAAAAATAACTCAAATAATTAGAAATGTCTTTCCCGCCTCAAACAGAACTCTTGCACGTGAGTATTTGATAATTACCGTTCAGCTGCGCTTTTCTGTAATCTAATTTTTATATATGCAGAACCGCATTCTCACTGTGCTTAGCTTTCCTTTGATGGAGAGGTTACAAGAGCTCAGCATAATGTTTGAGCGCTGCACGGCGCGACAAATACAGGAAATATATCCGATGATAGTGCACTCTATATTTGGCATAAATGGGAATGCGTTGGGCTGGGGTTTACGCACAACAACAATCGAGAACGGGCCCCACTACTTTAATGCACTTCATCAGTTCTTTGGAGTGACCGGTCCTTTTATGAATATCTGCCATAGACTGCTCAATGAAACTACAAAATTTGCTATTGATATTAGCTTGCTACCGGTAAATGGAAATGGCGAAGTATTAATGCAAAATTTCACTTTAAAACCATGCACTTATTTTAATTTTTCAGAGCAAGTTCGTCAATATGCTTAACAATCAGAGTTCGGCGTTCTACAGCGATCTCATCAACATCGATCCTTTCCAGCGTCAAGCGAACACGCTCTCGCTGAACGCCTTCGACTTCTACATTTTACACTTCGTTTTGTATGCTTTGCAACCTCTGCATTGCATAAATCCGATTGCCATGCAAGTGCATAATGAACGCACCAAGACTGTCTATCTACTATTGGTAACCGAGTACTTGGACAACTTTTTGCCGTTGCACCCGGATGTTCTCATTCAGCCGGCCAATTTCTGCAACACTGTTAAGGCTCCTCAACCGCTGCCCACTCCATTGCTGCAGCCCCAGCGAAAGCCACGCTACCTAAGAATACCCACAAATTATGGCAATGGTAACATAGGCACGAGTGGCTCAGGCGGTGGCAACACATCACCACAATCAGGTGGAAGTGCTGCCCGTGCTCTTTCCTGGCGTTCCGAGTCTGTCGTGCATTTCTTCATAGATATTTGGCTTCGCTATGATATTGAGGCAGAACGTCACTTGCCTAGCAGCGATTTTGTGCGTGGTGTCCGTGTCCTCATCAAACAGATCCATTTCTTTGCCAATGGAGTGCATTTGGATCACGGTTCGTTGTGTTTGCTGCGCAAGGTTTCCCTTACAATGGTCAAGGCACGCATTTATGCCTTCCTCTGCAGTCTTATTGAACGCTGGCCACTTGATTGCTCGCTGGTGGTGGTGTTGGAGCTTTGGCTTAGTTATATCCAGCCTTGGCGTTACACGATTGCTGCGGCGAACCACAGAGTGTAAGTTTAAATTTTATTTATTTTCCTAGTATTGCAATTAATCCAATTGTATATTACTTTGCAGAGGCGGCATCAATTATGAACCACCCATATTGCCATCATTTGACAATTTCATCATGGAAAATATAATTGTTTACACTCACATTTTTATGCTGCTGTTGCCGCGGTTTGAACGACTGGACTACACAGTATATCGGAACGCACACATGCTCTTCCGTCTGTCGAAGACTTTTGCTCAGCAAGATTTGGGAGATCGTCTGCAGAGATTCGAGCAAGTCGGCAGTACGTTTGGCTTTGACTCACCACAGCGCCAAATTAAACTAATAAGGTAAGTTGCACACCAAGTGTTTTCAAAACAGTCACTTAAGTGGTTTATCCTTACAGCAACTCGCCCAACAGCAATGTCTCTTGGATTTCATTGGGTGGTTCGCAATCGCCCAAACTTTTTAGTAGAGAAATGCACGCGCAAATCGAGAATTTCCTGTTCATCATTAGTATGGCCCGTAATACTGTGCTGCGTGAAATAGGCACAATTCGCAATGAAATTGCCAAGCGTCAGCGTTCAGAAGGTTTCATTAAAAATCTCTTGAGTAAACTGATGGCCGCCCCCTCACAAGAAGAACTGACACTTAAGGAAATTAGTCGCATACCCGAGCTACTTCGCCAGGGCATTAATTCCTTTTGCAATATATTTAATGTAAGTTAAAATGAAGTTTATGTACAATTTCGTGACACTTAACGTTTACTCGTTAAAGGTGGATCCTGGAAACTTGTCCATGCACGAATCGCTGCCACCAGAACCCCCCAGTCCGCAGGAACAAACGGAGCAGTTTTCCTTTTTCGATATGAGCGACTCTCTGGATACATCCAAATTGACGCCTAGTAAAATGGCTCTGAATGCGTCGAAGATTCGAGCTACTGTGGATCCTGCTCTTCTGCCTCTCCAATCCAACGAAATAAGGCCATTGACACATCTTCTTCACTTTGTATCGGAGAACATTAATGCAAAGGTGTGTGTTAGCAATTTAGTCCATTCATTAGATTCACTAAAAGATTGATTTTATCCATAGTTTGGCAGCAGTATTGAAAGCTGCTATTCCCGCGAAGATTTCTGTGGCAAAGTCGCGCGTCAACTGTTATGCGCTCCCATGACGGAACAGTGGTTTGATAGGAAATGCGGCAACACAAGCATATGCGAGAAACAGCTACCCCCTCGCGTCTGCCTTCGGCCGCTTGCCTCCATACCAGTGCTTTTTACGATCGTCTGCTCACTAATTCTCGGTCACTGGGTGTGGGGCGCACCTACGATGGGGCTGATGGGTCTATGTTTTATGTTTCTAATTTATGTATTATTGCAAGCGCTCATCTCTTAAGCATTTGTGGTTAATATAAAAATGATATACGACTTTAGTATAAAACTAACGAATGATCTACTTTGACTAACTGCCTGTTGCCTGCCTTAATTTAAGCGCCAAGCGCAATGTTTCACTCGGTACTGTAACCATGCGCAAAACACAGTCTACAGGCCTTTCGTTGAGGCACTGCATCTGAAACTTTGTAGTACAGACGCCCAATAGAACGTGCAACTGCTTCAGCGCGACACGTCTGCCAATGCAGGACCGTTGGCCAATAGCGAAGGGCAGACTGCCATGTGATTGATGCAATAACTCCGATTGTGGGCTCCAGCGTTCTGGCAATATGCTCAGAGGTTCTTCAAAATTTGTTGGATCACGACCGGCTGTGTACAAAGAGAGCAGCACAAGTGTCTGAAGGAGAGACTTAAATTACAAACCAGTTAAAGGGAATTGTATTTTGTATGTACCTTTTTCTCTATGAAATGACCGCCCAATTCCACATCCTGCGGCAAGTAGCGCCCAATGAATGGTGCCACTGGATACAAGCGCAGCGCCTCTTTAATTAGGCCATGGAGCAATAAAGACTTAGTTGGATTAGCAAGTTCCAGTTCCTTGGCCATGCGGTGCTGTAAATCGGGTTGCTGGCCAAGCGCATACAAAGCCCACTGGCTGCTGAATGCGGTCTGCATGAGAGACAATTCAACGAGTTGGGCTTTAAGTCTATGTACAATGTGTTGGCTATAAATCTGCACACCGTGTCACCTGCTGCTATAACCAGATCCACAAATATGCGTCTGATAAGTTCGATCGGCAGCTCCGACGCAAGTAGTCTTTGATACAGCGTGTCCGTCTCTCCAGACTCCCTACTCTCCCTGGGCTGCTGCTTTGCTATGAACAACTCGATGATATTGGAACTCTGTTTCAGCACCAAGTCAACATTTTGCTCAAAATCTCGCCATATTCGCAGACGCAACAGTTGCGCCAATTTAGGCGGAAAGTTCATCAACAAGGAGCTATGCTCGAACATTTTGTGAACCGTAAGTGTAAAATTGTCCAATGCTGCTTGTATATTCTCGCAGGTTAGGGAACTGCTGCCAAACATAATGCCGCAAACCACTGAAAACAAAAACAACTTCATTTGTATTTCAATTTAGACAAATCCCTATACTCTCGAGAATACTCCTCATGTTAAATCACAATAATTTGTGTGATTTAAAAAAAGTATTGCTATTTAGGTGAATTCTTTTTAGCAATTTAAATGATCCACGAAACAAAATGAAATAAACAATACGAAATAACTTTTCTAAAAATGATTAAAATAAATTCCTTTGTTTTTCCCCAGCAAGGCAGTATTACGAAATATTAAATAAAATACAATTCCTTCTAAAATATAACACATTTGTTGCACAAATACGTGTACTCTTTGAGGTACGTTCTAGAGAACACGAAAGTTCTTAAAAATAAACAAGATAGAACGCTACAGTCGAGCAAGCCCGACAGTAAAATAGCCTGTACTCTCCACAAAAAAAGAAAAATTAAAAAAAAAAAGTTTAAAAAAAAAATTAAATTATTAAAAAAAATTAATGAATTAATTAATTAAATTAAATTAGAATATATGTTTATGTTTAGTTTTAACAGCATACATTTACATCACGTACCTATGCGTGTTTATATGCGTGTATGTATGCAGCACAAAGTTGAACCAAAGCAGCAACAACAACAACAGCTGCGGGCAGCGCTGCCGACAGAGGCAGCGCATGAGCAGCGATTTTACTTATGGCTATAACTTTCTTCAGAATTGACCTATCATGATGAAATTTGGCACACGGACACATTAGTACTAACTGGATGTACCTACCAAAATTGATTTCAAAATTCCGAGAATTACGGAAGTTATAAGAAAAAACACGAATTGCGGGGGAGTGGGGGGGTGCATCGAAAAAAAACTCAAACTCGTACTTTCTCGGTCTTAGGAGAATATGGAAACCAAGTTTGGTTATTCTAGCTCTTATACTTTCTGAGATCCTTGCGTTCATACGGACAGACGGACAGACGGACAGACGGACAGACGGACAGACAGACGGACAGACGGACGGACGGACGGACAAGGCTATATCGACTCGGCTTCTCATCCTGATCAAGAATATATATACTTTGTGGGGTCTGCCACGCCTCCTTCTGTGTGTTACATACATGCGCACAAAACTAGTATAGCCTTTCACCCTTTGGGTACAGGCTATAAAAAAACAACAAACATTTTTGAAGCCATTCTAATGAGTGTTTTAGGGCTGCTCTAGCTAAATCAAGCTTAAAATACAATTTATAGTATATATAATTGGCGTTTTGTTGGAAGCTCATTTTAATACCGTTATCATATGTAATGTTAATGTTATTATGGAATTATTGAGAGAGCGTTCGTAAACTCTGGATCCTTGTAGTCGCCCATAGTTGGCGCTAGAAAGAACATTATTGGAAAAATTCAGTTTAGTTAAAAAAAATATGCAGTGCATAACCTGTTCTGGTTGGTACGAGAATGTGTCTTGATGCAGAAATTAAAAAGTCAGTCAAAGCTGTAGCTCGATATCTTGCCAACTGTGCGATGAGAGTTTATGTTTGCCACTCAAACGAATTTATAATTTCTAAAGATAACGGCATGAGACAAATAAGGCAGTACAAGTATGATTCCTATTTAATCAACCTGTTCAGTGGTAAGTCCATTTCCTATTCGATAAAACACTTGCATAAATGCCTCATTTACTAGAATTTCTTCTCTGATCATATAAAAAACTTTATCAAATGCTTTTTTAACGCAGGTATACATAGGTTTTTGTACAAATAAAATAAACATACCTTCAATAGACCATCGATAAAGCTGCTCCTCCAGTTGTGGCAGCTCGTACGAACCTCCGATAACAGCTTGGGTCTGTAAGCACCAGCGTTCCACCAACTTCTGCGTTATGCTCTCAATATGGACGTCCATCCAATTCAAATTACCGTTGAGCAGCAGGCGATTAAGTATACGCCTGTTGTGATACCACTCCGCGCCTTCCCTGAAGCATTTGAAATTCCAATGTGTGCTCATTTGGCATTCGTTGATGTGTCACTTACATAAAGAAGAGACCGCGCTGACATGCGTGCAGCTTGTTATACAACGTCCAGGCCTCGGGTAGCGGATGTTGCGGATGCTGACCCTCATGCAAAAACACGCTGCGCATCAGGGTGGCGGATGATACGAATACACAGTCCTGGGTGCCGCCTAAGCGTTCACGAAAGATTGGTCCATACTGACGATGGCGAGCATCTATGTACTTATGAAGTCTAAAACAGATAAAGCATGACTATGGCTTTTTATACCCTGTACCCAAAGGGTACAAGAGTATATTAGTTTTGTGCGAGTGCACATGGAACACACAGAAGGAGGCTTGGCAGACCCCACAAAGTATATATATTCTTGATCAGCATAACAAGCCGAGTCTATATAGCCATGTCCGTCTGTCCGTCTGTCTGTCCGTCTGTCAGTCTGTCTGTCTGTATTAACGCAAGGATCTCCGAAAGTATAAGAGCTAGAATAACCAAACTTGGTATAGATTCTGAGACCGAGAAAGGACGAGTTTGTTCATTTTTTCTGATCCACCCCCACCACACTCCCCCCCTATTAACGATTTTCTATAACTCCCGTAATTCTTGGAATTTTAAAATTTGGTAGTCACATTAGGTTAGTTATTATATAACCGTATACCAAGTCTCATTATGATAGAATGATCGGAAAGAAAGTTATAGCCATATAACCAGGCCCAATGCACACATATATACATATGTACAAGTACACAAACACGCATAAGGCACGATTCTGATGTAAATGTAAATGTATGTATGCATGCATGGAATATTTTATATTTAATTAGTTAATATTTAGTTAATTAATTAAATTAATTTAGTTAATTAATTAAATTAAATTAATTAATTAATTTAATTACTTTTTTGTGGGGTGGTACAGGGTATTTAGCATTCCTTTCTTGTTTAAAAATGCATTTGTGCCAGAAACTGGCCTTTTTGCGGACCACTTAGCCAACAAATATCGAATATGAATATGATGGGAATGTTCTTAACTAAAAAGGTTTTTCATCTTAGGGATTTTTAATTAATATTAATTAATTTAATATTTTTAAGCACACTCATTAGCACCAGTTTCTGATTTTAAAGGGGATTCAGGTTTTGTGGAAATCTTAGAGGAGTTCTAATATGATTATCAAAGAACTACAAGTAAACAGTTTGTTTATAATGAGGGGTTCTGATTAGTGGAAGGATACTTTTGTACTTACTGCTGAGCACCTCCTGCTCTTATCAAATCAAAGAGTGTGCCCACTAAAGGCAGACCTTTAACCCGCGGTATCGGCGCATATTTCTGAGGGACCGGTGCAATCCTTTGCTGCTGCTTATAACGATAGCCGCCCTTCAGTTCGCCTTTTAAGTGCCAAAGGACTTTCAAGAGCAGTGTTCTCAGCCAGCTCTGTGTAGAGCGCAGCAGGCCGACTAAGGTGCTCGCCATGGCAGGGAATGTAATAAACAACAAAATCACGTTTACACACACATGCACACACAGACACAAAAATATAACGACACCGCTCGTTTAATGAACCGGTAACGATTGTGAGCGGCCACTGAATGATCAGAGGGATCCGCGCATCGTTCTCAGTTGTAAGTGCGACGCCAGTATTTGCGTCGACGTCGACAGCTGCGACCGCACAGGAAACTATCAGTCTACCAGTATTGACTTTCCTTTGCGCGGACCGCCTCGGAGGCAGCGGCAGCGGCGAACGCAAGGGCAAGGCTAAATCAGAACTGATTCGATATGCCTGCGGCTAACGCCTTATAACTGACGCACATACCGGCAGAGTCAGAGAAATGAAATGCGGAGAGGTAAAGTAAAAGTGCGATAAGACATTGGCTTGAGTGCTTGGCAAAAATGTTGTCGGCCCTACCTGCACTCGGACGGGCTCTACATTGAAGTCAATTTTATAGATACGCTCGCGTACAAACAGTACTCAGACCAATGTGCCCGCCTTAATGATATGCACAAATACAAATCCAATAAACAGAACTCCAATGCCTATCATTTGTTCAAGCAGACGCTGAGTTGGCTGAAAATATACATATGTAAGAGCCAATATGCTGCCTATGCAAATTGCTTGACTTTTGGGGCTGTTGCGCAGACAGAGCGAAGAGCGTTAATCCGGGACTTGCCACTTCCCGTTATCTTCACCATAAAGTATTTAATTCGCGAATACTTACCATTACTTAAAAATATCAATTTACGCAACAGATTTACCAAATACTGTGAACATTCTTCTGATCTAATTGAAAACCCTTGCCTGTGGGCCTACTGTTATTATTTCACAATTATGTAGTTGTTCTTTATTATTGCTATTTCTTTATGTTAATTTCTTTTTCATTAGGTCTAATAACGAGACGTTATGGCTACTCTCTGCTGTGAATCGGGGCATAGCTGGCCGTTGGCAAAAAGATTCGTGTATTCGTGTAATTCCTATAGGCTTTTGATACTCTGTACATGAAATGTACAAAAGTATAGTATATTAGGCTTGCGCGAACTGAAAAAAGGTAACAGGCAGAAGGAGGCGTGGCAGACCCCACAAAGTATATATATTCTTGATCAGCATGACAAGACGAGTCGATTTAGCCCTGTCTGTCTGTCTGTCTGTCCGTCTGTCCGTCCGTCCGTCCATATGATCACCTAGATCTCAGAGACTATAAGAGCTAGAGACACCAAATTTTGCACAAAGATGCCTTATGTGTGTACGCTATACGAGTTTGTTTTATTTTTTTGATTTTCCCACTTCCCCCCTATGGGGGTTTTTCCGTAACGCCGTTCGTATAATCGCCTATATCTCAGAGACTATAAGAGCTAGGGACCCCAAATGTTAGTCCCAGATGCCTTATGTGAATACGAAGAAAATGTGTTTTTTGGAATGTCCCTCCCTCTCCCCTGCAAATCGCGATTTTCTCTAACTCCCGTAATTCTTGGAATTTCGAACTAAAATTTTGCAAATACCCCCAGTTAGTTATTATGTGTCCGTATGCCAAGTTTCACTATGATAGACCGATTTAACAAGAAGTTAAATGCCCGCGGCTGTTGTTGATGTTGCTGTTTAGTTGACTGCTAACATGTTTACACAGACGCGAATAGATGCGCATAGGCATCCATACACTCACGCAGACGCAATTGCAATGTAAATGTGCAATTATACACCCTTTACGTGAGTACCGAGAAAGGTAAAATCGATCAAAAATTTGTTTTCAAATTTTCTTAATTTTTTTTATTTTCTATAATTATTGTAAACATATGTACAGATTTCAAAGTCGGGACACCCGGCTTAAGCTTTTTTACTTGTTTATTCTTTAGTTTTACTTAGTTTAAGTTCATTATTGTATTGAATTTTTTTTCTTTTTAAAATTGACTGCTTTGTTTATCGATGAAATAAATAAATGAAATTATTATTTCATCCCTGTGTTTTTTGAATGTAAATACGCACTTTCTGTTTCACCTCTGCTCAAAATATGCAAAGTTATTTTAAAAATGTTTTTATTTTTTTAGGAAAAATACCTCGTGGGCATTTCAAAACTATTAGCGTTACTTCCACCCATGTGCGACCCAAATTTTCAAAATGTGACAAGTAGAAGAAAAGCGCTCTTTACGCTGCTTTTGGAGATTCGCGCCCAGACTTTAGAAGATTGATCCCAAACTAAATCTTGTGGACTGAATCGTACACATAAATGAATTCGTGTCCCACAGTTAGTTGTTTTTGCTGCCTTATATTTTATATAAAGTTAGAGCGCATGCAGGTCAATTTTCAGAACTCTACCCTTAGAAATTTTTCAAAATTGGAGACAACTATAATTTCACATATATAAAAAAACCATAACATTTAATAATTAAACTACTTATAATGTATCATGAGCAACTGAATTGCATTGTACTCTCTAAGATTTTGGTAACACTTTTGTAAACATTCAAACGTTATGAAAACTTTTCATACAATATATATTATATGTAGAATCCGTAAAGTATTATTCTTGTTTGAAAAAACCGGGAACTTGTGTTAATATTGATGTTGATTTATTAGCTTCTAGTCTTAGTATAGTCGGTCGTCCATTTATTGTTTGCTATATGTTTAGCTATATTTGCTTTAAAAGATCTCATATAATCATCAAATTTATTTTATAACATTTGATTGATTTGATTATTGCTGCCACAATAAAATAAATAACATTAGTAGAAAATATTGCATCATCCCTATTATTAAAAAAAAAAAAAACAGAGCACAGTATAATTACTGAGCTCTATTTGTATACTTTGTATATTTTTAGATTTTGAAACAGATTATCTAAGCTTGAAATCAATTTTGCAATTTCTATGCTGACAACATTGTAGCAAGTGTTGATTCGTTATTCAGTGAGGCTTTCTAAAATCGAATGGAATGCTAGAGTCATGAGGGCCTGCCTCTTTAGAAGTACAGTACTGACTTAAGTAAAGTAGCAACAACAACTGATGACTTTAACTTTCTTTTCGATTTGATCTGGATCCGATATAACTTATCATGAGAGCTCTGACATGCACTAACATGATATAATTATAAAATGTTATGCAATCCAAACAATTAAGGGAGCTATGAAAATAATAACGAGGGAGAAGGAGTTCGGGAAATCAAAAGCTTGGCTACCTTAGGGCTTAGAATAATATTAAGACCAAATTTGGTTATTCTAGATATTCTACTTTACGAGAAACTTGCGTTTATTCCGGAGGACACGTCTGTGTATTTCGACAAATCTCGTGTTACATTACTTAAAAAGGAGTTTAAAATAATCCGTCCGTACTCTGAATTTTTTTTGAAATAAAATACTTGTAAAATACTTAAACAGAAACACATTTTGGGAAAGTATGTAGCTATATTTGAAGAGCTTTAAAAAAATCGTTTTTAAAAACAACAAAGTGGAACATATTAAAAAAAAGTCAAACTTCATGATAGATAAACCTAATACGATATACATAAGTGGTTCAAAAGATCTCGGTATGATAGACGGTCATATCAATATTGCTTCGTCCTGTCATACTGATTATACGTGTCACAACTCTGAATTTTTATAGGAACGATCGATGCAATCAAGTTTATTATTGTCTGAGATTATTCAATCGATGATTTAAAGTTGTAGGTTTCAGCTATGACAAATATCGAAAGTGTAAAAAAACTGATCTATACTAGTATTTTAATACCTAAACAACTGAGAAATATACTGTTACATCTGCTCGATTTATTCCATAGGCCAGCCAGCTCGTCTTTACAGCATAGTCCCCCTTGGGGAATGGGAAGTGCCTCGTGAGTTTTGAATTGATAAATGACATGGGCAGTTCATTAACCTGCACATCATGCTACAAAATTGGAATAATCATTTAATTTTGAAATGCAGCAATAAGTTACAGAAGACTTACGTCATAAGGGCATGTGTGATTCATATTGGAATAAGATACATAAAGATCATAAAAATATTTCTTTAGCGAATTTCTGGTTCTCTCTAAAAATTTGCAGGCATCAATAGTATAATTATAAATAAAGGGGTGGTAGCCACCATTCATTTGTTTATGTAATGAGACCGCTGACTGAAATTATAAAAACATAAGTATATAGGTAGGTATATGTCAGAAATATATTATAGTTCATACCGAGATATTTGTGACTGGAACTTTATGTAAAAAAACGTTTACCGTAATGAATTTGTAGTTATTCATGGTTTTAAGAATGCATTTGTCAAATTCAGCAAATTCCCTATCCTTCGGCGAGCATATCATTTTTGTAAGTTCTAATCTCGAGCTAACCTGCAAATGAAAATAAATTAACACATATGTCTTAATAAAAAGTACATACCATGTACTGTGATCTATGTACATATCCGTAAATATGTCCGTACTCTGACATTTTTGTACGTAAAATACATGTACATATGTCATTAAAACAAATTAGTCTTATATAAAAAAAACTCTTCTTGAATTGCATTATTCTTTTGAGAGGAATATGATTTATAGTATATAGAATCTTAACGTGGTCGCCGTCGGTACATAACTTGAATGGTGTTACAAACTTTAACACTTATAAAAATTTTCAGTAAAATTAGGTTAAATTGTAGGGATATTTGTACCTCCGACAAATAAAATAAAAATGCTACCATCCACAGCAATTTTGTGTTGTTGATTCCGGAAATCATTTTACAAAAGATGAACGAAAACTGAAACACATTTTCAGCAAATACCTACATATATTTGAACAGCTTGTTTTTAAAACCACAAAGTGGAACATATTAAACAAGTAAAAAAGCTAAAGTCGGGTGTCCCGACTTTGAAATACTCTGTACATTTACAATAATTACAGAAATTAAAAAAATTAAGAAAATTAAAAGAAAAATTTGGTTTTACTTCTGTCGGCATTCGAACTCACGTAAAAGGTGTATATTTGCACATATAAAGTACAAAGCAATTGCGTCTATGTGAGCGTATGAATGTACCTGCGCGTCTATACGTGTCTAATGTCTAAACATGTTTGCAGTCAACCAAAAGCATCAACAACAGCTGCGAGCAGCGCTTGGGCAGCAAATATATTTATGGTTATAACTTCTTGTTAAATCGGTCTATCATAGTGAACCTTATACGGCATGCGGACACATAATAACTTACTGGGGGTATTTGCAAAATTTGAGTTCGAAATTCCAAGAACTATGGGAGTTACGATTTGCGGGGGAGAGGGGGAGGGAGGGAAATTCCAAAATACACATTTTCTGCGTATTCACATAAGGCATCTTGGACTAAAATTTTGTGTTCCTAGGTCTTATAGTCTCCGAGATATAGGCAATTATACGAATGGAAAATCTGGAAAACCCCCATTGGGGGGGAAGTTGGGGGAAATAAAAAAAAAATTAAAACAAAAAAAATAACACACATAAGACATCTTTGTGCAAAATTTGGTGTCTCTATCTCTTATAGTCTCTGAGATCCAGGTGTTCATACGGACGAACAGACGGACAGACAGGGCTAGATCGACTCGTCTTGTCACGCTGATCAGGAATATATATACACTGCCTGTAACATTTTTCAGCTCCTGCAAACCTAATATACTCTTGTACATTTCATGTACAGAGTATAATTACAAAATTCATGATAGATAATCTTAATACGATAAGTGTTGGCCCGTAAAATCTGAATAAAGAATTGTTCACCAAATATCTTCTTTATCTTAAACTGATTTAGTAATGACTTCGCCTCTCCCACCAATCACCTGAAAAGAGAACACTGTGATTATGGTAAAGCCTCAAAAAATACCCAACATCTTGGTGCTCATAAGGAATGATAGATGTCGATATCGCTCCGTCCTGTCATGGGCTGACACACCTACCTCTGCATTTTTATAGGAATGATCGGTGCAATCAAGTTTACTTTTGTCTGAGATTATTCAATGGATGATTTAAATTTATAGACTTCAGCTATGATACAAATTAAAAGTGTGCACACATTGATAAAGATCTACATCAATTTTAACAACTAAACAATTGAAAAATATACTGTTACATCTGCTCGATTTATTCCGTAGGCCAGCCAGCTCGTCTTCAGAACGTAGTCGCCCTTGGTGAATGGTAAGTATCCCGTGACTTTTGAATTGAGAAATGACATGGGTAGTTCATTAACCAGCACATCATGCTACAAATCGGAATAATCATTTAGTTTTGAAATGCAGCAATACATAAATAATAGAAGACTTACGTCATAGGGGCAAGAGTGATTTATGTTGGAATATGATGCAAAAAGATCATAAAAATATTTCTTTAACGAATTTTTGGGTTTTTCCAAAAACTTGCAGGAATTAATAGTGAAATTATAAAGAAAGGGGTGGTAGCCACCATTTGTTCGTTTATGTAATGAGACGGCTGACTGAAATTATAAAAGCATATATAAATATATGTCAGAAATATATTATAGTTCATACCGAGATATTTGTGACTGGAACTTTATGTAAAAAAACGTTTAACGTAATGTATTTGTCGTTATTCACGGTTTTAAGAATGCATTTGTCAAATTCAGCAAATTCCTTATCCTTCGGCGAGCATATCATTTTTGTAAGTTCCAATCTCGAGCTAACCTGCAAAACAAAATTTATTACCACATATGTCTAAATAATAGGTACATACCATAGACTGTGATCCCGCACTCTGATATTTTTATAAAAATAAAAATATTTATGTCATGCAACATCCTCGGATAATTGTGCAACAATTTCTTTTGAAACAAATTAGTTTTTTGTAAAAAACCTCTTCTTGAATTGCATCATTTCCAATAGAGGAATATGATTTATAGTATATAGTGTCATAACTTGATCGATCTCTATACATAACGTAAATGATGTTACAGTTGTTCACACTTAAAACTTAAGTAAGAAAAGAGTTTAAAATGTAGGGATATTTGTACCTCCGCCAAATAAACTAAAAACGCTACCATCCACAGCGATTTTATGCTGTTGATTCCGGAAATCATTTTACAACAGTTGAAAGAAAACTGAAATACATTTTTAGCAAATAGTTATATTTGAACAGCTCTTTAAAATTAACTAAAAAAAAAAACATAGTAGAACCTATTAAAAAAATTACAAAAGTCATGACAGATAAACTGGGCACGATATGTGTTGGCCCGTAAAATTTGAATGAATCCATATTCGCCAATTATCTTTTTTATCCAAAACTGGTTAATTGGTGACATCGCCTCTCACACCTACCTTCTGGAAAAAGAACACTCAGGTATAATGTTTTTATTTTTGGATGACTTTATAGAACATTGGAGCACTATTTAATAGTTATAGTCGCGCTTCCCTGATATTCTATACAATTTTTTATTCTGTTACATGGAAATGATTGCCATAGCAGCAATATTATAAGTATAGTGTTAGAGTTAGATGTACTATGTATATATTTTGTTAAGGGATCAAAAAATAGTCAACATTTTTTAAAGATATTCTAGATAATGAGGGTTTAAGAAAACTTAAACTTGGTAAGTGTATGTATAAGTCTGCACATCAAGTTTAGTCAACCTAGCTGTTCTGGTTGAAAAGTGCTAGATGTTTATACGCATGGATAGACTGAAATATGTATATATCTATATTGATTTGTCTCGCCATGCTGATTATATTTGTATTCATAACATGGGATCTGCCTCACCTCTTTCTGTCTGTTATTTATATCGCTTAGTCTTTCTGATATACCCTTTCACCCTTCGGATGGAAGTTGCTAAAAATAGTCCGCAACTTTGTTATTCAGTGTTCGGCATGCTCTCAGAGAGCGGGAGCAGACATTTTTTCATTCGGATACTCAACGCCATTCAAGTTTGTTATACTCGTAGAATATGTGTGCGTGTGTATTGTTTTAAATGTGCACAAAAGCTCCAATTCGTGCAACAAATGAAACGGCCCATGGCCCTCTCTCACTTGGCGCTTGCTCGCTGCTTCTCCATTCAGTTGCGTTCGAGCGCTGTGTCGAGACGGTTCGTTCATCGCTTGGGGAGGAAATTCGGTAAGAGGAGTTTATACGGCCGGCACGTGTGAACGTCGCGAAAGCTTCAAGTGGTTTGTGAGTCAAATGCACACAGCGACATACATACGTGTACGTAGTGATTTATTAATTAAAAATAGGAATTGTGATAAACTGAAGTGATAAATTAAATTCGTACACTATCGATGGCAGTTTAAATCTGCCGAAATATTTGATTGCAAAGTAACTTCTATAGAGATACGGTATGTGGTAACATCATCATTAGCCTAGCCATGTATATGTGTGTGAGTGCATTTGTATGTAGTTATGAGCATTTAAAATTTTTGCTTTTCATTATCGCGTCACCACAGCATTGCCTCCTGCAATTTGCCTGGGCGCTTTGCGTCATGAATAATTTGGTTGTATTTACAAATGCAATGCATACTAAAATATTATTTATATTCTTAAATATGAAAAATGGTGCATGTCAGTTTGCTGAAATTTTTGTGAGTTTTTGTGCGTTTTATTGCGTTTGTTTCGAGCAACCAGTCAAGCAGAGAGTAAAGTGCCGGCAATTGTTTGTACCCCAAACCCTCATACCCCCTTAATGAACATGACAACCGCGCGAGTCGCCGGTTTGTTTGCATAAGCAGTTTCCTCGTATTTTCGATAGCGTTTTGCCCGATTGCTGTACACATGTCGTAAACACTCCCCTACAGCTGAAAATACATACATAGATACGTGTACGTACATACATACATACATAAACTAAGCAGCATTGATCGCAATTTAGAATCTGACGCAGTTTTTTGTTCAACAAGTGTTTACTGAAAAATGATTACAAAATTGAAATGCAATATTTAAACAAGTGCAATACTAGTCAGCTGCAAAAATAAACACTTCTGTGTCAATTCATTTGGTTGAGTCTGAGCAATGGAGACCTAAAATAAACATTTATTTGCAGAATAAATTGGGGCATCAAAATACCGGCGAACGGGAATATGATATAATAGGTTGTTCACAATGTTTGTAACACTCATACACTCAATCCGTATTACTAAAAACCAAGATCTATGTAAAGGAGCTAAGATCATTCAACTTTGTGAGTGTAACTCACCTAAGTTCAACTAAGTGCGAATCTTCTGCAACTTACTGTTGTTTTCCTGTCAGATAAAAGAAAGTACCCACCTTTAGATTTGAACTAAGAATTATATCTTTCTGTCTACCCTGTGTTCTCTCCATATTATATTAACTGGTCTTTATTTTGTTGGCAGTTTTACAACTGAATTATCTTTTTTTTTTTAATTTCATATGTTTCCTTTGACTGAACGCTAACAAAATGTTGCAATAAGTACTCTAATATATAAATATAAATAGGAAAGACAACTTCCAGTATTCATTTTTCAATTTTTGTTTCCAAGGGGAAAAGAAGACTTCTCAGCATGATAATCAAGAACAATATTGTGAAAGCTATTTCATCATCGATGTTTGTATGACAAAACACTTCAGCAGACTCATATAAGAGAGTACATAGGAAGATTTCCATTATTTGATTAATTTGTGCTGTGCCATTAAACAAGCCCCTTAATTGGCCGACAATCAATGACGTAGATCTGCGCTGAAGTGCTCGTTGAAAATTCATTTTCAACATAATTAAAGCTCACTTGACCAAATTGAACCCTTAAAAACGTACTCTGCAAATTGAAAAGTATGATATCGACTAAATGCATTACGAAACCCTTTTCTAAATATATATGTACAATATATACATATGTACATATGAATTATGGTGAGTATGAAGGTGCTATTGCTTCTGTTATCTAGAGCTCGGAAATTGCACACTAAATCGTTTTAACAATGTTTGGTAGTTTGCTAAAAAGTTGTTGGCCACCTTGACATGGCAAGTTGCTGAAAATATTACTAGACTTTCACTCTTCATTCTGGTGCCCATGCCCAACTTTCATTGTCAAAAGAAAATTTCCCAATGTGGGTCAGTAACACTTGACGAACTGACCTTCAGCTTGCTTCAAAAACCGGCTGGGACCTATCGCAAGTCTGTTGATCTCCTGCGCTTATCTGAGGTGCTCTCGTGGTGTCGTGTGTGTTTTGTGGTCTGGCTGGCTCTCTAAAAAATTACTGTAAATATAATTTGCTGCGTTTATTGTCATAAGAAATGCGTTCGTCTTCTGATTTACGCTGGAACGCTAATGTTATCAAATATACAGAATATACTAGAGTTAATGGCCGATATGGTAGACGCGGTAGAGATGGGAATCGAGACTAACCGATGGTAATAAAAAATTAATGAAATGATATATTCACTTTGTTGCTTGTAGTCATAATTATAGGAGAATAGGTGTTTTTAACAGAAAGTTCCGTAAGTTCCAATAATTAAGTAAAAAAAAAATTTATTTTGGTAATATTTCAAGTTATAATATTTGTATTCATGACAAATGTAGGTCTTGCTGTTAAAATCATGGAATGAATCCAATCGGACAAGCGCTGAATTGATTTCAAATAAACAAGTCCGGATTTAATCGCTGTACCAGTTTTAGCGTAATTTCAAAACAAAGGGGCCGTTTTACGAAACAAGTGGTAGCTTTAAGAGTGTCTAGACTTTTGAGTTATAAATGAAGCAAATTTTTACTTGATATCTAGAGTATCCGTCTCAATAGATCTCATTGTAGCGAGCATGTGGAGCGTTGAAACTGAATACTTCCATTTACAAGTCGTTTTAGTACAAGGCCTCTTCAGTCTATGATTTATGTACAGAGCTGATAAGAAATTACAGTTGGACGAATTATAGCTTCTCCACAGACAATAAACAACGTCTAACGTAACTGGCAATTACGGAAAATACGAATCTTTTTGAATCTAATAATAAATTAGATTATCTTAATGTACCTATCGATCTGTTATTCATCATAGATCTAAAAAGGAAGAACCCCCATGCCAACATGGACAGCAGTGCGAAGCCGGAACGCAAAAATCCGCGACACAGAGCCAATATATTTTCCCAGCTGATATTCGCATGGACAGTTCCATTGATGTACAAAGGATCGCGGAAGGGACTAAATACGGATGACTTGACAAAATGCTTAGCCGAGGATGAATCCGAGCCATTGGGTGACCGCTTGGAAGAGTAAGTGAGAAAAAAATAAGCCTACCTCAGCCATAATTAAATGAACATCATAAATTATTCTCTTTCTAATAGTAAATGGTACCAGGAACTGGAGAACGCGCGTAGGAAGTCGCGGAAGCCACGTCTGCGCAATGCTTTGTTCAACTGCTTTCTGGGTCCCACGATTGTGAATGGACTCATCTGCCTTATTTACATTGTACTTAAGTGAGTATGGCTGCATTTAATCACGTCTGACTTAACTAACCCTCAAAACCCTTCATTACAGATCGTTGATACCCGCCGTTTTGGCGCAACTTTTGTTGCAATTTCAACGCGCCACTCCCGCAACGGAAGTAAGAAGCACCGAAGGCCATGAACTGGTTGATGCGCTCAATCGAACAGCACGCGCTATTGGAGGCGTGCAACGAGATTATTCACAAGCTCCAGACGCTGACAATAAAGGTGTCTTATCAGCAGAATGATGGGAATAAAAGGGGATTTGAAAAAAAAAAAAACAACAATAGCTAGACCTTTAGATGAGAATATTGGCGCCAAATATTTTGATTAGGCTTCGGGTTATGTTATGTATAATTGTCTGGGCGAATGTCTACTGAACATATACCTTCTATCTCTTTGTAGATAACCCCGTCTCCGAGAATGCCCTGGAAACAGGTGAGCCCTTCAAGGAGCATGTTTATCTTGATGCTGAAGCTGGCAATGCAACCACAGCTCTTGCCGCGGACAGCTTTAAGCAAATGGTGCTGTACCTGTGGAACGATACATATAGCTTGGGTGCCATTCTTGTGCTCTCAACTGTTCTGGGCTGCTTCTTGTTGCATCACGTAGATCTTCGTCAACGTCTGATGGGTGCAAAAATGCGCATTGCCTGCTGTTCGCTTATCTATCGGAAAACCTTGCGTCTGTCCATGAAGACGGCCGGTCAAACGCCAGCGGGTTATCTCATCAATTTGCTATCGAACGATGTGAATCGACTGGATTATGGTTTCATATTTATGCACTGGATATGGATAATGCCGTTGCATGCTGTGCTCATCTGCTATCTCATTTGGCTGCGGATCGGCATTCCAGCGTTAGTTGGAGTGGTCGGATTGCTACTTAAGACTGTGCCGGTGCAGACGGCCCTGAGCAAATTGGCCTCGGTGTTGCGACTTCGTACAGCCCTGCGTACAGATGCCCGTGTGGGTATTATGAATGAGCTGGTGCAGGGAATACAGGTAATCAAAATGTACGCTTGGGAGCGACCATTTCAGGCAGTTGTAGCCGAGGCCAGACGCAGCGAGGTGCAGCAAATACGGTATGCTTCGTACCTGCGTGGCTTCTACCTCAGCACAATGGTTTTCACGGAGCGTTCCACGCTGTACATCACGGTGGCCGCAGCTGCTCTTCTGGGCAACACCATATCAGCGGACTTTGTCTTCTCAGCGGCTAGCTACTATAATATACTGCAGCTGGTGGCTGCCATTTGGTATCCCTTGGCCGTTTCCTTTGGAGCCGAAGCTTTGGTCTCACTGCAACGCATTCAGGACTATTTACTAATGGAAGGGCGCGACGAGAAGGTCCACGGCATAACACAGAAACATGATGAAGGCGGCGACAGCCGGGCCATTGTGTTCAAAAACATCGATGCAAATTGGGATGCAGTCAAGCCGCAGCGTACCCTGCAGGATATTAATTTGGAAATACAGCGCGGTCAGCTATGTGCGGTTATTGGTCCAGTGGGTGCCGGGAAGAGTTCTCTATTACAACTATTGCTTGGTGAGTTACCCATCATAGACGGCAGCGTCGTCATTCAGGGCGAGCTCTCCTACGCAGCCCAAGAGCCTTGGCTCTTTACCGGAACGGTTAGAAACAACATTCTTTTTGGAGAGAAATACGATCGAAAACGCTACCATGAGGTGACCCGCTGCTGCGCCCTAAGCACAGATTTTCAACAGCTGAGCAATGGCGACAAAACGGTAGTGGGGGAAAGAGGAACATCTTTATCAGGTGGCCAACGTGCTCGCATCAGCTTGGCACGTGCCGTTTACAAACCTGCTTCTATTTACTTACTCGATGATCCACTAAGTGCAGTAGACGCCCATGTGGGTCGACATTTGTTCGACGAAGTCATTGGACCACGCGGACGTCTGGCGCAAGAAAAAGCCACGCGCTTGCTGGTCACACATCAAGTGCACTTCCTTTCCGAGGCCGATTGGATTGTTATTGTGGATCAAGGACGTATTCTACGACAGGGCACCTATGAGGAGTTGCTACAGAGCGATTTAGATTTCGCAAAGCTCTTGGAACGTCCCGCTCTGGAGGAAAATGATGGGGAAAAACAGCAATCAGGCTCCTCAGCCACTCTTAATGGTCTGACGGTGGATGATGAGGATGATATACCATACATTGATGGTGTACGTGATGGCTACCAACCGTTGCGTAAGCAGAGTATCTCCACGCATGGCAGCAAGTCGGTAAGTATTTCAATACGTCTATCGTCCCCATAGAACACTTAAAGCGATGTCTTGAGGAATTTGTGTTCTTACGATTTCATTTATCTTTTACCCACAAGGGTGAAATAGGATTTTAATTGATCCCATCCAATAAAAATTCCATGTTTTTTAGCTCAGCGGTAGCAGTGATCAAGCGGATGGTGACGATGAAGTCGGCCTAGCTGAGGCTCAAGCAGCTGGCGGCGTCTCCGGGCGCGTTTGGTATGAATATTTTCATGCAGGCAGCACCTTCTTCAGCTTCAGCTTTATGGTGTTCATCATGCTACTATCCCAGGTAGTGTGTAGCAGTTCCGATTACTTTGCCAACATCTGGACTCAGCAGGAATACCAACGTTCACAAGGACAGCCCACGCTTTTCACCACCTATGAGTGCATGTACATTTATGGGGCATTGATTATTGGCGTGGTCATAATGACAGTCTTCCGTGGCTTCCTATTCTTCAAGACGTGCATGCACGCATCCAAGGTTCTGCACGATCGCATGTTCGCCTGCATTTTGCACGCCACCATGCGATTCTTCGACACCAACCCTTCGGGACGCATACTCAACCGCTTCTCCAAGGACATGGGTGCAATTGACGAGTTACTGCCACGTGCTATGATGGACTTTATACAGATCGCATTAGTCATGTTTGGTATACTGATTGTGATTACGGTGGTGAACCCGGTGCTAGTAGCGGCCATGTTGGTGGTGGCTGTCATCGATATGCTGGTGTTGAAGCTTTATTTACGACCATCTCAAGACCTAAAACGATTGGAGGGAATTTGCCGCAGTCCCGTCTTCTCACACCTCTCCTCCTCTCTTTCTGGCTTGGCCATTATTCGTTCTCGCGGTCTGCAGGATGTTGTTGCCAAGGAGTTCGACAATCTGCAGGATGTACATAGCGGCGTCTGGCAGGTGATGATGGCAACCAATACAGCCCTAGGTCTGTGGCTGGATTGTGTGAGTTGTGTGTTCCTAACGTCTGTGACCTTCAGCTTCATCATATCAAGCGAAGGTAAGCAATTAAAATCAAAATCAAATTAGTGGATGAAACCACTAATTATTGATGTTGTACTAACTTATCTTCTAAGTATTTGTATTTTTAGTTCAAGCTCTATAATAATTTTAAGCTAGTTAGCTCTCAAAAGAAATACATGCTCATTAAAACCTCTCTCCCTCTCTTTATAGCAACCTACAGTGGGAATGTGGGTCTGGCCATCTCACAAGCCATGGTACTTACTGGAATGGTGCAGTATGGTGTGCGTCAAGTGGCTGAATCCCTGCAGCAGATGACGAGCGTGGAGCGTGTGCTGCAATATACGGAACTGGAGCAAGAACCTGTGGTTGAGAAGGAGCCAGCCTCAAATTGGCCAACACTTGGCCAAATTGAGTTCCGTGACATGAGCTGTCGCTATGATCCCAACGGGTCGCCGGTGTTGAAGCACTTGAACTTGCTTATTGAACCGGGCTGGAAAGTGGGAATCGTGGGACGGACAGGAGCGGGCAAGTCCTCTTTAATTGGTGCGCTTTTCCGTCTAGCCTACATTGAGGGTGGCATTTATATCGACGGGATTGAGACGGGCACTATTTCGTTGGAGACGCTTCGCACGCGTATTTCAATAATTCCACAGGATCCGGTACTTTTCTCTGCCACCATACGCTACAACCTGGATCCTTTCGAGCGATATAGCGATGTAGATTTGTGGAGCGCTTTGGAATATGTGGAGTTGCGTAGCGCAATTCCAGGCTTGGATTTTATGGTTACCGAACGCGGTAGCAATTTTAGCGTGGGACAACGCCAATTGTTATGTCTAGCGCGTGCCATTCTACGTAATAATAAGGTGCTGGTACTGGATGAGGCTACCGCCAACGTGGATCCACAGTAAGTAAACCGGAAAACCCTTAAAAAGAGAATATTAGGTTTGCGGGAGGTAAAAAATGTAACAGGCAGAAGGAGACGTGGCAGGCCCACACAGTACTTGTATATATATTCTTGATCAGTATGACAAAATGAGTCGATCTCGCCCTGTCCGTCCGTATGAACAACTGGATCTGAGAGACTATAGGATATAGAGACACAATGTGTGAACGCTATAGGAGTTTGTTTATTTTTTTGTTTATTCCCCTGACTTCCCACTATGGGGGATTATAATCAGCTATATATCGGAGACTATGGTGATTATGAGTCCATATGACATTATGATAGGTCGATATTTAAGGCAGTTATCTTTGTACTGCGTACATGCACACAGACACGCATAGAGGCAATTCCTATTTAAATGTGCAGCTATACACCCTTTTCGTAAGTTCGACTACCAAGGGGGGGGAAAAAAAAACTATACAAAATGTGTATAAATTTTTTTTCTTCAATTTTCTTAATTTTTATAATTAGTGTGCACATACATATATACGGAGTACCTATTTCATATTTGGGACACCCGACTTTAGCTTCTCCACTTGTTATACCCTGTACCGGTAGGGTAAAAAGGGTATATTAGGTTTTTGCAAAGTATGTAACATGCAGAAGAAAGCATCTCCAACCCCATAAAGTACTTGCAAGGATCTCGGAAACTATAAAAGCTGGAATAACCAAAGTTGGTATCCAGATTCTCCTAGGTCCGAGAAAGGACGAGTTTATTTTATATTTTCGAATTTCGGGTATATTACCTTGTTAAATGAGTAACATTTTTGTTATCCACAGAACTGACGCCCTCATTCAGCGCACAATACGTGTCAGATTTCAGCATTGCACTGTTCTTACGGTGGCACATCGTCTTCACACCGTCATGGATTCGGATCGGATTGTGGTCATGGATGCTGGCACCGCGGTCGAGTTCGACGTTCCTCATTTGTTGCTGAAGAAACAGCACGGCGTGTTACGCCAGATGGTTGAAGCCACTGGTGGAGAAGCTGAGGCACTCAAGAAAACGGCCGCCGAGACGTTCCAGCGTCTGCAGCGGCAACGCGAACAACATAGGCAGGAGTAGTGTGTGGATGCTCTTAAATCGCCAATTGGTGCTGCCTGTTACTTAATACCAAAACAATAATTATATAGCCCACAAACAATTTGTTTTATATAGTTAAGTTTAGTTAGTTTATAAAAACAAACTGCCTTAAGAAATAATACGCAGACAGGGAACATGTTTCAATTCACTTTTTTTTCAATCCATCGAAGATGGACCTTCAAATGTTGATCACTTCCTCTGCGGGGTAGAAGTGCTTCGAATAAAATACTTTTATGTTTTTTCATTTTATTTTATTAAGACCCGAAGCGTTGTAAACACTTTAAACATTTAAGCTGTTTTCATTTGATTTATGTATGTATCTAAATAGTAAGACAATTACTTTTGGCATAAGTATATTTTGTATGTGAAAGAAAAATTGTAAAATTTGCTTTTTGTTCGTCATTAGTTAGAAGTTATACTTTAATGATATTTTCTTAACCATATTTTGTACTTCATGCCTGATATTTTGGCCAACAACTTAAACAGCAACTGTGAACAATTGTACTTGAGACTACATTAGATAGAAAACGTATGCAACTTATTTTATTAAAATATACACCCACACAAAAGTTAATAAAATTGCAATAAAAATGCGGTAATTGAATAATTTAAAAAAATTTTCGTCAAAATAAATAATAAAATACAATTTTAAACGGCACAATACACGCTCTAATACACAAAAGGTGAACATATTAAAATACATTTTTTATGCAGAATAAGCTCCATTGCTGGCTTTAGAATGTGCGCTTACTGGAGCCTTAGGGGACGGCAGTGTGCTTGTCAAGCTCCCGCGTGAGAAACTCTCGCAAGTTGAGTGATCGTCCCATCTGACTGGCTTCTTGGGTTTCAACAGTTGCTAATGGTTCTGCATTTTCCTTATTCTTAGCCTTTTCTTGGCCACCACGTGGTCGTGGCCGCCGCTCCTGCTCCGGTGAAGTGCTATCGCTGCCCAGAGTATCTGCTTGCCGTTGACGTTGTCGCATTGTTGCGGACCAACATAAGCCCAAACGCTGCATCTCACGATCCAAGTCACTGGAGAGCGTGGCCCCACCATCTGGGGTTGTGGACATGCGTTCAATGCCGCTTTCTTCCGGTTGCTGGGACATGTGCTCGGCGACGGCGCTATTGCGACGTGTACTGCTGGCCACATCGTGATCCGCGGGCTCGGTGGTGGCATTACCTCTTCTAAAGGAAGATTTCAAAATACGCCGCTGCCGCAGCTCAGCCTCCACATTGAAAGAATCTGTTGTGTCTGTGAGATTCTCCAAGCTGGCGCTATCAATAAGAACCCGCTCCTCAGGTGGTTTTTTGGCCAAACACTGCTGCATATACTCGCATCGGCTAGGAAACTCACGTATACTCGCATTCGCCACTCGCAGTTGTTGCACAAGATCCTTCAACGACTGATTCTGGTCTGTGGTCGTAGGTAGCTCCACTTGCACATTAGTTGATGTAATGTTGTGGAGGTAGGCGGTGATGTTGGGGAACTCATGATAGTCCAGAGCCTGCGATCCAACACGCTGCTGGAAGGCATCCACCAACTCGTGGATGCTGCAGTCGTATACTCTTATTGGGATCTATTTGGGAAAGGTCCAGGTGAATTTCCTCGAATGTAGGAAAGGGAACAGGCACCAACTTTTGACTGTTGGTCAAAGCAGTGGCCGTGACGCCTGCCACTTGCGATTGGGCGGGCGTATCTACTTCTGCAATGGTGGACAGCTCATGCGCCGGATCCTCTTCGACCATTTGTGGACAGCTATGTGCGGTTATTGGTCCAGTGGGTGCCGGGAAGAGTTCTCTATTACAACTATTGCTTGGTGAGTTACCCATCACAGACGGCAGCGTCGTCATTCAGGGCGAGCTCTCCTACGCAGCCCAAGAGCCTTGGCTCTTTACCGGAACGGTTAGAAACAACATTCTTTTTGGAGAGAAATACGATCGAAAACGCTACCATGAGGTGACCCGCTGCTGCGCCCTAAGCACAGATTTTCAACAGCTGAGCAATGGCGACAAAACGGTAGTGGGGGAAAGAGGAACATCTTTATCAGGTGGCCAACGTGCTCGCATCAGCTTGGCACGTGCCGTTTACAAACCTGCTTCTATTTACTTACTCGATGATCCACTAAGTGCAGTAGACGCCCATGTGGGTCGACATTTGTTCGACGAAGTCATTGGACCACGCGGACGTCTGGCGCAAGAAAAAGCCACGCGCTTGCTGGTCACACATCAAGTGCACTTCCTTTCCGAGGCCGATTGGATTGTTATTGTGGATCAAGGACGTATTCTACGACAGGGCACCTATGAGGAGTTGCTACAGAGCGATTTAGATTTCGCAAAGCTCTTGGAACGTCCCGCTCTGGAGGAAAATGATGGGGAAAAACAGCAATCAGGCTCCTCAGCCACTCTTAATGGTCTGACGGTGGATGATGAGGATGATATACCATACATTGATGGTGTACGTGATGGCTACCAACCGCTGCGTAAGCAGAGTATCTCCACGCATGGCAGCAAGTCGGTAAGTATTTCAATACGTCTATCGTCCCCATAGAACACTTAAAGCGATGTCTTGAGGAATTTGTGTTCTTACGATTTCATTTATCTTTTACCCACAAGGGTGAAATAGGATTTTAATTGATCCCATCCAATAAAAATTCCATGTTTTTTAGCTCAGCGGTAGCAGTGATCAAGCGGATGGTGACGATGAAGTCGGCCTAGCTGAGGCTCAAGCAGCTGGCGGCGTCTCCGGGCGCGTTTGGTATGAATATTTTCATGCAGGCAGCACCTTCTTCAGCTTCAGCTTTATGGTGTTCATCATGCTACTATCCCAGGTAGTGTGTAGCAGTTCCGATTACTTTGCCAACATCTGGACTCAGCAGGAATACCAACGTTCACAAGGACAGCCCACGCTTTTCACCACCTATGAGTGCATGTACATTTATGGGGCATTGATTATTGGCGTGGTCATAATGACAGTCTTCCGTGGCTTCCTATTCTTCAAGACGTGCATGCACGCATCCAAGGTTCTGCACGATCGCATGTTCGCCTGCATTTTGCACGCCACCATGCGATTCTTCGACACCAACCCTTCGGGACGCATACTCAACCGCTTCTCCAAGGACATGGGTGCAATTGACGAGTTACTGCCACGTGCTATGATGGACTTTATACAGATCGCATTAGTCATGTTTGGTATACTGATTGTGATTACGGTGGTGAACCCGGTGCTAGTAGCGGCCATGTTGGTGGTGGCTGTCATCGATATGCTGGTGTTGAAGCTTTATTTACGACCATCTCAAGACCTAAAACGATTGGAGGGAATTTGCCGCAGTCCCGTCTTCTCACACCTCTCCTCCTCTCTTTCTGGCTTGGCCATTATTCGTTCTCGCGGTCTGCAGGATGTTGTTGCCAAGGAGTTCGACAATCTGCAGGATGTACATAGCGGCGTCTGGCAGGTGATGATGGCAACCAATACAGCCCTAGGTCTGTGGCTGGATTGTGTGAGTTGTGTGTTTCTAACGTCTGTGACCTTCAGCTTCATCATATCAAGCGAAGGTAAGCAATTAAAATCAAAATCAAATTAGTGGATGAAACCACTAATTATTGATGTTGTACTAACTTATCTTCTAAGTATTTGTATTTTTAGTTCAAGCTCTATAATAATTTTAAAGTAGTTAGCTCTCAAAAGAAATACATGCTCATTAAAACATCTCTCCCTCTCTTTATAGCAACCTACAGTGGGAATGTGGGTCTGGCCATCTCACAAGCCATGATACTTACTGGAATGGTGCAGTATGGTGTGCGTCAAGTGGCTGAATCCCTGCAGCAGATGACGAGCGTGGAGCGTGTGCTGCAATATACGGAACTGGAGCAAGAACCTGTGGTTGAGAAGGAGCCAGCCTCAAATTGGCCAACACTTGGCCAAATTGAGTTCCGTGACATGAGCTGTCGCTATGATCCCAACGGGTCGCCGGTGTTGAAGCACTTGAACTTGCTTATTGAACCGGGCTGGAAAGTGGGAATCGTGGGACGGACAGGAGCGGGCAAGTCCTCTTTAATTGGTGCGCTCTTCCGTCTAGCCTACATTGAGGGTGGCATTTATATCGACGGGATTGAGACGGGCACTATTTCGTTGGAGACGCTTCGCACGCGTATTTCAATAATTCCACAGGATCCGGTACTTTTCTCTGCCACCATACGCTACAACCTGGATCCTTTCGAGCGATATAGCGATGTAGATTTGTGGAGCGCTTTGGAATATGTGGAGTTGTGTAGCGCAATTCCAGGCTTGGATTTTATGGTTACCGAACGCGGTAGCAATTTTAGCGTGGGACAACGCCAATTGTTATGTCTAGCGCGTGCCATTCTACGTAATAATAAGGTGCTGGTACTGGATGAGGCTACCGCCAACGTGGATCCACAGTAAGTAAACCGGAAAACCCTTAAAAAGAGAATATTAGGTTTGCGGGAGGTAAAAAATGTAACAGGCAGAAGGAGACGTGGCAGGCCCACATAGTACTTGTATATATATTCTTGATCAGTATGACAAAATGAGTCGATCTCGCCCTGTCCGTCCGTATGAACAACTGGATCTGAGAGACTATAGGATATAGAGACACAATGTGTGAACGCTATAGGAGTTTGTTTATTTTTTTGTTTATTCCCCTGACTTCCCACTATGGGGGATTATAATCAGCTATATATCGGAGACTATGGTGATTATGAGTCCATATGACATTATGATAGGTCGATATTTAAGGCAGTTATCTTTGTACTGCGTACATGCACACAGACACGCATAGAGGCAATTCCTATTTAAATGTGCAGCTATACACCCTTTTCGTAAGTTCGACTACCAAGGGGGGGGGGGAAAAAACTATACAAAATGTGTATAAATTTTTTTTCTTCAATTTTCTTAATTTTTATAATTAGTGTGCACATACATATATACGGAGTACCTATTTCATATTTGGGACACCCGACTTTAGCTTCTCCACTTGTTATACCCTGTACCGGTAGGGTAAAAAGGGTATATTAGGTTTTTGCAAAGTATGTAACATGCAGAAGAAAGCATCTCCAACCCCATAAAGTACTTGCAAGGATCTCGGAAACTATAAAAGCTGGAATAACCAAAGTTGGTATCCAGATTCTCCTAGGTCCGAGAAAGGACGAGTTTATTTTATATTTTCGAATTTCGGGTATATTACCTTGTTAAATGAGTAACATTTTTGTTATCCACAGAACTGACGCCCTCATTCAGCGCACAATACGTGTCAGATTTCAGCATTGCACTGTTCTTACGGTGGCACATCGTCTTCACACCGTCATGGATTCGGATCGGATTGTGGTCATGGATGCTGGCACCGCGGTCGAGTTCGACGTTCCTCATTTGTTGCTGAAGAAACAGCACGGCGTGTTACGCCAGATGGTTGAAGCCACTGGTGGAGAAGCTGAGGCACTCAAGAAAACGGCCGCCGAGACGTTCCAGCGTCTGCAGCGGCAACGCGAACAACATAGGCAGGAGTAGTGTGTGGATGCTCTTAAATCGCCAATTGGTGCTGCCTGTTACTTAATACCAAAACAATAATTATATAGCCCACAAACAATTTGTTTTATACAGTTAAGTTTAGTTAGTTTATAAAAACAAACTGCCTTAAGAAATAATACGCAGACAGGGAACATGTTTCAATTCAATTTTTTTCAATCCATCCAAGATGGACCTTCAAATGTTGATCACTTCCTCTGCGGGGTAGAAGTGCTTCGAATAAAATACTTTTATGTTTCTTCATTTTATTTTATTAAGACCCGAAGCGTTGTAAACACTTTAAACATTTAAGCTGTTTTCATTTGATTTATGTATGTATCTAAATAGTAAGACAATTACTTTTGGCATAAGTATATTTTGTATGTGAAAGAAAAATTGTAAAATTTGCTCTTTGTTCGTCATTAGTTAGAAGTTATACTTTAATGATATTTTCTTAACCATATTTTGTACTTCATGCCTGATATTTTGGCCAACAACTTAAACAGCAACTGTGAACAATTGTACTTGAGACTACATTAGATAGAAAACGTATGCAACTTATTTTATTAAAATATACACCCACACAAAAGTTAATAAAATTGCAATAAAAATGCGGTAATTGAATAATTTAAAAAAATTTTCGTCAAAATAAATAATAAAATACAATTTTAAACGGCACAATACACGCTCTAATACACAAAAGGTGAACATATTAAAATACATTTTTTATGCAGAATAAGCTCCATTGCTGGCTTTAGAATGTGCGCTTACTGGAGCCTTAGGGGACGGCAGTGTGCTTGTCAATTTTGCGGACCTATTGTTAGCCCGCTGGTTAGACTGCGCGGGAGACATACCATCTGGATAATGTACTGAGGAGATTCTGCTCTCGCCGGAGAAGAGCAGAGTGCCAGCGTTGACGCTGCCGCTTTTAACAGAGCCCGATTTATCACGAATCGACTGAGATGAGCCCACAGGTGTGGAAGTTTTCTGGCGATCGTTAGTAGCCCCTGTGGCGTGATGGCCGAGCGAGTCGATGACAGATTGCAGAAAGTTGCCTTTGAGTGAATCATCGGAGCTATCAGTGGCACTGTCCGAATATATACGATGCTTCAGAAGCTCCCGCGTGAGAAACTCTCGCAAGTTGAGTGATCGTCCCATCTGACTGGCTTCTTGGGTTTCAACAGTTGTTAATGGTTCTGCATTTTCCTTATTCTTAGCCTTTTCTTGGCCACCACGTGGTCGTGGCCGCCGCTCCTGCTCCGGTGAAGTGCTATCGCTACCCAGAGTATCTGCTTGCCGCTGACGTTGTCGCATTGTTGCGGACCAACATAAGCCCAAACGCTGCATCTCACGATCCAAGTCACTGGAGAGCGTGGCCCCACCATCTGGGGTTGTAGACATGCGTTCAATGCCGCTTTCTTCCGGTTGCTGGGACATGTGCTCGGCGACGGCGCTATTGCGACGTGTACTGCTGGCCACATCGTGATCCGCGGGCTCGGTGGTGGCATTACCTCTTCTAAAGGAAGATTTCAAAATACGCCGCTGCCGCAGCTCAGCCTCCACATTGAAAGAATCTGTTGTGTCTGTGAGATTCTCCAAGCTGGCGCTATCAATAAGAACCCGCTCCTCAGGTGGTTTTTTGGCCAAACACTGCTGCATATACTCGCGTCGGCTAGGAAACTCACGTATGCTCGCATTCGCCACTCGCAGTTGTTGCACAAGATCCTTCAACGACTGATTCTGGTCTGTGGTCGTAGGTAGCTCCACTTGCACATTAGTTGATGTAATGTTGTGGAGGTAGGCGGTGATGTTGGGGAACTCATGATAGTCCAGAGCCTGCGATCCAACACGCTGCTGGAAGGCATCCACCAACTCGTTGAACTCCTGCTGCAGTCGTATACTCTTATTGGGATCTATTTGGGAAAGGTCCAGGTGAATTTCCCTCGCATACTCCTCGAATGTAGGAAAGGGAACAGGCACCAACTTTTGACTGTTGGTCAAAGCAGTGGCCGTGACGCCTGCCACTTGCGATTGAGCGGGCGTATCTACTTCTGCAATGGTGGACAGCTCATGCGCCGGATCCTCTTCGACCATTTGTGGACTGTAGCGTCTTATTGTAGGGGGCGGAGCACCTCCACGTCGCTGATGTCCAGCTTTTGAGCTGTGCGTAGAGGAGGCTAGCGAACACGGCTCCGCCTCTGCAACTTGTCCCTGAGCAGTGTGTGGGCGCGAGATTGAAATGCCACTATCGCGACTTGCTCCCGTCGGTTTGTGCTTTTGCAATGGCTCCTGATCAGAAAGCGGCAAAGCTTCCGAGGTGTTGGTATTGAGGCTGGTGCACTGCGCATCACTGCGCTCCGAAACAGTGCGAGAGCGTGGCGGAACATCAGGCCCGGTGGGTAGCTCCATATACTCCGTTGAATGACGTTCATTTTCGCTAGCCGAAGTTAGTGTAACTTCCACCAGACGCTGCTTCTCCTCGCGCACCTTGGTGATTAGTTCCGTAAGTTCCGCGATGCGTTGTGTACAGTTCTCGGTAAGTTTTGCGTAACGCTCCATTTGGCGCGTGGCATCTGTTCCACCATCTGTTGAGCTGCACTGCGATGTCTTTGCAGGCTGCGGTCTCCGCTGGACAGTGGTGCTAGTCGACGTGACCTGTGCCTGTTTAAGCATCGCTTGCATTGTCTTGCTGCTGGGCAATTTGCGTGGAGTGTAGGAATCGGGCGCTATGGTGACCGAACGTGTGCATGATGGGGGACACGTATCTTGGCTTTTGGCTGGACTTCTCTCAACACATGGCGTTGTCCGACGACTGTGTTTGGGCTGATCGTGCTTTATATTTGTTGTACTGTTGCTTTCCAACCTCCTGGTCCATACGTCATCAAAGGCCCGCATACTGTGTTCTGCATTTGATTGGCACTGGCTCTGGTTACGCAGCGTGTCCTCCAGTTCGTTTATGAAACTGCGATTATCTGTGATGAAAGCTTGGACGCGCTGCATACGTCGCTCATCAATTAATGTTTCATCTGCGGCGGAGCTATTCGACATATTGCGAGGATTGTTGACTATAGATGAAGAGGGTGTCGGTACGTCGGAGGAACTGACGCCTAGGTCCTGCACCGCCCTGCGCGTCATACCCAACAGACGCTGTACATACTGTGCTATCAACGGGTGTAGTGGAGGCGAAGCTGCAGCACGTTGTTGTTCTGGCATTTGAATGCCTTTATAGATAACAGGTGGCAAACTGCGATAGACAGTGGAATTGGAATCGTACGAATTTTGACGTTGCGCGTGCTCATTGATTTGATCTGTGAGCTCATCTGTTGTCTCTGTGGTTGGCTGCGGTCTGCTTTTCGGCTTTACCTTTGCCCGTGCCTTGTGCTTAGGTACACACTGTTTAACAGTGCCGTCACTTCGGACCTTTATAACTATCTCCACGGGTTTCTCGCACTCCTTGCTTGTCTTTTTCCCTATGTCTTCATTGCCGGTCCTTTGCTTTTCGTGATAAAACTCCCTCAGACGCTGCTCCAGCAGTTCTTCTTTTTGATGTAGATTCGACTCGCGCGCATCAAGCGTGCGTTCCTTCTGCTCCAATATATCCGCACGCTCCTGGCGTATATTGTCAATCATCTTTTGTACGTTGTCATCATCAACAACTGTGCTGCTACCACCCGCTTTTATTTCCTGTAGAAGCTGGCTTCGAATCTTTTCAATGCGCGAGAGCAAATTTTGCAATTTCTCCGATTTGGAGGTGTTGGACTCAGTAGCTTTCAGGTCTGTACGCAACTGCTTGCTTTGATCATCCACATAGTCCAATAGTATGGAACAACAGCTCGAGGATGTTACAGTGGCTCCATCGTCGGCTTTGCGACCACGCTCGCCCACATTTACTGTAGCTGGAGCTGGTCTTGAACTCATGCGATTAGTTTTGCAACTGGCATGGGTTGTTGCTGTTCTTGGCAATGCAGTGTCCACTTCGGGACATGTTATAATAGCGGGACGTAGCAGCATCTTTTCCATCACCTCATTCATTTTAAGCTCACGGCGTACGGCCATGTCTGCAAACCGATGACTGGGCATAAAGTTGGCCTGATTAAAAGGGAACCACAAATCATTAAAATAAAAAAATAGTATTTTTTGTAGAAACACAGGAGATTAGTAAACTTACATCGCTGGGTAACATCTGTGGATTCTGTTGTGCTAGCGCGTCCAATTTCTCTGTCAACTCTGCACAATCGCGACGGACCTGCTCACGCTCCAAGGCCTTCTGACCACGCTGGTCGCTTATTTTCCTTAAATATTAAAATCAACCTTTAAAGCAAATACAATAATGTGGTGCCTGTAAGCAAACTAACCGCAGTTTGTCCAACTCCTTTTCCCGTAATTCTCTTAGATGGTCCTCCATGCGCGCCTGTTCCATAGCATTCATTTGTGTGGCGTCCTGAGTATTTGTGTGCACAGCTGTTGAGGGTGCCTCATAATTTTTATGAAATTTGTTATTATAATCGTAGAAGTGCACACGCCCTGACGTCGCGCTAGCCGCACGGCTCTGACGCATAACAAACGTAGTTGCAGACACTGAAGAATGGGTAGCAGTTGTAGTTGGTTGCCGAGGTACTGTGCCAACTGAGGGCTGGAGCTGCTCGCCCGGATGTTGCGTAGGTGGCTGTTGAAGCGGCTGATGTTGGATTAAATGTTGCTGTGTGGTCATTCCTTGCAGAATAAACTGTTGGATGGGTTGCTGCTCCACGGGCTGTGTCTGCATGGACTGCTGCTCCATAGGACATGTACATTGTGACATTGCATCGGCCATACATGGCGCAGTCTGCACCGCAGATGTACCACAAGTAGGCACACATGGTGTTGTTTGTACGGCCGAATTGCGCCTAAGTCCTGCATCTATAACCATTGCGGATGGTGGGGGTCCTTTACGATTTTGTTGTTGTCTTCGAGGCGAATTCACGTGTGCGGCGGCTTTTTTACTCTTAGTTGGTGACTTGCCTGCTGTTTTTGTGGGCGACTTGGGTTCTTGTGTTGTTGACTTTGTTAGTCTTGTGGGCGATTTAGCTTGTCTTGAGGGCGACCTTGTTTGTCTAGTAGGCGACTTTGTCATTTTTGTGGACGATTTTTCTGATCTCACAGGTGATCGTGCGGTTTTCGTTGGTGACTTTGCTCTTGTGGGTGATCTGGGCACAGATCTGTTGAGACTGCGTGGTGACAGAACGCTCTTTTCTGTTCCAGTTGATCTTGAGCAACGTTGCACCAACTCAGAAATTTGGGTGAAACGTTTCCGGGGCAAACATTTTTCCCGTGCATTCTTCTGAGGCGTTTTACGGTGACGTTCGGGGCTGCACTCAGGACTTGAACGGACCACGTGACTAAAATTGCGATTGCTTTGCACAAACCGATCGTTTATATCCATGCCGGCTTGTGTATTAAATGCCAACGTGTCCTCCTTATCTATATCTACATCCAAAATAATGGGCGCCGTTTGCTGCAGGTTCTTGTTCGTACAATCACTTGGCGGAAGCGTTGCGATCTCATCGTCACTCTCATCTGGATGAAAGGATGAGCAACTACTATCTGTTAATTGTTCATCATCGCTACTTGCGCATAGACAATTTGGATTCTCACGACAGCACGTGCCGCGTTTGCGCTTCCCTGCATTGCCTTCAGTTCCTACGTTCAACATATAGCAATTGTTCTTATTACACGTTTTTGGCGATCGCAAGCAGTTATTGCACTTGGCTGCTGTAACGTCTGTGGATATGGCTGTGTTGGGGATCACTGGCGTTTGTGTACATGCTGTAGCTCGGCCTTCATAATTGTTACAGTCCCTCCCTCCAGTTTTCCTATGCAGTTGCACATGCGTTTTATTGGCATGTTTACATGCGCGCTTGCACGCCTGTCGGCTGCATCTTCGAATTTTTTGAGCGAGGTGTTGCTTTTGCTGCTCGTTAATTTGATTTTCAGCCTGCGCAGCACGGTGGGCGGCGCCTACTTGAAATATAGAGCCGCGGTAGTCTTGGTGTTTTTTGACCAAAACATGCTCACGCCAAGCATTTAGCTCCTTCTGTTTTATTTGCTCTAGTTTTTGTAATTGTCGTGACTTCTCATCTTCCACATCTTGGCGTATTTTGCGAGCCAGGCAATTCGATTTCTCGCGTACCTGTAATTTGTTTTTGTAAGTCGTATTCACTGAATATTGAATATTAGGAAGCGTATTTGCTGACCTGTCGTAGACGGGTGATGCGACGCTCATTTTCCAAGTCTTTTTTTACGCGTTCAGGGTCGGCTAGTATGTTGTGGTGTCGCTTTCCGCTAGCTCCGAACTTCCCATTAACAGTCATGGGGCGCGACATGCTCAGAACTTAACTTGAATAAGGTTCCAAAAACATTGAACAAAAATAACACTTTTGATTATAAAATCAAAAAGCCAACGTCCAAATTCCTCAACTACCCAAACAATAAAGCGCAAACGCAGAAACCAGTTCCACAACAACAACTCTTATCGAAGCGAAACAAAAGTTATCGAATAGCATTTAAACGATGCTGTCAGTTTCTCATCGAGTACTTGGTTAGTTGGAAACATCCTCCGACTCATCGAGTATTTATAGAGTTATTACTTTTTTAAGGAATCGTATTAAATTACTAACGAGGGTTTTGGTTGGGTTCTTGCTTTCAGTTCCTCTTGAACGATATTTGAATCTAAGTACTTCCACCAAATCTAGTTGGATGATGATTTACAGAATATGCTAGAGTACATACATATGTATGTATGCGTGCCGTGCTCCTTTGATTTGGACCAAGCAAATGCCTTTCGGGATCGCTGCATCAGCACGCGATTTCGATTATCAAGAGAATTGATGGAAAATACATGCGTAAAAGCCCGAATCAATACCCCAAAACCACTCTACTATTGAAGACCGATAATTTTGATTTGTTACCGCCTAAAACAAATGAATTTGAGTCCGTTGAAGTCTCGATTGACAATTCTATTCTGAGCTCAATATTCTACAGAGATAATAAAAAAAAACGTGTTTTGATATTTTGCAACGTAGAAGAGCTTTAATAGCAGCAAGAGTGGAAGCTTATCGAGACCGAAAAAAAACTGGAGCAGCAGCAATACAGCTGCTGAAAATATTGAAAGAAAAAGAAAAAACAACTTGTGCTCCACAATTTACAAATTCTGTGATAGAAGTGCAGGAAGCACCTTTTGTTGGTCGTTTTGATTCTGCACTACGTAAAAGGGCTGGTACAGCCCAAAACAAAAGCTTAAAGGTTAATATGGAAGAAAAACAGTTGAGGGAGTCTGTTGAAAAATTACAACCTAAGAGGGAATATTGTAAACGTGAAAAGAACCTGTGCTGACAATTTTACAACTTTTGTGATACAAATCGAAGAAATAATCATGCAAAAGACTTTAGACAAAGTGCAACGTAAAAGGGCTCGTGCAAAGGCCTGTCGCACCCGAAAAAAAGTAATCATTAAAATCATGTGTGCGTATTATGTTTATTTTAATTTGTTCTTTTTTTGGATATGTTTTTTTAATCAAAACCAATCATTACATGAAACCAACGAAATAGACCAAGTTAATTTTTATATTTAATATAGCATTGAATTTAGATCAGATTCAGATTTAGCCCTTTAACAATACAAGTTGACAAATTAAAAATAGCCCAACCTCGAGCACTTTCGCACGAAGATTTGCACCATAGGAATGGAATATTAAAAATACATTAATCATTATTATTATTATTATAAAAGTCAATTCATAATTGCAAATTATGAGTTACTTAAATTAATTAAGCTATAGCAGCGGGGGCCTTAAGCTTTACATTAATCATACATAAGTACATGCAATGTATAACGTACATTTTCCATTTGTAAATAGGCGCTGTCTCTAGCAATTGATGTGCAGTTGTCGATATGTAATCGATTAAACACAATTTGTCATTGGTAGTGGAACAGCTGTCTATGTTTTGATTACGAGATTGTGAAATTATCAAATATATTTGTGCTCTTTCACAAGCATGGCTTTTATGTTGCGGCAGCTATCAAAGCCATTGGCCCAAAGGTTAATATAATAACTACTAAAACAATGGATTGTTCAAATGCCCGTACAATTGCAGGAACATGCTCACATTGGGTGCAACGACTTGGCGGCAAATGGGAAAGGATGCATCTAATGCTACAGCAGTCGCTGCAAATCCAACCGGACAGCAGCAAATTCAAATTAGCGAGAGTTGCATAAAACGCCTTCGTGAGATCTGCAAAGATGGCACTTTTCTACGCGTTACAGTAGAGGGTGGCGGCTGCTCCGGTTTTCAGTACAAATTCGATTTGGACACAAAAATAAATGAGGACGACTTGCAGTTTGGGGAGAGCAATGCCAAAGTAGTGGTAGACACCGTCTCGCTGGATTATTGCAATGGAGCCACATTGGACTATCATTCTGAGCTAATACGAGCCGGGTTCCGAATGCTGGCTAATCCGTTAGCTGAACAGGGATGCTCTTGTGGTTCTTCATTCTCAATTAAATTATAATTATTGTTAGTCATTGATGGGGGAGTAGAAATTGTACAGGAGTGCGTCATTATTTAGTGAGTTATTTAATATATATATATATATATATGTTCAGCTATATACACACAATCTTTTTTTTTAGTCTACGAAAAATTTCCATTGTAGCCGTGCACAAAGCTCTGCAAAATGTAAGCAGATTTTGTGTTCTCCATTTTTTACAAGAATTTACAAAAGTTAAGCAGCATTTGTTTCTTTTTTACTTGCTAGCAGCCAACTGCTCACTTAGACTAATGACTTGTTCGGTAAGCACGCTAATCTGCTCTTCGTAATTAATTCGCGTGGTGGTCTGCAATGTAAAATATTGTACTTAATGTTTCTGGACTTTCGGTATTAACAGATTACTTACCAGCTCCTCCTCGAGTATTTGCAATGCACCACCTAAACTGGACAATTGCTCGTCTTTGGCTTTCAGTTCATGTGTGGCATTCTCCAGGCAGTTTTGCAAATGCAATGATTCGATTTCAAATGAACGCTGCCGGGATTCAGACTGCACTTTCAGACGCAACAAATCCTCAAATTTCTTGCTGAATACGCTGTAAATGAGTTGTTCTTTTGTTGGTGGTTCAAGCTGTTCCTGCAACGAGTCGCGCGCACGTTGCGTGCTTTTGCTCTCAATACTGCTGGGCTTGACGGTAACGCCTGCTGCGGCTGTGCTACAGCTGCAAATGGTAGCATCGTTCAATGACATGCTGAGATCCTTGTTGTTTGAGTTTGGATTGAAGTTCTGATTAAGTTTGACCATCTCGTATTGTGTGCGCCAGTGCGCAACCTCCTTTTCCAGAAGCGGAATGCGTTCCTCGACGGTTTGCACTACGCTGCAGTTGGCTTGAAGAAGTTGTTGGTGTGTATTGTGTAGCGGCGTGCTATCACTGCCTGTAGCGCTTAAAGTGTCTTCGCTGCCCAACTGTGAATTAATTAGAAGTAATATGAAATATCAACTTACAAGGTATGGTTTACATATATATATTATAGTAATACCATGCTAGCGGCATCCACCAATTTGGTTTCTAACTCAGAGTTTCTATGCTGCAGCGTTTCAACCTCTTTGCGTAAACGTTTCTCCAGCTCATTCTGGTCACTGATACGCTTTTCTAGCTTTTGCTCCAGTATAGCTATGCGCTCACTGTGCAACAGGAGATCGCGTTGTTTGTCATCAATCTGTCAAATAAAATAGTATGAGTCTCCCGATAAGTAAATTAATTTTAGTTTCTACCAAAGATGTTAACTGCGCGTTCTCCATAATTTTCTTTTGCAGTTCCTCAAATATAAGCATCTCCTGAGCTGAGGCGCTTTCTTGGACTTCCACATGCACTGGTTCATGGGCTACCGGGTCCTGTTTTGACCCTAGCAGTCCCCGCCTGCCTGACTCCTTCTTCTTGCGCATTTCGTTCACCGACAGCTCTTGCTGTAGCTGCGTTACTCGAGATTCCAATTGCTTGTTACGGAAACCAAGGGAGTCAACTTCTTGCTCCGTTCGTCGCAAGGACGTCTCGCGCTGCCGTAATAGCTCGCGCAAATTTGCTTCTTTGGCCTGTTCATCCAGCACGGCCTTTTTCAGCACGCTTGCCTGTGCGCGCAGCTGTTGAAGCATGGATTAAATTAGATTAAGGTTGATAAATGGGCGTAAACTGTTGCTGTCGCGGCTTCGAGAGCTCCTCTATCTCTACCTTTGAGTACTCGCTGGCAAGTTTTTGGTACTTGGCCTCAGGCACTGTGTTATCCATGCTGGCTATTTTTTCCGCCATGTAGTCAAGCGGGTGAGCAGCTTGTAGCGTTTAGTAAACGCACTGCCTTAAACAAATGCAACGTTTTAATAATAGTGGCTTAAAACAAAAGCCCCAACAAAAATCAGTGGTGCACAGAACTGGCGTTGCCACCTGCGCAAATAAATGACATCGGGACCGCGATGTTATCGATTTTGAGTACTTTTAACGGCATGTATGGCAATTAAATTTAATAAATCCTTTATTTACTAAAAACTATCATAAATTACACAATAACTTAAAACACTTAGCTCAGGAATATAGTATCAAACGGAATTTTCTCAAACAATTTGTTTGAAAGCTCGCGGAATACCAGACCAAAACTTTTAGCATAACCCACTTTTAATTCGTTAAAAACAATTTCCCAGTTTTCATTCAAAAAACGATTCATGCCTTCCGAAAGCGTTTTGTCATTGAACAAGTTGTCGAATCGCATGTACACACGCTTAGGATCAAAGGACACACGATATTCCTTGAGACGCATATACTTAACGCCATCCTTTTCAAAGGGCTCTCCAATCAGACGATGCTCGATTTTGGTATTGAGTAGTGTTACATTGGCCTTGCCATTACCGGTAATGGGTAACAGCAAAATACGTCCGGACATCTCATAGTCGCCCAACATTTCAATGCGATCAGTTTTGCTATCACAGATAATCAAATGCTTGTCCAAGTCGGTTCTATAAAGTATACAACAAAAGGGCTGTCAGTCAAGGGGAAATAGTATGATCAGAAGCTGCAAACAATTTGTTAATTAATTACCTGTACCGCTGAATCTTGCTAGTTGAGATCATGTCGTGCACCTTCACATTTTTCAAGGTTTGACGCAACGTTATTGGCGCATTGCCGGCATCTATAACAAGTTTCTTCACGGACAGCGGCTCTAGCGTTGGAATGCCATACTCTTTATTACCTGCCGCCAATGTTCCGAAAAATAATGTTAGCACTATGTAAATCATTAAACTTATATAATTACTAACCACTCTTTAGCAATTGAATTGCCACGTTGACAGCATCGACAAGGCATTTATCAAAATTGGCATCACGCTTGCATTTGGGAAAGCCTGCAGCTGTAAAAAAACAGACACATACAAAAAATTTTAAAGCTGTTGATAATGACATTGAATTTCTGTATGTAAGGCAGGAACGTAAATAAAGTAAAGAGTTCGTTGGCCACAAAAACGTGTTCACAACAAAAGCATGGCAAAACGAAATGATCCAGCAGATTTGGCAGTCCAATGTCAAGTTGGCACGCATATTTATCTCAAAATATGCGACGAGACAAAAGCATTCCAAGCCCCATTCGTTTAGTTATTTCACTCAGTCAGCAGGCCACACGCATGACCTACGACAACTTACAAAACAATAAAAAATATATGTGTCTGTATGTTAGTATGTACATATGTTGTTGTACATATGTGTCATTGCGTCTTAGCCAAGCGGAAATCAGCGACCAAACCCGTTCTCTGATAACGGCTGAAAAGTGTACCACTTTTTATATCATCGAAGTTGCATATGCCAACCAGTTTAATTGCATAACGACTGTGCAGCTAACTGTTTATTGTTTATCACTATCAGCTCAGGTTCAGCCACCCAGTAATCAGCCATCAGACATTTCAAATTGGCATGCTTTGGGTGTCGTTGGCACGCTTAGGCTTGGACGCAATTGAACAATTTGATATGGCCTTCAGACCAAAAAAAAAAAACCAGAGTCCAAAAATTAATAAAAGAAGTAAATTAAATAAGCAACATTACTTGCCATAAACGCTATTGGTCACGTTTTGACAATAATTGTTAGGGGAGCCCATAAACATGCAAGTAAAATGCGCAAATAAAATTACAATCAACTATTTTGTTTTTTGCATTTAGGTATTTTGTTAGCCAGGAATGGTGTTAATGTTGATGTTGTTGTTACTTACGCAAATCTTGCGCAGAGGTCTGCGCAATCGCCACGATTAGCAAAAAAAACAGGCACGATGTTGCTGGTAATTTTGACATGATGTTGATTGTTTTAAAATCGGATGTGAAATACATCGGATGATTGCTCAAGTCTGGACTATTGATAAACACACACACACACTCACTGATTCAAGCACTCATTCATTCGCACACAAACATACACACGCGGAGATCGGAAGATGCGAGAAACGCGAACTGAAAATTGGTCTATTGCTTATTTGTAGGCTCCACAGGTTCTCACGCCAACGACTTATCACCACGCAATGTACGCGGGATGCTCCAAGCACCGAACTTTTTATACCGAGCTTCGGCTCCATCCAGCGACGCGACGTCGCCGCCACTGTGTATTTCGCCTAAAGCTTCTGCGTCGGCGCTCTAAGTTGGCTCAGTTCCACACACACACACACAAATACTCACGCACACTTACGCATGCATATGTATGTATGCGTATATTTGAATGTTTGTGTAGCTGTAGCTGGCGATTTCAATCAATTTTTGTTGATGTTTTTGTGGTTGTTGTTGATTTTAGTTGAACAGGCGAAGCAAAGCTTTGGCCCATAAACATGAATGTGTTGATACCCCGGGCGTTGTGCAGCAACTTTTCGCTTTCCGCCTCGCCGGTTTTGGTAATACTTACAGACATACATACCTACATACCTACATACATACATGCATTTCGATTTGTAGCTGCTGCAACTATACGTATATATGTACATACATATGCAGATACATACAAGTACATCATAAGTCAGTCGAGTCAGTCGAGACAGCCATGCAACATCGATGACAGCAGGTGTTGTAGCTTGTCAGCCCAACAACCCTGTAATGCCCTTTCAATTTTTGTTGTGTATTTTTGGTTTCCTTGGTTCATTGAACCTTACATGATGTTTTTACGAGCGTACAATAAACGCTAATTGGGGGTCATTAAAATAGTGCGCCAGAGTAATTCAGCGGCATAATACTAAATATGGTACATATGTATGTATGTATGTCGCTACTTGTGACTATTTGCCAATACATGTTGAACGGTTTAAATATTACCTTTGGATGCATCTACTAAACATATACACATACTACTCCCTGGAACTCCATTATTAAGGCGACTTGTGATTATATAAGTACACAATTAATATACAGACATACATACTATGTATGTGCAGAAACGTAAAAAAATCGAAATATATAATACAAGTATACATAAGTCTAGGATCTAAATAATGTTAATTGAAACATAATTACATACACTATGTTGATCAGAAGATTCGATAGATAAAAAAATACTGTCTGCAAACTTTCTGGGTTGGTTTATTCAATTTGCTACCGATATCATTGAAATTCTTTTCAAGTACACTCAATTTTTAGTCATTTATCTCATGGCAATTTGTAGGATTAAGCCATGAAACCGGACGCACTGTTACTCTCCAAATATTTATGTTGCGGATAAGTACTGAACAAAAGGGTCCCCCGAAGCTATATTATACTGCAATAATGATATTAAAGCTTGTGTCATTATGCCACTGGGTTACTGTGGTAACTGTTAAAACAAACTAATACAATAGTTGTTTAATTGCCACCACCAAAATGCAAGTTCGTTGCCTAAGTCTTTCGTTTAGCTTAGCTGCAGTTTTCAATTAATCAGCCAAAAGTGCCGAACAGCCCCAGAACATCAGATACTCAGAGCCATGTGTCTATGGAAACTGTCGCAATTGTTGTTCAAATATAAACAAATGCGGCAGCAAGCCGGCAAGCAACGGTAACTGTGCATGTGAACACGTTATCGTTGTTGTTGTTGCTGTTGCTGATGGTGTCTGGCACATGTGTGAAACCGGTTGCCCCCAAAAAAGCGGCACGCTCATTCAACGCTTAACATTCTGTGAGCACGCAAACTGTGGGGCGAATCGGGCATTATTACAAAATAAAGAAAAACACTTGCATTGAAAAATAAACAAATACAAAAAATAAAAACTGAAATATGCAAAAGTGCTATTGCGGCCAAAGTAGCAGAAACAGCAGTTCAGGCATCCTGAGATCAACGCTCACTAATCGCCAGCAGCAGCAACAAAGACGTGGCAGCAGCTCCACACTGACGTCATCACAGCAGAGCGCGCGTTCCACACAGTTCATTAAGTTGCCCAAAAGCACGAAACGTGGCAGTGCTGTGGACCTGGGCTTGGGTCACTCCCAAAGTCAGCTGGGGAACAATTTTTGTCGACGCAGCTCAACAGCTACAACAGTCAGCCATTGCTCCAGCTGTTGCAGCTCCTGTAGCACAGCACAACAACAAAAGCAACGCCAGCAACAACAACAGCAGAGTCGTGTCAAGGTCTTGCGATGGGGCAGTGAGCGGATGGGCCTCGAAGGCAGCGACAGCGGCAATGGCTGCGAACATACGGATAATCGTCGGCTCTATGAGCAACGCGCCTGCGCCGCAATGTCAAGTGAAGGTCAACGTCTGAGTCACGGCCAGGGTCAAGGCAAAGGTCTTGCTGGGGCATCAACCATGTTGGCCGCGGAATTGGGCAGAGACGAGCTGCAACGTCTGCTGGCATTGCAACAATTTCGATTGCTTAATGCCACAGAATGTTTTAGTGTCGAGCGGCAAGATGAGTTGCGATTGCAAGGAGCCTACGATAGAATTGGCACAAGGACTAACGACACGGAATTACAGTCCAACAAATGGTTGAAGAATAAAGCGAATGAGAGCAGGCTGCAATCCACAAAATCAAATACAAAAACAACACCGTACGCACTCCGTCAGAAAATGTTGCAATTGAGATTGCAGGAAGAACAGAAGTTGTATAGAGATGGAGTCTCCCATTGCGCACCATTGGATAAAAGCTGCGCCCTGAGATTTAACTGCAAGTAAGAAAGAGTGAACATGATCTGTCACAGATCAGAAGAGATTATTATGTCAAGCAGTATAAATCGATAAAGTAATAGTTTCAAGACATATCAATCAAAGACATGCATTTAGGATAAAATGTTCTTTTCTGATTTGTCTACAAAATTAGTTATTTTACTTACTTATTGTTTCGATCATGAAGGACTTAACTTGTTCATGGTTTTTTTTCTTAACGAATTTGTTCGCGATCAATTAAATTTGTTCGGTCGCTCTGACAAACTTCTTATTTTTATTGATAAGATAATTAGATTGAAAAAAAAAGATTTTAAAACATAAGAAAAGATTTTGTGCTTGATTGCTTCTATTTCCACAGGACACAAGAGTTTAGAAAATATCATCAACAATGTGTGTTCAATATGAATTTTTTGATATTAAAAAAAAAGATACAATATTGTTATAATAGATTTAATTTGAACTATAAGTGTATTTAGCTACCTCGTACTTTTATATATATTTCAGATGCTAAGAGAAAACAATTAATAAAATAAATCGACTACAAAAGTTATTGGTTTGGGTTTTTGTCAAAGCGGAAAATTACTGAAAACTGCTTAAACATGTTTTCAAAAGCGTTTGAAGAATGTGTTTTTTGTTGTTGTCTGTTACGACAAATATTAGCCATGGAACTTGTTTTTCGATTTAGGGACTGCTGAGTTGGTCTCGTTGAGAAGTTGGGGCACATTGTTGAGTTTCCGGCCTGCGTAATAAGTCAGCAACTTCCACTATGTATGTTCAGTTTAAAATACAGAACACTACTCATTGATTTGGTTTAAATAACTTCCTATTACATATTTCAAATTCCATTCTCGACTTTGATTAAATTAGCGATTAATCTTTATCCATGCCACGTCCATTGGTATTTCCGATTACTTGCATTTGTTTATTAATTGAATAGTGTTTTTTACTGTTATTAAAAACTGTGGTATACTGTTCCAGTGGTATTATGCAGCATTCTCTGAATATGAAAGACATTAACGTATATGCTCGTACCTATGCATAAAAAGGTAATTGTTGTTATTAAAACCAACTTTATTATCTTAGTTTCGCGTCATAAACAACTGTCTTTCTACCTTAAAATTTGTGCAAAATCACTTAACTTTATATGCATACGTACAAACATTACAGCCTCTCCTGCTCAGAGTATTTAAATTGCAATTAATGGTTTTTATGGCTGGCCATTTCGAAATTATCAAAGGTTAGGTTTTGCAATTAGAAGTCTGATTATCACAGGCTAAAATCTTGTGCAGTGCTCAGTTTTTAAAGCAGCCCATTTATATTGGTCAAGTGACTTAATCGCGAGAATCCGTTTAGTGTACAATAATATATTTAGTATACTTCTTGTAGAAGAGAATCCAAGAGAGAGGGACGGGTCACATATCAAAGGTCATACTGCTAAAAAAAAGGCTTTCTGGAATGGAAAAATATTATAATTGGGATTACTAATGAACTGCAGAACCGATGCTTCTCTGCGTTAGGTCTGTATATATAAACACTATGGTTATATACACTTTTAAACAAATGTGCGGTCGTTTTGCCTTTCACTTGGTATTTCCAATACTTGAGTGGGTTCGAATCAATATGGCTCCATCGCAGAATATTTGAAAAACGAATTTGACCTTTATTTAATATTGGGGAAACAATTGCGACTTGATTATTTTCTTAAAAAATACTTTCAATATTCAGCAGCTTTATATCGATCCAGTTTTACTTTTTTTCTTTACCATGTTTTAATTCCCAAGTGGGGTTTGTAGGTATTTCATAATTCTAAGTAATATGAAAAGAATGAACACAAATAATACATTAAAATTACGCCAAACCGATTCTTCTTTATCCCGTACCTTCTGCTCTTTCCCCCACAATCCTTCAACCAAAACTTTGTTACAGATTCCGTCGCTATGATGGCTGCTATATGATAAAGCGCCCAGGTTTCAATAGAATTTTAGTTTACAAATAAAACCACTGATACGGATATCGTTGAAATCAAAAAAATTGTTGGTACTAATATTGATTCTATGATAAAAACCGGATTGTAAGATTCAATCTCAATCTTTTAAAACAAGATTTTTGTACTTGGAATAAGGATTTTCAAGCTGACTGTACTTTGTGTTTCGGTTTGCTGGTATGGGTCTACATTTGTATACTAAAATGAATTATATACCTTCATTATTATATAATAATATATATTATCCGTTTGGTTAGAGTAGAGTAGCAATGTAGTGGGTCCTAAACAGAAAAAATGGGTGAAATATTATTTTATTGTTAAAAGAAACATTTGAAAAACATTCTTCATGTGTTAACACATTTTAGTTTTGTCAAATTTTCATCTATTTTAAAAAAATTGGTCTTTGAAATTGTATGTTTTTTGGTGCCGTATGTTTAGAAATAATATCAGATTAAATAGCGATTTGTATATGTAGAAAACTTTATTGTAATTTTTACTGCAGTTTAACTCGATTGTGCTTTATCGATCCACAACTATTGAAATGATTGGCTGGCGACATTCGTAATAGTTGAACACGTCTGACCAAGGCATTGTAACGACATTATAGGTAGGTCTCATGGGTTTCCAGATGAGCGTGTTACCCTTATTCGTTCTCGATGCTGACCCATCAATGAGGCTCAAAAATGTGCATCAATTCGAATTTTATTGTACAGAGAAAAACACAGTTATTAATATTTATTGCTAGCATTTCATTTTTCTTTTTAATAAAACAGTGCTATTTTGTTACAAGTGCTTCATCATTGTGTTCTTTTTTTTCGTTTTTTGTTGCTTTTTTCTTCTTCTTTGCCTTGCCATTTTGCTTTGAATGCAATTAAATTTTGTAGTTTTCTTGGTTGTCTTTTCAAATTGTTAAATTACAAGTGTTTTTTGTTTTTGTTTTTTTTTCTTGCATTGGCGCAACTTACGATATTACGTTATAATTTGTATTTCATTACTTGGTTGCTCTTGCTTTGCGGCTGCTGCTGTTGTTGTTGTTGTTCGTAAACAGCCGATGCCTATTCGATTTTATATATGTATGTATATGTAGGTATGTATTTTTATATATGCATGTAATTCATTACAACATTGAACAGAGTACTAAGTAGTTTTAAGGCTAGAACAAGAGGCCGGGCGGCGTGGGGCGGAGATTTTTGGTTTTGCGTTTCATAAAGAGGGGAGGAGGGAGTTGGGGAGGTCGAGAAATATACAAACGAAACCTTTTAGGTAATACGCGCCAGGGCGGCATGATGTGTGGATTGTTGTTATTTGTTTAGGTTTTTTTGTGGATTATTTCGCTCGCGCCTGTCGTGGCAATAATACTTGAAATTGGCGGGCGGCCTTTTAGCACAAGAATGTACCGAATTTTATCATAAAAATACAAATACAGAAGTATACAGCTTCAATATGCGTTTGCTGCTCGTTAGAATTTGAAATGTATGCTTTTCAATATCTTTGTTGTTTATTTTTTTGTAACGTTATCTGGCGTTATTCTGACGTCATGCCCACTAAAACACACTTTAGCGGCACAGTGCAGCTTAAAAGTATGTCGCTGTGTGCGCTTTTAAGTTATATGTTTTGTTTTTTATTTACTTAGCTTTAACAAGCATTTCATTGTTTTTGTTTATTCATTAACATTTATTTCTTTCTAAGTGTTTTTCTTCATTTTGTTGTTGTGTAATTTATTTAAAGTTAATGTGGGTTTTGTAAATCGTTTGCCTATATGCATTTTGTTTTGTGTTGTGTTGTAACTCTTACGCATACAATTTAAAAAATATACACAATTTTTTTTATTTTAATATTTTTGGTGTAAACAATTCAAACTTATGTACCTTGCAACTAAAATTGCTTTGCTTTAAAACTAAGTGAACATGTAAATATGTATGCATGTAGCATTAAATATGGTAGGCCGTGCTGCAAGCACATACATGCATAGATACATATGTATGTACATACATACATACATTATCTCGCTACAATATTAAAAGCATTCCATAAATAAAAAAATTGGTGTGCTAAACTAAACAGTAGATACGGGTACATGTGTGGATACATTTTAAAAAGAATGAATCAACATATTGCCTGAAACGCGCTGCCAATTTTCGCTATAAAACCATTGTCGAGTCCTTGAAGTGACACGGACAATGCGATTTCGTAATGAACTAAAAATGCAGTGCGAAAAGAAAAAATGCAAAAATACAACTGGTGCGTGCATTTAACATACGTACTGTATACGTGTATGTGTTGGTTGTTGCTCGATGTGTGTGTGTGTGTGTATGTGTGTGTGTACTATCATTACGCAAAAAGGAAAAACTATAACAAAATAATATTAATACATTTTCGCTTGCTAAATGTAAGAGATATTCTCATGTAGTGTTTAACACCACAAGATGTTTGAACTAAAGTGTCGCGATTGTTGTTTTTGTTGTTGTTGTTGATTTTCCTTTGTTGTCGCTTTAAATGATAAATAGGCTCATATTTGTATAGATTTTCATATACCCTTATAACGTTGCTCTCGATTCGATTACCCATATTCGATAAAAACAAACGATCTTCCGCTTCCTCAAATTGGTTTCTTGGTTGATTTTGTGTTTCTGTTTGTGTTTGTGTCTGTGTGTACGAGCTGTGTGTGTGGCTTATTTCTTCTTATTCTTGTTGTTGGCTCCGCGCGGCGGTGTCAGGGGACGCCCTGAGCTGCCAAAGTTTGGATAAACAAATCGTCTCTTGTCGGCGGGTTTCAATATCTGAAAGGAGCACATCAATGTGTCATCCACGGACATCATCGCACCTGGAAAGAATCAATAGAATATTATTAACTATTAGGGCAATAATCACTCTAATCACCTCTCCCCTTATTGCAGTTAATTTGCAGTTTTTGAAATTGTAGTGTTTTAACTTACTTATCTGTTTAAAATTCTACGTTTATTTTTATAGCCTGTACCCAACGGGTGAAAGGCTATACTAGTTTTGTGCGCATGTATGTAACACACAGAAGGAGGCGTGGCAGACCCCACAAAGTATATATATTCTTGATCAGGATGAGAAGCCGAGTCGATATAGCCTTGTCCGTCCGTCCGTCTGTCCGTCTGTCTGTCCGTCTGTCCGTATGAACGCAAGGATCTCAGAAAGTATAAGAGCTAGAATAACCAAACTTGGTTTCCATATTCTCCTAAGACCGAGAAAGTACGAGTTTGAGTTTTTTTTCGATGCACCCCCCCACTTCCCCGCAATTCGTGTTTTTTCTTATAACTTCCGTAATTCTCGGAATTTTGAAATCAATTTTGGTAGGTACATCCAGTTAGTACTAATGTGTCCGTGTGCCAAATTTCATCATGATAGGTCAATTCTGAAGAAAGTTATAGCCATAAGTAAAATCGCTGCTCATGCGCTGCCTCTGTCGGCAGCGCTGCCCGCAGCTGTTGTTGTTGTTGCTGCTTTGGTTTAACTTTGTGCTGCATACATACACGCATATAAACACGCATAGGTACGTGATGTAAATGTATGCTGTTAAAACTAAACATAAACATATATTCTAATTTAATTAAATTAATTAATTCATTAATTTTTTTTAATAATTTAATTTTTTTTTTAATTTTTTTTTTTTTAATTTTTCTTTTTTTGTGGAGAGTACAGGCTATTTTACTGTCGGGCTTGCTCGACTGTAGCGTTCTATCTTGTTTAATTTTATATTTTAGGTTGAATATTCTATACGAATTCTATACCGAAAGGAATACCAATTATTTTTTCATTATATGTACATACAAAAATTTGAAACCACAAAAAGTGTTACTTCGATATTTTCAAGCAAATTTTAATCATTAATTTTAACCGTTGTTTCTACTTAATACGTTCTCTATAATTGAAGTAAATTGCATTTGTTTTATATTATTATTTTTTTTAAAATATATTTATATAAATCAAAGTCTACGTATTCCCTAATAATGAAATAAAGATAATAATGAAGTAAGCTATATTAGATAACTTTTTTATTTAAAGCTGATACAATTGAAAACCAGATTAAAAATTAGAAAAAATATCGATTATTTCAGTTCCCCTGAACAGCTTATTTAGGACTTAACTTATTTATAAGGACTTTGAGTAAATTAATCTAAATTAATTAAATTTGTTGTTTATTACAAATTCTAAAGAAGTTCTTGTGTCAGGGAACTATATTTCATTATAAAATTCAAACGTTAGTTTTTTATAATCGTGACATATTTACTTGCGTGCAAAATGTTTGCATGTCTGACCGTAGTTTTCTTTTGGGTATGACACAAGCTGCTATTTTGCAACCATATACTGAACAAAATAATGGATTAATATTGATGACTATTTGTAATCGGTGGAAATTCCCCAACAATAAAGTGACACGTAAAAGATTTTGTGAAGTGAATCAATTACTTGTGCGACTTGAGCTAGTTATGTGGATTCCAAGCTAATTCTCTAACATATAAAAAAATTGACAATTAGAAAACCAGCACCAGCATTACTAATATAAAAGTAATTAAATCAAGCTGTGACAAGCCTTATAAATATTTAAGCGAAATGTGGTTTAAAAATCCTAGCTAAGCTACAGTTGAAACTCACAATTGCGTGTTATTTGAATCTCTATCTAATGATTACTGCACGCCAATCAAATTACTTGCTTTATATTGTTAATATGTTACTCTTTGAGGGCTCCCTTCTTTTACTATATTTAATAAAGAGCTAGCAAATGGCTATTACAAAATTAACAAGCACAATTATCAGTGTAGCTGAAAAGCTACTGATACGAGTACATGTGGCGCTGCATTTATTTGCCAATCAGTTAATATTTGTTTCAAGGTTATCACCAAAATCAGTGCTAATCTTAGTGTTATCTCTTGTTTTCGTCTGCGACTACGTCAAAAATAATTGTACCTAGTTTAAATAAAGGAATCTGCTAACGACATAGCTTTTTTTCACAAACTTACCCGCATTATCAAATTCCCCACAATAGTTGGGCGCCGAGAACAACGTTACAAGCTGCCGTTTTGCAAAGAATTCATAACCATCTTCAACAACCTGATGCGCACGACAAATTAGGTCAAATTCGTGCTTTTGTAAAAATTTACCCACAACCTAAGAACACAAAAGGGCAAATTAAACGGGTGATCCTATTTAAAGCTGGACAAATTCACCTCTGCGCCAAAAGTGAAGCTAACACCACGATCATTCTCACCCCAACCCATGGTATCCTTGTCGGGATCCGACCACAAGAGATCACACAACAAGCCCTGATCGGGAACATCAGTAGGTCGCATAATACGTCGAATTTGCTCCATTGATGACAAATCTGGACTTAGACCGCCGTGACAACAAAAGATTTTCTCATCGACTAAAAGTAAATCATATTTAACCTTTCTGTGCATTTACATACAGCGCTGACTCACCAATTGCAGCCACGGGTAGGCAATTAAAGCAATCCGTGAATGTCTTCCACAGCTTGATGGTATAGCGGCGTTTGCATTCATCGTAAAAACTAATAAACAGGGGCAAATAAATTAAAAAATGGACTTCGACTAGCGCTTTGATTAGAGGCTCACCCATAGATGCGGTTGATACTGGCGCATTCGTGGTTACCGCGTAGCAAAAAGAAATTTTCTGAATATTTTATTTTGTATGCTAGCAGAAGGCATATAGTCTCCAGGGACTGCTTGCCACGATCAACATAATCGCCAAGGAATAGATAATTCGATTCTGGAGGGAAGCCGCCGTACTCGAAGAGCCGCAGTAGATCATAATATTGTCCGTGTATGTCACCGCAAATCTTTAACGGCGCCTCTAACTCCAGTAAAATCGGCTGCGATAGGAATATTTCGCGCGATTTTAGGCATAAGCTGCGTATTTCGCTTTCCGATAGCTGGACATTCTTGCCTGGACGAGCGCCACGCACTGAAATTTAAAAGGAAAGGCAAGCATTATTGGTTTTGTGTGGGTGGTAGGGTCTGTTATGCGCGCTCACCTTCCAATAAACGCGAGATTATGCTGTCTATGCTCATTATGTCGGACATGTTTTGCTTGGTTAGACAACGTTGTTGATACTTGTTTGCCTGTACGTTCACTGGCTTAGCTCGTCTGCTTTCTTATCTATTTATTTTGCTGCTGCTGTTTGCCTCGTTATTCCACCGTAGACTTTTATATTTTCGGTATACTACGTTATGTTATTTCATCGATGAAGGGGGGGACGTGTGCGTATGTGTAAGTGTGGGGGTCGTAGGTAAGGTACTTTTAAGCGCTGCTCGGCTGCTGCGACGGCAAAACTTCAACACCTCTGTTGCTGCGCCATGTAAATAACTCGTTCAACACTAGATTGCGTGTTATTTTAATGCGCTGTATTGCAATAATTGCACAAAATTGCTAAGCCTCGCGACGACGTACAAAATTTTTTTCTAGGGTTGTTGATATTGTATCGACATATCGAATATTTATGATATCGATGCATCGATAATGTGTACTAGCGAAGTTTGGTGCTGCCACATAGCTAATTGAAAACAATAATAAATATAATTTTTTGAGTGGAGCTTTAAATGTTTTTATAAAACAGCATATCCTCCCATTTCGAGTATTTGTAATTTTCCTCACTCACCTAACGTTTTAACATTGCCGAGTGCAGTTAACTCACGGATTGCATGGGTCTGTAGAATGTCATTCTATTGAATCGACTAGCAAAGCCGTTAGATTGGTAGCATTTTTTTTTTTTTTTTTTTTTTAGCAAAAGAAATTTTATTTATGTACATACATATGTATATTTGTACAATTATTTGAAATCCCCATCACTTTCATCCATGGTTTTGCCATTGCCGAACGCACTAAACATTACACGTTTTCGGGGCAGTGGCACAGGTCTTGAGCTTTCCTGTTGCATCTGCACCATCGTCAGAGGTTTTGACGAGGCGGAGGTAGCCCGGCCTGAAGACTTCACTAGAATCTTCTCCAAATGGGCTTTGAAATCACGACTTGGCCGTTGCTCTGAGCTTGAATTGACTGACTGGTCGCTGGTTGCCTCGTCATGTGCCTCTGACTCTTCAGCTTCTTCATCATCGTCCGTTACAGAAGACACGAGTTGGGTACGCTTGGGTGCTTCAATAGGCTGAAGTGGTGTTTTGTGTTTCAGCAACATTTCGGCGCTCTGCGGCAACTTTACGGAGCAAAGTTTCTCCACAAATTTGCGTATACGATTGCGCGTCGCATAGAAGTGTGGATGTTGCTACAATACATAAAGAAAAACGTATTTACATTTGAATGTGCATAAATACTACATGTGTAGTTATTACTTTGAGTAACACCCGTCACATACCAATTTCAGTTTGTTTCGGTGCTCTGCTAGCTCAGCATTGACGCGTTTCATGGAAATGTGGGAAATAGTTTTCGATTTCATGTCAAAGCCGTGCGGATTGAGTTTCCGATTGACCAGCCTGCGCGCATCCTTGCGTGTAAATGGTTGCTTAGGTTTCTGTGGGCTTCTACGCAGATATTTCACTTATTTTAGGTGAAGAATAATTAAATGAATATATAGACTTACTTGACTCTTGGCGATGATCTTATTTTTGGTTTCAATACTTCGCGTTCTGGCTTCGACGTAAACAGCTTGCTGTTCCGTTCACTGTCGGTTTCCTCTTCACTGAGACTTTCACTGATGTCTGTTGCTTCCGGTGCTTCTACTGGAATCGCAGTTGTTTTGGGTTTACTTAGTTCCAGCTTGGTCGGTGTTGTGGCCAATTTAGCAGGTGACTTGGTGTAGGTGTGTTGGCTACCAGAGCTGCCGCTTTGTATTTCCTGTACTTGAGTGAACTCTTTAATGGGCAGATTTGCTTGGGGGTCCGTTGGGTTAGGCTCCTCTATTGAGAAGGTGTCATCGTCTGCCTTAGCTTTTAAAAATTCATTCTCTACTTCGCGCTTGATCCGCTCCATGCTCGTTTCTTGCTCTTTGGGTTTTGTTGTGGGTAATGGCTTGGGTATTTTAGATATGGATGTGTGTGTTTGCAGTACGGGGGGATCTTTGCGGGCACTCAGCCGTTTGAGCTCTCGCTCCAGTGCTTCTAGCTTGTCCTTGTAACCCATTTCTAGATGGTAAACAACCTCCTCCAGTTTATTGGCGCTTATTCTTCCAATTTCGGTCACCTTTTCCGTAAGTATTCGCTCCAAGTCCTCCAGACATGGTGTTGCTACACGGTCCTCTGATGTCATTGTTGTGGTGGATGTGGGGGCCGATGTTGGCTTTGTCTCGGTGCGTTGTTTCGTTTGTTCGAGTGCTTTGGCTAGACCTTCGAGTTTCTGATTGATATCCAATATGAACTGTTCATTGCTCTGCTTCAGTTGTGTCTGCCAAGACTCAAAGCTGCTGATGCGTTCTGCTAAGCCATGAAGCTGTTCCTTGCGTTCGCTGGCTTCACTGTCCAGCGCCTCGCTGCTCAGCTCATCCTTTTCCTTGCACTCTTCTAGATTACTTTGTATGCCTACAGTACGCACGGCGGCTTTGCTGGATTCCTCACGAGGGCTGTGCTTCTTGGAAGTTGTGCCCCCGCTGCTTCGCTCTTTAATGTTACGCTCTGCAGCGTTTAGACGCTCCTTGAGCTGCTTGATCTCAAGTTCCATTTTAATAGTGTTGATCAACTGAATGTCATTGTCCTTGTCTTTGCCAATGGCTCCACCATTTACTATTGTCGTGGGCGTTTCTGTGCGTGTACGAGCGCCTCCGTGTTTGCGACCAATATGTATGTTCAGCGCCTCATTGCTTATGAAATTCTTGGTGCACAAGTGACAAGGATAAACCACTTCGCGTATAGCCTCGATTTGCGTGATCTTTTTGTGCAAATGTAATATCTCATTATTGGACTCCGCCAGAGACTTGCGAAGTCTGGCGACTTCCGCCTGAGCTGTAGCGTTCGCCTCACTCAGCTCGCTCACACTCTCGTCCAGAAATGTGCGGCAATATAGCAAATACTGTATCGCATACTGAGACATAACAAAATACTTTGCTATGCCGCTATCCAGAATGTTTGACTCCAAAACAGTGCCCAATGGAGCCTCCGATAAATGATGCAGTGCACTGTCCACCAGTTCGATGTTTTGGTCACGCAAAATGCGTTCTGTTTCGTAAGAGCCTGAGAGGATTGGCACTCCATTATTATGGGCAGCTACATTGTTTTGGAAAACTTACCCATCAAGCGCCAGTCGAGTGGGCCGTCGCGATACTGGCGCAACTTGAAGCCCCCATCACGTGCCATTTGCGGAAAATTGTCGTTGTAGCCCATTTTCTTTAGAAAACCTACCAAAAGAAAGCGAAAGTTGTTTATGTTTCTTTCCGTTCTGCAGGCGACTAACTGCATGAATTGTTTGCTCTAATTATATTTCCTTCGTTTGTCGTTTCGGTTGTCAGGCGTGTTGCCAAGTAACCGTTGACAGTTGGTGCTAGATGGTGGTGAGCTTCGCTAAAAGGGCTGCCATCTCTGCTAAGTGGTGGAGATGGTGAAGGTGCGTATGCAATAAACGTATGCTCGAAAAATTTCAAACATTATTATCTGTACATAAACGCTATTACACATTATTATAGTTTAAATCTTACATTTCATTGTCGAATTGTACTTGAACTTTACTGTTACTGTTACAATAATTTATATTAAACTTAAAGAAAAATACAGTTACAGCTTAAGCTAGAGGCTTATTTGTATATCTTAGAAGAAATATTAAAACTAATTGCATTTACAATATACATAAATTAAAGTAATAATAACTAGAAACAATTTTTAATTTTATAAAACTTGAGTTAATTTAAAAAATACTATGCGAAAATATACTTAATTTTGTATTTAAAATCTGAAAATGCTGAAAAGTCGAACAATTTGTTTTCCAAAATTTGATTTAGTTGAGAAAATAAATACGAGCATCATCCCTGAGAATGTCAGACTCAGATAGAGTCATGTCCTCTGTGAGTTCAGGGCGCAGTTGATGCTGGACACTGTATGCGTGAAGTTGGCTCCGATTGTACAACGGGAAGCAAAATGTTATAAGCTGTTCAAAATAATTGTATTTAAGTGCATAAATATTGAGTGAAAAGTGTTGTAAATACAGCAGAAATGTTGCGGTGGTATTTGCTGTGTTTTTTCATACTGCTACCACTGGCAAATAGCACACGTAAGTAGTTTTGGGAAGTTGAAAAGTTGGAAAATTCCGATACTTCTGATGCTGTATCACAAAAATGCTGCTGCTGTCGATACGGCGAGAGCGTGAGAGCAGGAGAGGGCGCATGGGCAAAATGTTGTTTTGGGAAATTTTCAGAGAGCTGGTGAACAGCTGTTAGATTGTTTGGGAATTTATGTGCTCTCTGCCTTGGTCCTTTTCGCCTACAGCTCCAATAAGTTTTGAGGCAAATCCGGACACCAAACGTCTCTATGATGATTTGTTGAGCAACTACAACCGTCTAATACGACCCGTTGTCAACAATACGGAGACACTTACGGTTTGGTTAGGTCTGAAATTGTCTCAGCTGATTGAGGTCAATCTAAAAAATCAAGTGATGACCACAAATCTGTGGGTCAAGCAGGTGAGTGCCATTTTTCTTAGAATATATTTAAATTCTAATTTCGTGGGTTTGTTATATAGCGCTGGTTTGACTACAAATTGCGCTGGGATCCCGAGGAGTATGGCGGCGTGGAGCAATTGTATGTGCCCTCCGAGCATATTTGGGTGCCTGACATTGTACTCTACAACAATTGGGATGGCAACTATGAGGTGAACAATCATCAAGAATTAGTAAAACCTAAAATATTCGTACTCACGCCCAATCTTTTGCTAAATGGCAGGTCACGCTCATGACTAAAGCAACACTCAAGTACACAGGTGAGGTGTTTTGGGAGCCACCAGCAATTTACAAGTCATCCTGTGAAATGAATGTCGAATATTTTCCATACGATGAGCAAATTTGTTTTATGAAATTCGGTTCATGGACCTACAATGGCGCCCAAGTGGACTTGAAGCATTTGGATCAGGTAAGCTGCCACCAATGTGTGTGTGCTCATGTGCATTGACCTGTGAGATAAAATATTTACAATTCAACCGTACATACTTGTTTGTGTCAATGTGCGTGTGTCTGTTTGGGAGCCAAGGGATATTGCATTCTATTGCAAAAATTTCAATTTATTCCGAAAGAAAAAAATGAGCAACAGATTGCCTTGGCATGTGTGCAGCTCGAAGGTGGCACATATAGCATTCTGCACTCCATCTGCTTAAACTCTACCTTAATGTTATGTTGCAGGTACCTGGCAGCAATCTCGTCCAGGTTGGCATCGATTTAACTGAATTCTACTTGTCCGTCGAGTGGGATATACTTGAAGTGCCCGCCACCAAGAATGAGGAGTATTATCCGGACACATTGGAGCCGTTCTCAGGTGCGTTTCATATGGATTTCGTTTATGAATTTTGTTTCAATTTGTATGCTTCAAACAGACATCACCTTCAAGCTGACCATGCGACGGAAGACTTTGTTCTACACTGTGAATTTGATTGTTCCTTGTGTGGCATTGACTTTCCTCACGGTGTTGGTATTTTATTTGCCCAGCGATTCCGGCGAAAAGGTCAGTGGACGCATGAAATTTCATTTTAGTTGAACCCAATAACTTTAATCTTTCAGAGTGGTCTGTGCATGCGGCATGCACATAAATAAAAAGTAGTTTAGTCTCAAAAAATGGCGTAGAAACCAATTTGCATGTCCTTTCTCGCACTTACGCTAAAAATTATAACTAAATATTTTTATAGTATGTATAATAAAATAATTAATAAGTAAAATAATTTAATTAAATAGCAATTTAGTTGATAATTTTTCATTATTAAATTGCACATTTCCATCACTGCACTTTTAAACTATCATTATAATCCAAATCTACCTACATCATCAAATAAACAATTACTCCACAAACTTATACGTACTATATTCCTATGCACTACATACTACTAATTCTCTAGTAACTCTCCAAGTCTGCTTAACATTAAAAAAAAAATAATTAAAAAGAAAAAATTAATTATGAAAAGCTGAGCTCTTGAACTATTGTACATTGGCTTTAACTGATCCACACATACACACACATGAAAAACTATTCTGAAATTTCTAAATGGAAAATTTTTCACAAGAGTTCAACTTGCACTTTCAAAAACTGCTCTCTCAACTATGTATCTAACTCTCTCCTTCCTTCTCTATGCGCTATCATTTTTTGCAAAATCTTACTATGTACTTCATTATCAAATTTGAATAATTTATTAATAAAGATTTTTCAACCTATTTATGCATATATTTCAATCACTAGCTAAGCGTCTGAAACGCTGTCTCCTGCTCCTCCTCCTTTTCGCAAATGATTGCATTTTATGCAGCACACATATATTGACGCTATATGCAATATAAATCAGCATTTCCTATTCAAATGACGTCCTAAATATCATTTGTGCTGTTCTGAGTAGTGAAATCTCATAACGTAAATTTCATCGAATTATCGTACAAGCATACAAGTTCAATGCGAAAATCTAATTCTATGTCAAAGCCACTCTCAAAATTTTGCCATATCGCGTGTCCTTTAATTAAGCAGCACACACACACACACACACACTCACACACATACTCACATAAATACTATACATGCATATTTACACACATCTACGCGCACACGCACAATAACAAACAGAATCACACACATATTTAGCTACACACGCACACCCACTCACACACTATTACATACATACATAAGTATATGAAAACATACATAGATGTATATGTATTCCGGTACCACAATCGCGCCTGTTTGTTCTTGTTATTGTTGTCGTCGCCTTAGTAATCGTGTCGCCCATTTGCTCGAGTAAACGCCGCCATTATTATGAACTAAATATAAGCTATAGCTTGTAAGTAAATTAAAGCATACTACAATGTTTATACGAGGGCTACTTATTCTTAAAAGTATATATCAAAACAATAATATTTGATTTTGTTTGTCTTTATGAGGGTCAGCAATATGTATGATAGGTATGCCTCCATACCTAATGAGTGGTATGAAACCCCTTACAAATAACTAGAAAGTGGCAATTTTAAAAATGAGCTGCGTGGAAGTTAAATACATATAAGTATATATATATGATGCAAATCCATCAATTTAGTTCCTATTTCTATAGAACGAAATTCATATCCTTACCAAGTATAACAGCTAGACGAAGCAAAGATATGATTTTGATGCCTCTATTGGAGTTGTAATTGAAACAGACGGGCGGACATGCGGATTTTAATTCGACACGTACCACACAAGTATAACGTGTAGTCTACCTTTTTTCCTTCTGGGTGTTATAAAAACCTAACACTGGCATTGTACTTGTATATGTATTATATTTTGTTAATGAAGGAGATGCTCGGCTTACTTCCCTGCAAGTGTCTAACCTCAAAAAATATTGCATGAATTAAGGACAGCCTTCAAATCATACCATGTTAGTGATTGTATTTATATTTTCGATGATTTCGCATATATAGAGATATGTTCACGGACAGGGGAGGAGAGGGAACATAAGCCTGTACGTCTGGTGGTATGTTTTTTTTTTTTCAGAATCAGAAATAAGACAAGAGATATAATAGTGTGTTTACGCTCAATGTATAGTAATTGTATGGGAAAAGTTTTAATAGTACTTTAAAACCTCATATTATTTAAGATAATGTAATCCGGATTGAGTTTCCATGCTATCGCCTTAAATTTATAATAATTTCAAAAAGGGAAACCTGTTATTCATAAATGCTTTCCATAAAATCATTATACATCTGTGCATCACACGGATTGAACTGATCGAATCTGAAATTCCAACTAATACAACTAAGTGTTGCCAGTAATTTCAGTTTTGGTAACGACTGGCTCTCGTGTAAACGTAGTATAATTGCTTGTTGCTTTGATTGTTACTGAAACTTTAATGAGATTGATTGACTTGACTGATTAATTATATTAAACAATGTTTGCGTGTTGCTGAAAGTTGCAAGAAAGTCACTTGCGTGATGTTCGGCTGGGTTCACGATATGCGATATGGTTTGCAGAAAATGTAGTTTTTGATTTCAATTAATTTTTAATTTCCACGTTCTGAATGCCACATAATTCAAGCAAGGGCTATATATTGCGCTATGTCTGCAAAAAAGCGATGGCCACGGGGAAAATTCTAGCTGCAAGAACGCTATTAGTTTACAATTTTCGATAGCGACTTATCTGAGAAAATATTACGCCGTTAGTTCTTCATTTAATGACATTTGTTTTTTTTTTTTTTTAAAGGAGGCTTATTTACGACCTTTCAAATTTAGAAGGAAGCAGTTCAATGATACAAAAAATTAGTTTCTTTTGGAATTTTAGCCAAAGGTTTCATTTTTAGATATGCCTTTCGCTTCGTTTTAGCCTTTTTTTATATTTTGGATACACATAATCCAAATTAGCTTCCAAATAATACCACTCTTAATTGCTTGAATTTGGGGATATCACTTATTATTTGTTCCAAATTTAGGAATTGTCAGCAAAAGCAATCGAAAATATTAAAATAGCTTTGTGTTACATGACGTATACGTAATCTGAACAATTTGAATTTGTTGACATTTGTCATTTGTTGTGTGCGTTTAATAATTGGTAAACCGTAATCCATGTTATATTATTGCTTTTAATTTGTGCTGTCGTTGTTGCTGTTGTTTTTGTTGTTGTTAATGTTGATCGAAAATTAATGTTTTTGAAAATGGCTTTGCGAATCGATATCTGTGATTGCAATTATAATGACGCAGATGATGATGATGGCGCCAAAAGTGCGACAGCATCAGAAGGGATATAAAGAGAAAACGCTGTAACATTTCGTTGACAGGTTACGTTATGTATTTCAATACTCGTGTCCTTGACTGTGTTCTTCTTGCTCTTGGCCGAAATTATACCGCCCACATCATTGGCAGTTCCGCTGCTGGGCAAATATCTGCTTTTTACCATGATACTCGTTTCGCTGTCCGTATGGACAACGGTCTGTGTGCTCAACATACATTTCAGGTAAGTGGTGGGAGGGCTGCTGGACAGCAATCGACTAAAGACACATGCAAGACTACTTTGCTCTGTGCTCTATGCATCAGATCTCCATCAACGCACAACATGTCACCGATGGTGCGTAAATTGTTCTTGCATTTCATGCCCAAACTCATGATGATGCGGCGCACGCAATACACTCTGCCCGACTACGATGACTCGACTCCCAGCAACGGCTACACGAATGAGATTGACGTGCGGTAAGTTGAACGAGCACGCAAATTGAAAGTAAACTTTAAATTGCCCGCGAGTGTTGAATGTCCCATTTTTTCATTTTCTCGCAGCGACAGCATCAGCGATTTTCCGAGCGAGTTCAAAGACAGCCAGGATGGCGCTTACGATAATGGCATGCAGCATTCTGTGGGTGAGTTATACGAGTTTGTGTGCTAGATGATGGGGTTCGAGAGCTTTGGGGTTGCGTCATAAAAAAGCAAAATATTTTGCAAGCGGCAGGCGAAGAGTCGAAATTGAAATAAAATAAAAAATAGGCAAATAATATAATAAAATGGCAAAATCGAATATGTTCTTAGGCCGCGCGGGTGGTCTGTTGGCTGTTAATGTGGTTCTTGTTGTTGTGGCTTTGCGACTTTGCCGGTTGTTTCGCAGCTATCGACGAGAATGTCGGCTATGGCGACACAACTGATGATGATGGGCTTTGACGATGTTGATGGCTGTGACGATGATGTGACGGTTTTGATGGAAAATAACGCTTACGCGGTCACACATAAGCGGCCACACATGTCGAACACAGCGGCAAACACAGAAATATAGGACACTCGAGTGCGTTTTTTGTATACAAGATAATAAAACAAGTCATTCCGATGCTGAACTCTGTTGAACGAACATTGTATCTGCTATTGGCGTTGAATTTTATTTAGGGTTGAAAAATAATGTCAACAAATGTATTTTAACGTAATTGTTTTTTATTATGTGAATTTTTATGTTAATAATATATTAATAGTATCTATATGAATTTCCTATGTTATTGAAGAGAAAACATTTCTATATATGATTCAATGGGTTTCGAGTTTTGCTTTTCTTCAAAGGTATCAGTTGTACTCGAATAAAACAAATATCAATTTTATTTGCTGTCAGCTTTACGTTGAACTTTCATCGCCATTTTGTAAAAAAAAACTGGAAAAATTCAGGTGTCATAAAAACAAAACAATTGAAATCAAGCGATACATTAAAATCAGCCACAAAAAGCGAATAAATTAAGAAAAAACATGAAATAGATGATGCGAACGCTTTGCCTGCTCAGCTTAAAAAAACCATTGCGGAAAAGGAACTGGATTGAACGAGAGTTGGAAAGGCAGTATAACTTTTTTAAAAATATTTACTAAAGTCATAAAGTCATAAATAAAACATTGATATTGATTTTCGATACTTTTAGTTTAAGAAAATTTTTTAAGGGAATGGTAATTAATAATAATAATTAAAATACTTGAACTTCATTGAAAACTAGCAAGAAATGTACGAAAATAACTTAAATTGTAATTTGTATTTGCAAAGAAATATTTCACCTCGGCACGTATTTTCTTTGTTAAATGTGAAAACACCAGAGCTTCATTTATAATTCATTTCTTTGCTTACGCACAGTAGATCCCAGCCATTTGAACAACTATAATTTCCTGGTCAAACCATAAATATACTGCTGGTATGCCCAAGCTATCTGAACCAATACAATTTCCTAAAATGTGTTGCAAAGATTTAAAAAACCCTATGATTTGACATGAATGCCGACAGCAATTTGAATTATTATATGCTTGCGTTTACTTTTTTTTAAGCACTCATGTTACAAGATTTACAAAAATGTCCAAAATGCCCCGCGCTTGTGTAAAGGGTACGTATAATAAATAAAAAGTGGCAGACATAATTCAACTTTGTTGTGGGCATTTTGTTCGCAGCAAGTCAGGGACTTGGGACTATGGGGCGTGATTTTGTGTGCCATCAAAATGTTTTTCGTATACATATGACCTAAGCACACAAACACTCATGCACACACACACACACACATTTATATATATTTATATATGCATTTTTATATTTGTATGTATTTTATTTCAATTTTTCGCAATTTCATGCGCCCAACACAACTTGACAGATTCCGACAATGTGATACCGCGCAACTTAACACCCGAAGTGCTGCAGGCATTGCGTGCGGTCAGATTTATTGCACAGCATATCAAGGATGCCGACAAGGATAACGAGGTGGGTACAAACACACACACATACACACACACACCTACACAGCCAGAGGACCAAGGAACTTCAGTTGCTGGCCTTATTTTGTTGCCATTTTTATTGACAACGTGGCTAGGTCCGCTGCACAGGATGTGCTTTTGTTGTTGTAGGGGCTCTGCTGTCTGTTGTTATTATTTACATTGCCTTATTTTCAACGTCTGCCGCGTTGCTTGTATTTCTCTGTTTGGGCTCTCACACTCCTTTTTATTATTGCTATGATTCTTGGCGCATTTTGATTATTGTTTATTGCTTCTGGCACGGCTTAAACTTTGCGGCCATAGCCACGCAATCATACAAACAGACGAAACACTCACATATACTATAAGCATACACTTAAAAACAAAATAAATATTTCCAACTATTTTCACTTAAATACACATTTTGAGAGCAAAGCGTTTCACAATATGTTCAAATTCATATCTGAGATAAAAACTATTTTTAATAGTACTTTAGTCAATATGTTGTTATTTTTCAGACAAATAAAACACAATAAATAAATCAATAGTTAAATATTGGTCTCTACAATATTTGCTTTAAAAATTCACAAATATCGAAAAATATGTAAATTAAATTGGTTACATTTTGCGTATGTTATAAATATTCATTGAAGATTTTTGGTGTAAAGTTCTTGTGAATGTCACATTGACGACAAGTATATGAAAAGAGAGTTTCAGTTGCGGGCATGGATGTAATATTTGAAACAGGAAATTCTTACATTCAACTTAAGGTATCATTACAAAAATGCAGCCTTTCTATTTTAGTTATTTAATTCTTTAATCAAGTGAACTAATTTTTGTTTTAAGATTTTTCACAATTCCCCATTTTGTTTTTATGTATGCCATATAGTTAATAAAATCAGGGTCAATTTTTCAATAAACCAGTACGAAAATAAAACCCAATAAACGTTTTTAAGTTATTAAAAATAAGTTTGCAAGCTTTTTTCCCTGTGTCGCACACTCTCATTCCGAAATTCTCAACAAACAATTGTAAAATATTAAATCATAACTTTTTGTTTTTATTGCATTTCAACTTTATTGAATACAACAGCAAGCAATCCTACGCCTGCCTCCCCCTTCCAGAGAGCCTAAGGGTAGCTGTTTTATGGCGCCAAATGAAACCAATTTATCTGGCACACTCTTTTTGGCGGCCTACCCTCGCTTCGTTTTAGCGCTTTTTATATTTTACGGCCGCACAATGAACGACATTACAAAATTATTAAAAAGCTCATTTTGTTTATTAAAAGATGCTTCAACTTTGCCTTAAAATGAGCTTCGGTTGACCCACTTTCCGTGCTCGCCTGCAATTAGTCAAATTGTTTTAGCAGCTGACTATCTTACTTCTCTTCTCCTTTTCTTCTCCTCTTTCATTGAAATGTTTTTTTTTAAATATTTTACGCAGATTGTCGAGGACTGGAAGTTTGTGTCAATGGTGTTGGATCGCTTCTTCTTGTGGCTCTTCACGTTGTCCTGCGTTTTTGGCACTTGCGCCATTATATGCCAGTCGCCATCGCTTTACGACACTCGCGCTCCCATCGATAGACAGCTGAGTGAGATTCCATTGCGCAAAAACAATTTCATGCTGCCGCCGGACATTGTCAGGCAGATAGTTAATTAAATGAGGCCTGAGAAATATGCTGTGGTGGAGTCAGGCGATTTGATTGTTTTGAAAGAGCAGCCAACGAGACGAAAGAATGGAAAAGAAAATTAAATGAAAGGCAAGGCCAAAAAATTACATTAAAAGTGACATTCAATATTGATGCCGAAGACTATGTCAAATGCTAGCGGACATATGCGACTTACTTGTAAACAATTGTAAGACACAACTTTAAAGCTAGAGTATTTCATAAATATTGCAACGATATTAAGGCATATTCCATTAAACTACATGTCGTTTGAGCATATTATTGTATTTTCTAATTAATTGTCAACATTAGAGTCACTGATTATATAATAATTAAATCAAGAAAATAAATCGATAAATATATAAAATATAAATATTGCTCTTTTTACTTCAATTGATTGCATGAGGAGGAGGAGGGGGGGAGGGGGATTTGAGCAAAGATTTCCTTTGGCACATTTGGACATTTGGAAATTGTAACGTGCTGGTTAGGAAAGTACTTTTGAAACGAAGCTGCTTGGGCTATACTGAGTGGTCGTACTATATATACCGAAATATTGGTTATACAAAGATATGGGCGACAGTCGTTTGGAAAATTGTCTTTTGAATCGAAAAAATTAGGAAGAACACTCGCAACTCGTGCGGCTTGTAGAGAAATATCGGATATAGCTAGCTACTTAGAATTCTCAATTAAATTTATTTTAGTTTGCTATTAAATACTAATATTTAATATTCTGTGGTCCGAATAATAATACAAGTAATAATTAATTACTTGTATTTAATCTTATTGACACTATTTCCAATTTTGAAGAGCTCAATAAGTCGGCCGGGATATTATTTAGTTTTCTAGTTTTGATAGTTTTTTTCTCTTCTGTTTTCATGAGAAATGTTTTTCCTTACGTCAACAATTACATTTGTCGGAAAACGAATTCAACTGTAATTTATCAAAAGCATAGATACAATTTAATTTAGTTTACAAAAAATTTCATTTGCATAAGCCAAAATGTATTCATCATACACGAAATAGGCATAAACGCATTTGTAAGTTAAAACAATTTTGTAGAAAAATATTCCCAAAAGAATAGTTTAATTTTCAGAATTGAAGCACTTGTATGAATTATTTCTCTGCCTAAATTCTTTTGAAGAACCAGAAATGTGGAAATGAAATGATAAATTATAAAATTGTCTGTACCTCTATGGCTTGTTGCACTCATGTGCTTTGTTTCAACAAATTATTATTATTATCACGCATACGCCACGTTGAACCCACCCATGCACACAGACAAGCAACCCACACAAATACACACGCATATACACATACAAGTATACGTATGACAAACGTTGTTTGCATGTTTGGCTGCCTTTTCTTGTTAATTTTCAATTAAGAAATGACTTTTCAAAAGTTGAACATACACACACGCGTTTATTCATTTACTGTAGAATAAAACGTTATGGCAACAATATGGTAAAAGTTGTCCGGCGTTTTTATGACAGACATTGCGCATACGCCACGTTGACTACCTAAATAATTTGCAGTATCATTTATTTGCTCGAACAGCGAACAAGCGAGTGAGTGTGCGTTCGCACGCTTGGCTTGCCATTTGCCTTTGTTTCTGTCATTTAACTTTCTTGCTGGCGTATTAAATTAGAAAGTTGTGCTGCAAGCCGAAATCTTTTTCGCATCGCATTCATCAACATGTGCAGCAGCTTATGTAAGCCAAAGGAAACGCTGACACACAAGCCCAAGCCCGCAAAAGCATCTGGCAAGGGGGGGGGGGGGAGGGTCACGGTGTTGAGTGGTAGAAGGAGCTGAGTGAGTGGGCGAGTAAAGAGGCGAGTAAAGGACTTTCACTTCAGCACTGTCAACAGACATAATTTTAAGTTGCTTGGCTGACTCGCTGCGTGCGTGGTTATACGTACATATGTATGTCTGTATATACATAGTATATGTGTGATTATGAAGAAAAATGCGAGTATATATATAAGTATACAAGTGTATATGTGTGTGCGTATTTATTAAGATTTGCTTACGGCTCCGTCTTTTCGGCTGCCTCGGTTTTCTTCACATTTTTCGTTGGCAGTTTTAAATTAGAAAAGTTTTCGCCAGATTTTTGTTTTACATTTTTCATATTTTCTATGGCATTTTATTTGCTGTGGTAAGTGGAGCATGCGTTGCATGTTCAGCTGTTGTTGTTGCTGCTGTTTCTGTTGATGTTGCTGTTCAGAGCGTCATATGCGTGGCCCAAAATGTCTGGCAAGCCAAAGAGCAGAATGAAGGCAGTCGAGGTATGTCATGTTAATTTCTATTCGTGTGTAGATGTGTGTGTAGATGTGTTCGCATCTAGTCTTCCCATGTCTTCTTGTCTTGCGTGCTTGATAATGGTATTTACATAAAGCCGCAAAGTATGCAACACATTTTTCGCCTGTCACAAGCCAAAGTTCAGCAAGCATAGAACAATATGCAAATGGCCAAAAAATGGCGCGCTAGTATGCAGAAAAGTCAACTTGACGCCAGCATTCGCCCGGGTCAGTTGGCTAAGCTATTTTTGATAACGTGTCCTACAGGATAGCAGCTGTTAAACAGCTGGTAAGTGAGACCGGCGCAACGGCATCTTAAGTCTTGGCATTAGCACTCCACTCAATTCAAATGGGAAGCTGATTAATAAATGTTGTTGCAAAGTAGTAAAAGTTTTAAAGAACGCAGAACAAATTTAAATATACCGACAGGATGTAGTATGCTCTCAAGGGATGGGGTGAAAGAAAATAGCAATATTGAATTGCGCTCACTGTTCATAGCGGCTCAGGAGGGGATCGAAGAACGTGCAAGTGGAAACATCCAAGCAAACACTCACATATAAACAAGCACACATTTAAAAATCATTCGTGCACGTTGCGCTGTGCTTTCCTGTCATGTCTCGTTTTATTGCTTCCCGTGACTGAAAAAAATGTGCTCATCCGCAATTGCATAGTTTGACCAAAAACACGTCAATTAGGGAGGTTCCCACGGGCTTTGGCAGTGCCATTTATTCGATTTCAGTTTTGTTTATGCAGGCAATTTAAAAGGCATTTCTCCTATTTGTCTGGAGTCCTAGGTCTATGAAATCATTTGACTTAGATACAAATCTAGTTCGTTAAGATTAAAGAAAAATTTGGTTTTATTACATTGGCATTAATTCAGACACATTACACACATACAAGTATTACAAACAAAATTATTAACATTCAGAAAAATCAGTAAAATCCAACAAATAAATAAAAATCGAATAAATAAAATGTTATTTTATCTTTAGTTCTGCAATAAAATTCGAGATAAATATGAGATTCTTTTTGAATGGTTCTTTCATATTACCCATTAATAAGTTAATAACATAAAATATTTAAAATCCTTGGCAACTAACTAGAACTGTCGAGAGTAACAAATATTTGTGCTTAAGAAAACCGTAATAACTTTAAAAATAAAAACAAGAATAATGTAATGGTCAGTTAGAAACAGCGTGGTAGTTTACGCAATCGAGAGTCCTTAATGCTTGCGTAGGCTTAAAAATGTCAATTGGGAAATATTCGTAAATACTTATATGATATAGCTGATATGTTAACTTGTATAAAAGTATAACGCATACAAATAATTGAAAACAAAATAATTAATATATAAGTACCTAGTAAACAAAAGAAATCATGAATTCAGTATAGCGGATTTCGGAATGCTAATTCATTTACAATCTAATTTAATAAATGAAAATATGAAAGGAGGCTACAAGTTTCCTTTGAATTTATATTCATATTTCTAAATACTTGGTTGAAATAATAGTAACGAATTTTAAAGTTCATTCTTACATGATTTATAAGACGCGTTTTTTTCACGCGCTTCCGTAAATTTTGGGGGACGCGACCAAACCAAGTGTGGTCGACTAGGTATCTAGTTATATTTTGGTATATTTACCGCTATTTCCACAGGTATGCATTCTCATTTCATTTATTATTTAATAATAAATGGTTGGGAAAAAATGTTAAAACACGATCATGAAAATTAATGAAGGGGTGTATATATCTACTTGTATGGTACAAGTACGTGTAAATATGGACTTTTGACGTAACTATAGAGTCATTACAAGCTATTTTATATCTCTACATATATATTTTTTCTTGTAAGAACTGGTACCATAGCCCATGGGCGTATATCTTTAGAAAATTATTTTCGCTATCTGAATTCAACCACATATTCATTATGGCGCACTTTTTCGCCTTAAAATGGAACTGAGTTGAATTTTTTGAAGTTTTTCTGTTGATCATATGCATAAATTATTATTTTAACGCCTCGTGCATTATTTAATCAAAATTGTAATATTTTGGCTCCTCTTTGGCAAAAGCTGCGTACGACCTTGGAATAACCCAACACATACTATATAGGAGGTTTGAGGTCTCAATTCAATCCGAGCTAATCTGTTTTGATAAATCCTACTGGAAAAGGCAACAAAGAGGGTGAAGGGCAGCGCATTGCAGACAGTGCCAACTGCATATACATACAAGTATGTACATGAACAGATATAAACGTATGTACGCTGTATATTTGTACACTCATCTAAGTCTATGCTTGTTATTTACTTTATGCTGTGTGTGTATACTTGTGTAATGATAAATTACTAAACTGCTGCCTACAGCAACATTTCTTTAGCAGGCACAATACATGGAAACTGCAGCATACATACATACTTATCCACAGACATAAGTACATATGTATGTGTGCAGCGTAGCCACAAAAGGCATTTTGTTTTTATTAAGTTTGCTTTTTGCCATTTTTCTATTTCACAACTCGTATGGCACTCGGTCACATGCCTATTGCCTGTCTTACTTTTAACTTTGGGCTTTGGCTTCTGTGTGTGTTTGTGTGCGGCAGCCTCGACCCGACGACTCTACGACTCGAGGACCCCGGGCACCCGGTGACCCTTGAGCCGTAATCGTCTCCTCGCTGGCTTGGTAAGTGAGGCCGACAGTCATATTGCGTGAAATTAATGATGCGCCGCACTTTTTGTTTTGTCTGCTGCTTCTGCGGCTGCAGCCCAAGATGTCCACAGGACGTTGCCTAAAGACGCTTTTATTAATAGTCCTGCTACGTGGTCACGATTAACTGCCATTTTACGCACTCGCACACGCGCGCCTTGAAGGCGTGGCCAGTCAGTCAGTTAGTCATTCAGGCTGGTCATGTGGTGAACGCTGTTTTAGCCTTTGCCTTTTTTGAAAGCTTTTTGCTGTTGCGTAAGTCTGAAAGTCTTAAGAATATTTAGTGCGTGTGTATTTGTATGTACACTGATAAAAACTGTGAGGCAGTTCACGATAGCGTGAGATGGCATGTGGACCAAAATCCATAAAGTTATTCTTA